AATCCCCTTCAGCAATCAAACTCTTAAACACTTTAGCTTTGATGCCTAGGATCATTATTGTTAAACGACTTTTCTTTCTTCACCTTTTGATGATGGGCTGGCTAGGTGGTTACAATCGAGGGAGAGGAGAACGGAGCAATGAGTTGGGCTAGGAGGGAGGGAGGGATGGTTTTGTCGCTGTTGCTACTGATGAGAAGATTATGGCTATTGTTGGTGTTGGGGGAGGTTGTGGTTGGAATGGGTGGCGGTGGGTATGGAGGTCGGTAAGGGTTGGTGAAGCTGGGGAAAGTAGAGGCAAGGTAAGGTTTGCTTTTATTTTATTTTATTCAATTTTACTTCTTATTTTTTGTTAGGTTGTATAATTAATTTCTGAACTTTTAAATTATTTTTTAAGTTAAAAAAAACTTAAATTGTTGAGTCTCACGGTGGCCACGTTAATAGTTAACGATTGACCACATAGTCAACTTAACAGAATGTTAAAATTGAACAAGTTTGAAAATATTGGGGGTGTTGTAAATTGATGAAATTGACACCTCGGGGCTTGTATTGAGAATGACCCCAAATCTAAAAGGGGTGTTTTGATGTTAGTTCAAAAATTTAATAGGTGGTCCCATGGGCGTTTCCAACTATGGGCTGGCTGGACTCATGCCCGGCCCAAAATTTTGACCAAAAAAAAGAGTAAGTAACTAGCCCAGCTTTCAGCACAGCAACCAAAAATTAGAAAGCAACTAGCTCACTTAAACAATATATGCAGTGCAGCAACCAAAATTAAAAGGGATCTCGTGCAGCCTACAGCCACCATCAAAACAGAAACTTCACTCTATCTGTGCAAAATATCAACACTTCCAACTTCTCTCCGTCTCAACCTTCAGCCACCATCAATTCAACTCTCAACTTCTTTGCAAGAGCAACTTCTCTTCTTGGCAACAAGTACTCTTTTCTCATTCTATCATTTTTAATTATCTTATGCTCTTTAATTTGAATAGAAAATATTCTAGGGTTTAATTAGGAATGAATTCTAATTGGGAGATTTTGTTGAAATTAATTAGGGCTTTGATTTTAGGAATTTTATTGAGATATTTAATTTGTTGTTGGTATTGTTGAGATATTTGATTTGTGTGTTGTGTTGGTATATTTGATTAAATGCATTGATTATATTATGATAATTAGTTCTGTTGTTGTTGACATGTTTGACTAAAATAATTTCTACATATTATTTATAGGTTATCTTTTATTATGTCGGATCACAATTGGAACTCCAAGAAAATAAAGAACTTGTTGTCTTTTTTTAAGAAAAAGAATGATGGGTCATCATCTAATACAATGTCTAGCACTTCTTTATCTACTCTAATTTGTGATGAGCGAAATCTTCCCGAGTCTCCTATTGTTGAGTCCCAAGTTGAAAGAGTTGAGAGTCAAAGAGTTAATGATGATCAAGATTTTAATATCAATTATCTTGAACGTGATCCAAGATTACGTCGTTTAATATGCAAATATTCGATGAATGAACAAGATAATGTGCGAAGAGCATATATTTTTTTAGGGCCATGTCAACCCGAGTTAGAAGATTATCCAAGCCACTTAGAAGGGAAAATCTTACGTCGATTTAATAAAAATTGTTTGGCCAATTCTCTTGGCTTGAGTATTTAGTTGCTAAGAACAATGCATTTTGTTTTCCTTGTTTCCTATTTGATAGAACTCAATCATTTACAGGCTTTATTGTTGATGGGTTTCAAAGTTGAAAGAGAATTGGTGGGAATCATTGTGCATTTCAACATCATGTAGACAAACTAAATTCACCACATCATCTTTCTATGCAAAAGTGAATTAGCTTAAAAAAAATCCTTATGTTCATATTGAATAAGTGGTAGAAAAGTAATCAAATCAACAAGTGATGGACAATCGGTTGCGACTTACAACCACAATAGATTGCATTAGGTATCTAGCAAATCAAGCATTGACTTTTCGAGGCCATGATGATCCATTGGCTCATCTAACCGAGGCAATTTCATTGAAATCATAAAGTGTTTTGCAAGAATGAATATGGAAGTTGAGAAAGTTGTCCTAAATAAAGCTCCTTAAAATGCTCAGTATATTTCCAATGACATACAAAAACAAATCTTGCATATTTTTGCTACCAAGATGAGGGAGATAATTTGTAGAGAACTTGGGATGAACAAATTTTGTATTCTTGTTGATGAATCACTTGATGAATCGAGTAAAGAACAAATGGCTATTATTCTAAGATTTTTTGGTGGTCAAGGATTTATTCGTGAGCATTTTTTTGACATTATGAGTGTTGCAGAAACTAATGCCTTGACTCTTAAAAAAGAGATATGCAAAGTGCTTGATAATAATGATATTCTAGTGGAAAACATGCGTGGTCAAGGGTATGATGGTGCTAGTAATATGTGTGGTTCATGAAATGGATTACAAGCATAGTTTATTGAAGATTGTCTATATGCATATTATGTGCATTGTTTTGCTCATCGTTTGCAATTAGCATTAAATGGCGCAGCTAAATATGTGAAAGTTGTATGAAGATTTTTTTTTAATGTTGACTAACATTATGAATTTTGTTAGTGTTTCTGCTAAGCGCCGTAATGAGTTAAACTTAATTCGAAAAATTGAACTCAAGGAGTTGTTGGATTCTGGGGAATTTGAGACAGGTAAAGGACTTAATCAAGCTCGTACTTTGAAACGAGCTGGAGCAACTCGTTGGGAATCTCATTTTGCCTCTATTACAAGTTTGATGAGTCTATTTAAAGAAACTAAATTATTTCTTTTGGAAATAAGTGATCATAGACCTAACCAACAGTTTCGTGGCGATGCAAAAAGTAACTATATTGATATGATGACTCTTGAGTTTGTGTTTTCATTTGTTTTGATGGAAAAAATTATAAGATTGACCAATTTTCTTTGTCAAACATTTCAGACGAAAACTCAAGACATTGTAAGTGCTTTAAATTTTGTTGAGAACACAAAAATGCAACTTAAAGATATGAGGGAAAATGGTTGGGATTATTTTTTCATGAGTGTGGTATTATTTTGTGAACTACATTGTGTTGATGTTCCTGATATGGGTGGTCGTTATATGACGGGCACACGTCGTTCTTGCCAACAAAAAGATTTTATTACAATTGAGCATTTAAGGGTAAGGTACGTCCCCCCTCACTAGGTGTATCTTTTTATGTTTATTAATGAAATTCACTCGTACTGTTGAGTTTATTACATAAATTTTGCCCGGTCGGCTTTCGAATCCTAAAACTGCCACTGAGTGGTCCAATTTGTATTGACTTGAAAGGATATATCTGGTGCCGTACATAAAATTGGGTCGTTGGTTGGGGTACATGATATCGCAGGATAGATAGCCTGTTCTTCACTTTCACCTGAGTTGCAGAATCCCAAAATCAGAAATGGGTCCTTAAAATCTGAGGCAGGCACCAAATATGATAATCTTCTTGTTTTTACCGGTTCCACCACGTGTGAGTGCCTGTTTTCTTCTTCTCTCTCTAAATGTTTCGAAGCAAGCATGCATGCATGCATGAGTATCTATGTAAAAGGCGCATGTTATTTGTCTATGGATCTCGCATCGCATTCGCCCATAAATGAAGCCACCCAGCGTTTCGGCCATTTATAATTTTATCAAACCATACTGTTTTTATTATCGCAAAAGAATAAAACAAAAAAAGTTAAAAGGGATAAAAACACAGTAATCTGTCTCTCTAATCTCTAATTGAGGTTCACATGCATTGCTCTGCTGCTAACAAAATGGATATAAGCGTGGGGACAGCTTTCACATGTATGTTTCAAAACTCTTACCGACGTAAAACCCTGCAGCTTTGTCAGTTCCTATCCTATGCAAACTGCAAACTGACTTTTTTTTATAAATAAAAAATATATTTTTATTTTTTATTTGGTAAAATTATTTTGTACATGATTTGGTAATATTAGTGCATGCTGCATGCAGACATCATCACATAAGATGTAACGGTTGTCCGCTGAATAGTAAGATCCTAGCAAAAGGGAAAGCAAGCAAGCAAGCAACGGACCAAATTTCCTTTTTTAATATTCTTTGCTCATTGCGTGCAGCTTTCGCAATTAAATCAAATTAAAACTCACTCAGATATCAAAACAACAAAAATATGTGATCTGATTAGAAGCTTCATCGTATGGGGACCCTCACTCCTTGTGGCATATTAGTATCCGTTAGATCATTTTCACGCGTCATTTGTCGTCATATCCATCCTCCTTGAACTAACCCGCCGTGATGTCTGCTAACTGATTTTCGCTTTCACTTTCGGCGGGGCACCTTTGGTCCTCCTTCGCCCATCAATTCTGAGGTTTACTAAAGTCTTCATCTTTGTTTTTATCTCCCTCGTCATCTGCCAATTGAATCACACAATACAATGTATCACGGTCTGACTTTGTAACGCACTGAATTTGAACAGTGCTCTAAAGTCGGACTGTGACAGTGTGACACAATAAATGCATTATTATTTAACAGAAAAAGTGCTGGCATCACTATAAGAGCAACATGTCAGTGTGTCCCAAGTTTTACCAAAGGTTGGGTTTGTTTACAAATTTACTTCTGCTTGTTTTAGAACATTCACAGCAACTTAAATAATCATGAACCTATTGGTTTTTATAATGTCGGGGACTGGACGTCCTTATTCCACTCGGAAATGGAAATCCAGTCCAATCACACCAGTCAGACGTTACTGTCCTTTATCGTTTTAACTTTTACTAGATAGATTACGACACAAAGAAAGGGCATGATCGGGTTTCACTTTTTTTTTTTGGGTGCAACAGCAAATGAAGAGAGGAATTAACTGCAGCAGCAAATAATAATCCAACTGGGAAACTTTTAGCAAAATACAGCTACACCACAGTGCACTTTCCTTTCTAAACCGCCACGAGTTTATTATAAATTTCCTTTCTTTTCATTTTCTTGTATTCTGAATTTATTAGAGACAGAGCAAACAGAGGAAGAAAGAAAAATGAAGAGTTGGGGTGTGGTTTTCTTTGTTCTTCTGCTTATCCAAAATCAGGGAATTTTGAAACCAGTAGAAGCAGAAGATGGGTTTGTAAAAACCAGAGGACTTCAACTTGTCTTGAATGGAATCCCTTACTATGCGAATGGGTTCAATGCCTACTGGTTGATGTACGTGGCCACTGACCCATCCCAGAGAGACAAAATTTCATCTGCCTTTCAAGAGGCTACACAACATGGCCTCTCCATAGCAAGAACTTGGGCTTTCAGCGATGGCGGTTACAGGCCTTTACAGTCTTCTCCCGGCTCCTACAATGAGCAAACTTTCCAGGTTAATTAGCCATGAATTCAATTCTCCTTGCATTTTGTTTTATAATTTGTTTGGTTTCATTATTAAAAATCAAGTCTTTTTATTTTGTTTCAATTTGGTCTGAAAGTTTCCGTTTTTGGCTCAAAGGGTTTGGATTTTGCGATATCTGAGGCGAAGAAGCATGGGATTAAGCTGATATTGAGTTTGGTGAATAACTATGAGAACTTTGGAGGCAGAAAACAGTATGTGGACTGGGCTAGAAGCCAAGGGCAGTCTATAAAATCAGAGGACGATTTCTATACCAATTCTGTAGTGAAGGATTTTTACAGAAATCATATCAAGGTGAATCAGAATCAGATTCTCTCTCTCACTCATGATCATGAATATATTTTTTGATTTATTTGTTTTAGTTTTGTCATTACTATTAGTATTTGCTTTTGGGAAAGCAGTGGTTGGGTTGAATATAAAATTGAATGTAAATAAAGATTAATAATTTATTTGGCAGTTGTAGATGAAATGTTCTCAGTTTTAGTTGGTTGGTTTTCCTCTTCTAGTATAATTAATTTGATAATGAGAAATAATTTATATTAATTGATTACCAATTTGGAAAAAGAGTAGGTGTGAAAGGTTGAAAATCGTGGTAGTAGTTTCAGATTGATCATCTCAGACTAATTTTTACTAATATGGCGTTTTCTGATCCTGTGTAATAGACTGTACTTACGAGGACAAACAGTCTGACTGGAGTTGCTTACAAAGATGAACCCACCATAATGGCTTGGGAGCTGATGAATGAGCCAAGATGCACTTCAGACCCATCAGGAAAAACCATTCAGGTCTGGTCAGGGAAACCATCTCTTTCTTTCAATTTTTATTTTATAAATTTTGTTCCTTTCATTTAATCTCATCAGTTAATACTTGATTATGTTCCACAAGTCTTGAAAAGCGACGTTAGGGAATAGGGTATTCGGACACAGGACATCGAGTGTGCCCCACCTTTATTTCTTGAGTTGGTCGCTTACCCATCCCGCTAATCAGGCCCAACTTTTGGCTAAATTGAAGAGAAGCCTAGTGCGTAATGCTCCTCATGCTTGCATAGGCATGAGTTCCACCAATTTGACAAGCTTAACATACCACAAGGAATTGTACCTAAATCTTACACTGGAAATTTATAGAAACAAATAAATTAATTAAAAGAAGAAAAAGGAAATGTTTGAGCTTTGCGTTTGTTTGTTTGACAGGCTTGGATAACCGAGATGGCATCTTACTTGAAATCTATAGATGGAAATCACTTGCTAGAAGTTGGTCTTGAAGGGTTTTATGGAGCATCAAAGCAGCAAACTAATCCAAAATACTTTCAAGTGGGAACAGATTTTATTGCAAATAATCAGATCCCCGGCATTGACTTTGCTACTGTTCACTCATATCCTGACCAATGGTAAAGGTTTCATGGAGTAAGTTTCCTTTACAACTTAATTTAAAAAGATAACGAGTTTTCTGAATTGGGTTCTTTTGAATGATGCGCAGGTTATCTGGGTCAAGTTATGAAGACCAAGTCTCCTTCTTGAACAATTGGGTGAATGATCATATCCAAGATGCACAAAACGTACTCAAGAAGCCAATTCTCTTTGCTGAGTTTGGAAGGTCTTTGAAAGAGTCAGGTTACACCACAAACCAACGGGACCAAATTTTCACCACGGTCTACTCGGCCATCTACTCGTCGGCTAGGGGTGGAGGTGCAGCTGTTGGTGGCTTATTCTGGCAACTTCTGGCTGAAGGAATGGATTCTTTCCAAGACGGGTACGGCATTGTGTTGAGTGAGAGCTCCTCAACAGTTGGTTTGATTTCTGAGGAGTCTCAGAGGCTTATTAAGATTCGGAAGATGTATGCCAGGCTGAGAAACATTGAGAAGTGGAAGCGAGCAAGGGAGATTAGAAGGGCTCAATGGTGGTCTGGAAACAAGGTCAATGATACAGGAAACTGAGAAAGGAGAATTGTATTTAAGCAACAATCCCAAAATGTACTTCACTAGATATATAGATGAAAGATACAACTTTATTGATATTATTAAGTAAAAAGCAGGTTTAGTTTACATACATCAAAGCAAGTTGTTAATTTACATAAATAAGTGTTCTGGCTACATTAAGTCAAAGCCACGAGCTAGCTTCATCAAGGTACTGTCACCGTGGCTCAATCTGAACAAGTACCCCTTTGTAAAATTGATGGATTTAAACGACAGTTCCATCTTTAATGGTTGCATTCTTCAGTACAACTGTGATTCCAGACCGAATGTAAAACCCTTCCTCTGCCCTGTCTGCTTCTTCAACTCCCTGGCAAGTCAAAGCATCCAGCAATGTTTTAAGTAAGAAATAATTCAGGGTTCTTTTAAGTTTCAAGAAATTTGAAGTCTTAACTTTAAAAAAAAGGAGCACTTACATCAGCATTTGTGATCATTACGTTTCTTCCTATCTTCGCATTCTTGTCGATTATGCAATTCCTTCAAGAGAGATGACATGCAAAATCAGCATAAAGAGCAAGAATTCTTTTCAGAACTTAATAGGCATATCTATAGCTGACAGTATCTCACCAGATTTTGGTATTTGATCCAACACCAACTGGAACCTTTCCTAGAGCTACAAGAGATGCGATCTCAGATTCAGTTTGGTAGTAGTCCGCACCCATCATCATAGTATCCTGAAAATCGATTTTTCATAACCAAATATAATCAGTGCTTCAAACCGTTATTTGCCCACGAAAAGTTGGTAAAACTTGTGCAATTGTGCACAAAGCAAGGGGTGAAATTGCAATCCCTTGGAAGTAATTTTAGAAAGCAGTCATTTGCCTAATATGTTCGAAGGCAGTGTATGGGGATCATTAAAAACCATTTTCACATGAATTTGCATCATAGAAACACCAATATGCTTTTGTCGCCAGCGAATTCCCCAGGGTACAATATTATCCAATAAAATCAATGAATCTAACTGTCGCTTGAAATATAACATAAAAAATGACTTCAAAATTGACATATTGGCATCTAGAAGCATGTTACCAAAGCATGTATAGAAGGTAGCTCACCTTAAGTTCTACACCAGACTCTAAACGTGAGCGCACACCCACAATAGAGTGTTGAACACTACATTCTCGCAAGAAGCAACCATGGGAAACTATTGCATCTATAATCTGCACAATTCAATTTGCCATGAGATACAAAAGTACAGCCTAAGCAACAAAGTAATTTAAGCTTACAATCATACCCTGCATTTTTCAACTTTTGTAGGTGGCAAGAATCTAGGAGAAGTGTAGAAAGGTGTCTTTGGATCATTGAATTCAAACTTTGGAGGCTGCATGAAAGAAACTATGTAATCAGTTTGCCAAACCATTTACTCATTTTCAAGTAATAAAAGAAAAAAAAATCCCATGGAGTTGTAACATACTCCTAAATACATTTATAGTTAACCAAAAGCAACTTCAGTCCAAATTATATGACAATATTTCCTGAATGAAGAGAGAGTTCTAACTCCTATTGCGAACAATGTCACTTCATCCCTACTCATGTACATTCTTAATTCTTCCTTTTTCCTACAAATTATCACAATAGCTAACCAAAATAAATTGTTAGCTCTGGCTTCCTTCAGTTTGCACATATAACTCCAAATGGCTCAGGGGATGACAAGTGCCTTAAGGATTGAAATAATCGTACAGTAAAATCGATTGAGTAGAGGTATTACCAACCTGTTCTGTGAGGGCCAAGTTTGCATCAAAAAAAGACTTCACAGTTCCGATATCCTCCCAGTAGTCATTGAATAGATATGCCTGATCATGTAAGAGCATGTAACTTAGTGACTCAATTGCCAAATCAGTGGCCAATAAAATTAACATATCAAAACCAGACTCTGAGAAAATATTTCCATATTAATATTGGAAGAGAAAAACTAAAAGGAAAAATAAAGATGAAAAAAACTATAGTCTGAAGGGCTATCTCACCTGGACATTGTGTTCCCTCACAGCTGATGGAATAATCTCAGAGCCGAAATCATTACAAGAAGGGTAGCTCCATCTTAATAACTTTAGTAGGACATCAGTTCTAAACACATAAACACCCATTGATGCAATATAAGGAGATTTCATAGCCTCCAGCTCTGAAAGCCCTAGAATACTGGTGTCAACTTGCTGCAGTGTGTAAAAAACAATATTTAGGGGAACACTGTGGTACATCAGCTGGAATGAAAATAGATATGAAGTCCTTTGATAACATAAATCTGGGAAAGGGAGGAAAACACTGAATACGAACAAAATAAGCATTTTTAATTACCATTGCTTCTAGGTCAGGGCCTTTTGGTTTCTCAGCAAATTGGATTATACGTCCTGATTGGTCAATTTTCATGAGTCCGTAATCTGATGCCCGGCTGCATGACAAGATCAATTTACAACAAAGACAAGCATCTGTCAGTGATTTTTCAAACGTGGAACTAAAGAAGCAGAGTTAATTTGTAGTGTTATACAAGTGAAAGACATTCAAGAAGTTAAAAGGTGAGGAATCTGGTGCCAAATGCAAACATGAAATAGGGCATAATAGGAGGTAGGTAGTCAGCACATTACATATTGAGCATGTACCAATGCTCAAGAGACCCTTGAAACAGTAGCATACGAATATGGAAAGATGTGTACCTTTCATCCATGGGAATGCATGAAACTGTGATGTCAGCATTTGTATCAATATGCTTCTGTAAGAATAATGGCCATCAGTTAGATGGATTTTAGAGAGTTGTAAACTGTTGTATAAAATTAAAAAAAATTATTCCACCATTAAGTATCAAATAATCACCTGCACAAAATCCAGATAGTCCATCCGATAAAGATGATCACCGGATAAGATCAGTATATGCTCAACATTTTTGTTCTTTGCATCCTGCACGGATCATCCAAAAGCCACTTTAGTTATTTCTATCCAGTTCTTGAAAAATAGTTGCAAAATCAAAGCACCCACCTCAAAGACCCATATAAATTGCCTCACAGCATCAGCTGTTCCTTGAAACCATTTCTTCCCAGCTTCTCCTGGCGTTTGAGTTGCAGCCAAAACCTATTGCTTCCATATATTAGTCTTTGAATTATTAAACTTTTTCATTGTTAGTTGCAACAAGAAAGCAATATGGTTCAACGTACAAATCGTGAACTACACAAGAACATAACCAATCATATGTACAGTAAGCTGGTCTAACATAATTTGTGTATACAGAAATAATCTTACCTCCACAAATCCATCTCCGAAATTCATACCATCTCCAAAATTATAAGTACGAGCAAGGTGACGATTGAGGGAAAAAGAGTTAAATTGTGTTAAGATGAATATCTTTTTTATGCCACTGTTAATGCAATTGCTCATCGGGATATCAATCAGCCTGTAACACCCTCCAATTGGAACCTACAAATCAGAAAACATCACTGTCAAATTCAACTCCAAATCTTATGCAGTTCCTTATATTAGTGCCTTAATATTGGATAGCCTGATTCTGTTGTAATCATAAACTTTCTTAGGCACAAGTTGTAATTATAAATCCAACTCAACCAAATGCATAAATTTTCCATTCTTCTTTTCCAAGGAACCATTTTGCAATGTGAATAACTTCGATGAAACAGGAACTAACAGTGATCTCTTACCGCTGGCTTGGCCCTTTGGCTGGTGAGAGGAAACAGGCGAGTTCCAGCACCTCCACCCAAAATGATAGAAGCCACATTCTTGGGGTCTGCTTTTGGAGTCTCAAAAAGTGGTGACTGAAATGTCTGAAATCAAAGCGCAAATGCAAGAGTGTTACTCAATACCAACATCAAACTCCCAAGGTTTTGGGTACTCAAATATGAACAATTGCACACCGGATCAACTTACCACACTGTCTTGGTTGATATCTGTAAGAATAGAGTGAGCCACACCAGGCTTAAGCTTTCTAGCTCCGCTTTCAAATTTAGAGCTTTTCAACAACTGAGCACTCAAATCTCTGCTCTTGAGACCCACCCTGACACTCTCACCCCAGAACCCACTACCTTGGTTCCTAAGACCCCCTTTTCCAACTTTAAGCGGTTGGGCATTGGCCCTCATGGTCGCACAGCAAGAATCCATGGTTAAAAAAGGCACACTGCTTTCCAGAGATTCTATATCCTCTAATGCAAAAATGAGGAATCTTATATGAAAATGGTTTCCCTTATGCCTTTATGTAACAGAAAAGCAAAGCAAAGCACTTTCAACAAAAAGCCCCCCCAAACATTCAGCGTCACAAAAACAAAGAAGCACCCACCAGATCAGAGGCAAAATCAGCAATTCCCGGATCAGAAAATTGCATAAATAGAAAGAACCAGAAGTACCCCAGATGCCCAAAAGATGAAAACTTTAATACAACCCTGGTCTAACGTTTGGTTTATGACCACCAAGACCTGAAATGGGAGGTGATCAAAAGTGCTTGTGGTGGAGCCAAAAATGGCAAGTGGAAGAGAGTGAATGCCGGATTAAGGAGGGTGACTTATGATGGAGGTGGTGATTTTGGTGAATGAATGCGTGAGCGGTCACGGAAAAAAAAATCTTAATATTTATGACATATATAATAGTGTGCACTTCTTGTTGCCAACTAGTAATTCTCTCTTCTCGTAAATGCCACTGTGATCGAGTGTTTAGGCTTTCCAGCTCGATCGGGTTTTCGAAGGAGTCCTTCCTTAAGCGAAGGTCTTTCCATTTCAAACCCATTTGCGTTTATTTCATTTTTTAAAAATTACAATTTGGGTTGTTTAAAATCTTATTTAGTATGTCAACGGGTCTAGTTCAATAAAAAAAAACATTAACTTGCAAACTGATGACTAAAAAAAATTACTCCAGTTTGCTGGATGACAATTTATTTAGTAGTAGCACCATTGTTAATCATTTTGAACAATATGTTTGGCCATTCTCATCATCTTCTAAAGATATATGTTGCCAGTTTTTGTCTGTCCCGCCATGTTTTTCCGAACAAGAGAAAAAAAACAAAACAAAACAAAAAAATGAAAAAAACAAACAGAAATTAGTATATAGGTACTGTACTATTGTTTATAGTTTATAGGAGGGATATGTCAAATGTTAAATGTAAAATATGAATTTGATGACTTATGTGGCAATTTGACATTTTGAAAAAAATTTAACTCCACCGAAAATGCAAAATATTATTTTATTATATTTTTAAAAAACAAATGGAGTCTATCTATATGATGCATAAACTTTTAAAAGAAAGTAAATAATAGTAAGGTCTATGATTAATAAAATATTAAAATAATATTTGACATCAAACTTTTTAATATGTTATTTTAAATATATCTTTTATAGTCTTCAAATATACGTAGGAGCAATTTGGAACTTTAATTTTTGTCATTGAAAGGGACGATACATATTACATATGGGGGACTGTGTACCACGGAGAAATACACGGCTCATATTTTGTGTGACGAGGACCCAACTAGCATATGACTACATGTGCATGTCATTTTACACAGTATCTCCATGTTGTCACTTAGGGCCACTCCCTCACCGAAACCAACGGTGGATATGCTGCGATATCTCATAATAATATTATATTATAAAATCAAATATCTTTCTTTGGTCAGTCAAATCAAATGAAACCAAAAGTGAACATGATCATGCGTACCTTTGAATGGAAAAAGACATAACGTAATACGTATAATAAGAGAATTCAATTACTTTATTATTAATTTTTTTTTGTTAGGATGGGAGGAAATCGAATTTTAACAAGGTTAATAATTTTTCAACAATTCAATATATATATATATATATATATTCACAATGTTCTAGAATATAGTATAAATGTGGTTACTTAACGTAGTTGGTTTGTATTCATTCTACCCTTGAAATCTCATAGGAAATTCCTCTTGATTAGTGACATTTTCTTTTATGTTGAAAAAACCAAAAAAAAACAAAGAAGAGGAAGAGGAAGGGTAAAGCTCTTTTTCTAGAAAACTTCCCTATTGGCACCTGCCTTTGCCTGCGTGGGGTAATGAAAACGAGACACCTGCCTTTGCCTGCTTATGCTTGCCATGACGTTATTGCCTCACGAGGCATTTTCAGGCATTTGTTTTGGATTTCTAGTTTGTCAGTCAATTCAATTGTGAACACGTCTTCTAATCAAAGCCTTCAATCAGACGGTGGCACGTGATATCATTAGATAAGCGCTCATTCGCTACCACGTAGCTTTTAGCTACTAGCAAATTGACATCAAATAAATATCAATTAATGAGGTCTTAACTCACTGGTAGAGTGGTTGTTATGCATGCTAGTAGGTTGCGGTTTGACTATGACATTGTGTGTGTCTTCTTTATTTCTTTTTTTTGTGTCAATGTCTTCTCGATTTCTAAATGTAACAAAAAATACATTGATTTGCAAATTAGTAGTTTTAGATTTGAAATCCCATAACATCGTAATCGTGTTGTGTGTGTGAGAAACCCCATTTCATCTATATTTTAGACTTACTAAAAAATATCAATTAAAGGATGCAGTGCACAACAAACATTCAATTTCCCGTAAGGAATCATTCATCACTGAATATTGGAAACAAGTGCGCCACAAATTTCGCATGAGATGGGACTGCTTGTTGTCTTATCATGTCCACAAATCATTTGATTGAAAGTTGAATTAAAGAGTGTGGAGCAGACCCAACCGACCAACATGAACACATATAATAAATAAATAAACCCAAAAAATCTCTCCTATTGGGTCTGACGGCCCAATCCTAATCAAGTTCCCCTCCTAAGGTCAATCCCAATTTACTCCCCCCCAAAGGCCCAATCCTTAATAAACCAGAAAATGATAAGCCTATAATGATGTTAGCCCAAGCCCAATACATTATCCACCCGAAATTTGTAGGGGTAATTCAGTAACTTACTTGGGTGGAACCACATAAACCTCATCTTCAATTCATCAGCCATCACACTGCATCATCCGCTCCGTCGTTTCTCTTCTCTTCCAAAAACGCACAGAAATGGCGCTCAATCTAACCAACACATTCCTCCAAGGAAGACCCTGCCCCCCAGTCCTTCCTCCCAAGAAGGTAAAATTACCAAATTAACTAGATTGAATTCATTTCATTCAGCAACCTCGGCTTTACGAATTTAATTTTTGTATTTCCAGGTTTGCGGTGGCGGTGGTGGGCTGGGGAATTGCCGGCCTGTGGTGACGTGCAGGAAGAAGGAGATACACCCGCAGTTCTACGAGGACGCGAAGGTGTACTGCAAAGGGGAGCTGGTGATGACGACGGGTGGGACCCAGAAGGAGTACGTGGTGGACGTGTGGTCGGGCAACCACCCCTTCTACCTCGGAAACCGGTCGGGCATGCTCGTCGACGACGACCAGGTAGAGAAGTTCAGGAAGAAGTACGGAGAGCTCACTCAGATCATGGATATCCCCGTGCTCAAGGGAGAGATTATTCTGCCCTCTAGGCGCAAAGCCGCAGCTGGTAAAGGGGGCAAGAAGAAGTAGAAAGAAGCTATGCTTTGATTGCTTCTTCCATGTAAGCTTGTAGGTAAATTTTACAAATTGAAGCTTGAAAGCGTGTGTTTTTATGAAAATGGAGTAAAATTCAATTCCTATTCTGTGCTTGTTATGTTAATATCCGTCTTATTTTACTAATAACTTGCATTGTGGAGTAGTGTATTGATGAGAATATAATTCATTGTTTCGGGGTCTCACGCACCATTTCCAAGTTGAAAGCTAAACTAAGCTTGAATCTGTGTAAAGAATGCTAGTTTCCCCTGTGTATAGTGTATGTATGACTTAAATTCAGAAAAGGAGAATATTTAGCAAGGTCTTTTTAATCAGAGTATACAGTATAGATATAACTGGTACATTGATGGGACTTTGAGATGGTGCTGAGGTTAAGCTTAGAATACATCAGGGCCCTTTATGAATATCAGAATATTTGATTCCAGGGCTGTTTTAGTGACGTCTGTTGATGGTTTTCTTTGGTTCAACGGGGAAGAGAAATCTTGTACCCGTGAATTTTAATTAAAACTGGGAACCCAATTTCTTCGATTCGGGAGCTCATGTTGTACTGGAGATCTCACAGCAGTGCTGTTTTTTCTTCTCCTTTTCATGTCATTGTTGGATTCAAAGCATTGATGTTTTTTTGTTCCCCTTTTCTTTTCCGCCATGAATTCCTTTAAGTTACAGGTTATCTACAATTAAAGCAGTGAACCAAACAGAAGAAGAAGTAGTAGTAGTAGCAGTGCTGTGCGTATTTTTTTAACAAAGTGCGGCAAAAAGTAACATTGAGGATGTTGTTTTCAGCTGACCAGTGTCGTGGCTGACTTATTTAGTGGATACTAGGCTCACTCTAGCGTTTCATTGTATATATAACTGGATATATAAGAAAGCTTGAGGTTCGAGATGCTGCTGACTGCTGCTGTGGTTGATCACGAATCAACATCTAAAGTAGCAGAAGCATGCAAACCCTGGGAATTGAGCGTGACAAGCTCCACGCAAAGCACCTTCCCAGTTCCTGCATTGACGGTTGCAGTTTCTAGTGTTCCCACAAAACCCTGACCATGTTTTACTACGCCTTTCACAGATTCTTGCTTCCACCATTGCTACTTCTGCATCTCACGAGTCATAAACAAATGCCAACATAGTAAGAATTTGAGCATGAATCATATCACACAACCCCCCCAAAATACACAAGTTTACGAAAGAAAGGAATAATATATGCACGGAGAAATTTTTTGGACTAGCTTTAGGACTGACAGGTGGATCAATTCCTTTAGGCCTGTTTGGTGGGCTGGCTTGGACTGGTTAGGATGGGCTTTGAAGCATTGGATTGGACTAGCTTGGACTGGCTAGGCTTTGAGTCCAGTCATATTCATTTTTGCACCAAACAACAGACTAAAATTTACATTTTTTTTAATAAATCAATATTTTATTTTATTTTTTTATTAACAATAAAATGCAAAATTCCAACTTTTTCCATGAATGCCTTACTTTTTTTTATCTTCAAAATCCTTCTTCCTCTTCTTTCAGTATCTTTTTTTTTCCTAATCTAAAATTCCTCTTTATCTGATAAACTTCATCTTTTCTTTTTGGCAAGGAAAAAGGTAAACCCCAACAACAGATCATCCAGCAAGACGAGCTCTACTAATACCAAGCAGATCATCCAGCATAAAGGAATCAACCCACACTGGAGCAATATCAAAATAGTAAACCACCCAAAATTCATATTTTAAAAAAAGATATAAAGAACAAACAGAGAAATCAGTTTTTAAAAAAGAAAAATCAAAAGAGAGAAGAGATGAGAGATGAGAGAGTAGAGACGACCAGAAGTGGCTGAGGGAGACGACGTTGAGGAGAGGACATTAGAGACGACGATGAGGAGAGGACGCTGGAGACAATGCGGAGGAGATGAAGCGAACGAAGAAGACGACGAGAGGTAGTCTTCGAAACCCATGTCTCTACGTGGGTTTTGATATCCAGCGTATGCTGGATTCATATCCTAAATAAAAATTTAAGTCCAAGTCAGTGTGTGATGCAATTAACCCCACCAAACAACAGACTGGACATATGTCCATTTTAATTGAAAAAGTCACATCTAGTCCAGCTCACTAAACAGAGCCTTAGGTTATAGTAATGTAATGTGAACTAGAATCATAGATTTACACTAGATCATCTTGAACATATCATAGAAGTCCATCTGCAATCTGATAAGCATGAACCGGCATGCGGGACAAATTCGGCTGCATCTGTTTGAAGTCAAATACTGTTCGTCATTGTTTGAATAATCACGACATGATATGTGAAAGAGTACCAGCAGCATTGTGATATAAAATGGCAACTAAAAGATTTTAGTTAGTCGAGGAATGGCAACATAACGAGCCCAATTATAGGCTTGGTGGGTGTATTGCCCTCTGTTTAGGGTTTTGAGAGTTCGTCATTGGGAAAGATATGAGCCTTAGGCGATCTTAAGTAGTGGGCTAAGCTCACATATTTTGTCATTTCACATCCAAAAGTTATCTTCAGTAAGTAGGCTAAATCTGCCATGTCACTGGGCCAAACCTAGTCAGCAAGTTGAAGAGGCCGAATGCTGAGCCAAACTTAACCTAATTCATGGGTGGGTTATTTTTGGCATGCTGACATCAATTAGCCGTTATTATTATTTATTTCCAAAAAATCCAAAATTTAAATTTTTTAAAAAAATTATACCTCAATTCTACATAATTTCCCACATTCTTTTCATCCTCCCTTCTACATACTATCTTTACTCTTTTTATCATTCTACATAATTTCCCACAATTTTTTCATCCTTTGCATATTATCATTCCCTTCTTTTATGCAAAAATTGTCCCCCCCATCTAAAATGTAATTTAAATAGGGTCTAAGTAGTATTAATTAAATTAACCAATATATTTAAAGAATACATTAAAAATTAATAAAATATTGAGAGGATTATGATATAGCCATGCACTACTAAATACGGTAAAAATATAGCCCATCATTATTCTTTAAAAATCTATAAATAGTGAGTTAAATTTTATGAATGGGATATGTTTAGCCCTCCACGGCTGGAGATGTCCTTATACCCACTCTATTGCTTCTCTTGAGACCCATTACAAACTTAAAGCCGAATTCACTGTACTTGGAATTTTTTTTTTTGGGTCGACAAATACGTATTTAAAAGGCCACTGACCAAAGCAACAAAAAGAAGACACATCACCCATGAATGCAGGGACATATGAGTCTCAACCGGAAAAAGAAAAAGATCAAGAGAAATTGCTTCCCACTTCTCGAGTGCCTCTTTTTATGTAGGCCTTTTTTGTGAAAGTTCATGTGCCAATATTTAATCACGGAAAATTTCATAAAGCATAGCAAACCATTTTGCCAAGGAGTGTTGCGTCCCGTGGAATTTGGTTAAAGTGCACTAATTCAACCAAGTCTTCAACCAACCAACTGAATTGCCACATTATTCATGATAGTCTAAACTAAAGTGATGGTATACATTAATTAACTAATTAGACCAACCATCATGTGATTTCTAAATTCTCCTTTCTAATTTTCTAGGGCAGGACAGATGACCATGCATCAGATAATGATTGGTGGCTTAGGTTACTGGGACATAGGGGAGGTCAGAATTTCGATATCAAATTGGAGAGTTTTATATAGTCAATGGGTCTATACCTTAATCCCTTACCTAATTTACAGAAAGATGAATTTGAACTTGAGTGCAAACGAGTATGCTCACTCGCTTGACAATTTGGCGTAACCCATAAACGTAAAAAAGGGAGTTAGAATCATGGGAGAGGGTCACGTGAAATGGCTACAATTACTTGGGCTAAAGTTAACTCTCTGGTCTGGAGTCCGGAGTAGTTGTTCTTTTATTTGCATCCGTCAATGTTTCATGGGCTTCTTACCAAAAACAAAATTAAAAACTCTTTCATGAGTTTCTTCGTCTCCCTCCACCTACCCTACTGGTCTGTCTTGTCCCCCAACTTTGTTTACTCTTTTTGGTTGTGGATGGTGAATGAATAAATAAAAATATTCTGTTATTATTCTAAAAAACTAAAGACAAGTAAATGTTCGTACAAGTTCATAATGTATATTTTTCCAAGTCGGTAGTTGTTTTTTATTTTATTTTTTATTTATAACATAACATTATTAGACTTCATATCATTATAGTTATTTATTTTTATCAAGTTAGACAACTATATTAATTAATTAATATTAGCAAGGGAACGCAAGAGGTATATTAACCAATGCATCGTCATTCTTTTTGGAAAAAAATGCTACGTGGGAAGCCATTGGTATACTCCACTGGGCCATGGGCCATGAATGCTTCCGCTGGGTCCCAGTCGTGGTTGGGTTGGGTCTCTACGAGTCTACTTACCCCTTACTCTTCACATAAAATAGGCTAGAAAAGACTACGTGGGGTCCGCAGTACATAATTATTCTTATTCTATACACAAAACAGTATTAACTTACTCTCCCTGTTTTTATATCCACAAAAAGCAGAGTTTGGGAATTTTTGAACCCAAAATAAAATACGAAAAAGCGCATGAAATGATTATAATTAAGAGGAGGAGCTTTATAAAAACGGCAACATATCAGTCTCAATGTCTAAGTTTCCCTCTCGCAATTTTTACACAGTCCAATAGAAAAACACAAGCACACATCATACAGAATATTTGATTCTCTGACACTCCAATTCTTTCTTCTTCTTGCTCTGATTTCCCGGAAAATCTTCCATTCTCTCCGTCCCTTAATTCCTTGCCTGAATTATTTCTCAACCCACCCCCGAAACTCCCCTATAAATACAACATCTCTATGCGATTTATTTTCGTCGCATCCGTTCACAAAACACCCACAAACTCCACACTCCAATTTCCTTTCTCGTCTGGAAGCCAAGCCATGGATTCACACTACCAAACTTTTTACGACGTGACGGCGGAGAAAGCCATTGCCTTGAAGAAGTACCGCCGCCACCAAAACGTCAAGTCGGTTCTGACGGCGTGCGTCGCTCTCGCGCCTCTCTTCTTCACCCTATCCCGCTCCTCCGCGCTGCTTCCGGCCGCAGCACATTTATTCGGCGACGTTTCCCGCGAACTCCATGTGGTCTTCTATAACCGCTTCTATGTTTTATCGCTCGTCTTGGTGCTACTTGTCGCAATTTCCGCTTTGTACCGCCGAAACGACGCCGACGATGACGACGACCACGCTCGATCACTCGATTTCTACAACGAGTTCGGCGTCAACAGCGTGTATTGCCAGAGTATTGTCCTCGGTGAGGGAGTGTATCCAGAAACAGAGATGGAGAATTGCCGGAGCACCTTCCTCGGTGAAGGAGTTCATCCGGAAACAGAGACGAAGGCGAATTGCCGGAGCATCGTCGTTGACTCAGGGGAGTGTCCAGAAACAGAGACGACGGTGGAGGAGGTGTTGTTGGAGGTTGAGAAACAAATGGCATCGTCTGATGAGAATGCGGTAGCGCTATCTCCTTCAGTTGATAGCCAGGAACCGGTTACTGAAAGGAAAAGCAGTTGTGTCCCTCCGGTTGCTGCAATTACTTTGGTGGAGAAGGAGAAGCGGTACCGGAGGACTCAATCGGGGAATTTCGAGAAGAAGAGAATGTGCGGGTCTGAGAGTAGTAAAAGAGTTATGCAGCGATCGGAGACAGAGATTCACCGGAAAACGATGAGTTGCAGGGAAGAGTCGGCAAGGCGATGGAGCTCTGTGGAGGTGTTGAACGACGAGGAATTCAACCTCAGAGTACAGAAGTTCATTGATGAAAACAAGAGAAGTCAGCGCGAGGAAGAGACGGAGAGCGAAAAGCGTAGGAAAGAAGAAGAAGAAGAACGAAGGAAAACAGAGTACATCAATAGTTTATCAGAAGAATTCATTAATAACATGAAGAAGAGTCAGATGGAAGAGAGCAGGAGAGAGGCAGAAGAACGAAGAAGAAGAAGAGAGGGCAAAATCAACATGGCTGTTTTATCTAGTTAAATTATTTATCATCAGTAATTAATTAACTGATGCTCCTTTATTAAGTAGGATGAGGTGATTTGAGTACGAATTAGTATTTCACTACTCTGCAGATTATTATTATTGTCTCCAATCTCAACGATTTACAAGTAAATAAAATCTGATCGAGTTTGGCTTTTTGACATACAAACACTCATGTGCAGTTCTGTATTAATTTGCAATTTCAGAATTTATCTTTTTGTTTTCTTTTCCATTATACAATTATAATATGAATGAATGATTCCACAAAGAATTTGTAATTCAAATGATTAAAAATATCTATTTATCAATGCACTTTTGTGCTCCTAAGTTTGCTCCCCTTTTTCGATATCGATTGTATCAACAACAACAAAATATGAATGAATAGTTCCAAACTCCTTTTTGCCAAAGGATGCTTTGAAATATGTGTTGATACCTATTTGCGTTTTCTTCTACTTTCGGATTCTAACTTTTGTAGGACAAACAATTGGTAATCCAGGTTTTGCTATATGTGCGCTACATGGGTCAAATTTGGTCAGTTTTGATTAGCCAAGTTGACACACAGATGTGTTTTGATCAGAAACAGAGCACCTAATAATATTATTAAGAAACAAAAATGGGGCACTTGGAGATCCCTTTGGATTGGGTGGTGTGATGATCTACTTGTGTTGTGTTGGTATTTGGCATTTGCTTTCTTTTTTTGGGTCAAATATTTGGCATTTGCTTGATGTGCATGGTCGGGTGTCAAAGTTATGCTAAAAGCTAGCAATTATCCTGAGGAAGGTTTTGTCATTTATTCCCGCATGCTTGGAATGTACGATTGGTATTTGCTTCACCAAAACTAAGGGAACAGTCAACTCTTCTGCATGCCTTGTGGCTTCTTGTCCACAATCTTTGTCTTACGTTTTTTTCAAAATTATATATATGTATTTTGACAAAGCAATCTAATTACTCTATTTAAGGGGAGGAAGTGTAAGGAAGCGGACGCATTATCTTTAGCAGCACGTCTAATTAAAAAAACACCGAAATGATTGTATTTACTTACCAATTAATGGCAATAATTTAAGGGAAACACTGTGCATAATTGGTTTAACGATCATACATACATGGTTGAAGTCCCAATTCCATGGCTTTTCCAAGAGCATGATGGCATCAATCAATCAATAATCAGCCAATAATACAGAAGATGATTTACCATTCAATTCTTAAGGGGACCTAAAATTCAAAAGGATGAGATCTTCTTCTGGAAGAAAAAGCCGCTTTTTTGTGTCTACTTTTATGCTTTGTGTAGAATTAAACTATTGATGGGTAATTGCCCCATGTCTTCCATTTGGGTCTCTCATTGAAGAAAATAAGAAAAGGGAGGAGGAGGAGGACTTTGTTATTTAGTGGTGATTGCACAAAATGATTAGACTTGGATGTGGAGTTGTGTGCGTACAAGTTAGGACTTGGGAGGAGGCCTTCTTTACAATGAAGCAGGTTGCTCTCATCCACTTGATATTTGCATTCTGGCCAACAAAAAAAAGCCAAAAGCTATGAACACCTTTTCTTGTTTATCAGCACACACATACTACCAATTTTACTTATCTTTTGAGACTTTCTTTTAACTACTTCTTGTTTATTATTCGCTGGGCACTAGCAGTCTAGCCTCTACCACCACCCCCTACACTCGTGGTGCTATACCTTTTTTATTTTTATTTTTTCTCTCTCTCTCTCTCTAAATAAAAACATTTCAATTATTTTGTTTGGCCAACCCAACCCACTCCATCCGTACAGATGATGGCATCAGCCTTGTGAGCCTATCTATCCATGAACTAAATTCGACAAGAAGAAATCCATGAAATTAAGACGATATGATTGCACGCAGGGCACGTCCACGTATGTATGCATTCATCTTTTATTTTAGGACAGCAACAAAAACGTTAAAAACTCCGACATTATTGATCTGAAACCGATAATGTTGGTTGTATAAAATATTTTTTGAATAATGTAGTTATCTTCTTCTTCTTCTTTTTCTCTCGTTTGGTATAAATATGTTGTAGCTGTCTGTGTATAAATTTGAGCAATAATATAACAATAACTCAGTTGGTCCATCACCATTTTATAATGGATATAATATATATAATTGTTTGAATTAACTCAGTTTTTTTTCTTTTTTCAAACCTTGGGTCTGTGGTTAGGGTTCATCTTCAACACTCTCAACATGCGGTCGTTGGGTCAAACATGTGAAGTCTTACTCTGATATCGTAAAGGAAATTGAAGTTTCACTCAAAAAACAATTGGCAATGAGAGAAGAAGCCCAACTCTTTATAAACCCAGGCTAAGTTCCTTAACTTTTTAATGTGGAACAAACACTTTTAATAAAGAATTAATCTCCCAAAGAAATTGAGGGCTTTAATTAGAAGAAGAGCACACACTAGATTGCGTTTAAGTTGGTGACAACCGACAATTAAAGGTTGCTTTATTCTTTAAACAAATGGAGAGGTAGAGCCGCAGAGGTATTGGATTGGCGTTTAAGTCAACATCATAAACACTGGAATGCGTCCTAAAGAGAAGAAATATAATCCATGTTGCACCCTGGAAATGCAACAATTCATACTTAAAACAACGAATTTTGCCCCACCTAATTAACAATTGGGTTTTTTGGAAAAATAAAATAAAATATAACAATTAGGTTTAAGAAATATCCCGAATGCCAAGTTGTGTCCATCTTACAGATCATCAATATAAATTGTTTTTATTAGCTTATGCTTAGTTTAATGACTTTCAATGTCATTGTCTGAAATTTAAATAAATTTGTATTCTTTTATTAAAGCTGAGCAATGAGAAAAGGATTAAGATGTAACACATAATCCATGAAGAAGTATACTCCCACCATTCATGGCGGGCCCCATTTAATCACCCAACCCAAGGGCAGGGGAAGGAGAGAGGGAACAACAATATAATAATTTCCTTTTCTTTTTTCCTTTTGCCCTTGTTATTATTTGACCAATACGTACACATGAAACTATTGAAAACTACTTGTAGAAAACACAGAGAGAGAGAGAGAGAGAGAGAGAGAGAGAGAATAACTGAGAAGAAAGTTGATTTGTTAGTGGGAAGTGGATTGTCTCTATCCAAGGATTTTAAAACTAAAATAATACGTAATAATTAACCTGTTTCCATAACTTTTCCATTGTGTTTGAAATGACCTACAATTCATGTTATTTTATTTTATAGAATAATATTTTTTTAAATCTCATGAGGGAAAGGAACAAGAAAAAATTTCTGAAAGGGGCAATGAGTGAAATAGAAAGAAAGAGAAAAGATACAACAAAAGGTGTATGGTATACCAAAATATCATGCCTTTATAGCCCACAAAATGATTTTTGTTGTGAGGCACATTGGCTTTTACTATTGGAACAAAATGAAAATGGGATGTACAATATCAGAAGGGGCCTCAGGGCTTTCAAGACTCAGAGTTTGGCTACCATGTGTAGTGTTTTAATTTTAATTTTAGTATAAGTGATAGTTTAAATTACAAGAGAGAGAGAGAGAGAGAGAGAGAGAGAGAGAGAGAGAGAGAGAGAGTTATTTCTCTTACGCACACACAATTATGATGTTGTAGGGATTCAAACCGAAGACTTATGATCTGCAAACTAAGACCCTTTTTCATTGAGTTAGACCACGTTGACGTGTACTCGTAGTCTTTTAGTTGAATGATCTCAACCATGGCCAGTTTGTTTTTATCAAAAAAATCCCAAAATGGAAGACAGATAAGAGATTCTACCAATAGTCAATTTTTTGGGTACAAGTTCTAGAGTCAAATTTGGTGGTCCTTGTCGTTTGCCCTATATTAGAGGGTTTTCCTTCTGTCCAATTCGAAAGGGTGTGAGCTTTTGTTCCATGAATTAAGTTGAAAAATAAGATATATTGAAACTTTGCCTTCATCTGATCCAAAACCAGAGTTTATTTAGTCTGTTTCTTTCAATAAACAAAACATTTGGTCTTAGATTATTTGAAATTTTTCCCAGAGATCATGGGACTAGCTGACAAGGTGGATGTTACATTACATCTATATCATTTGGCAATTACACTTTTATGAACCTAATTGCGACTGCCCTTATCATCACTACTACTATTACCCAATATTCAACTCAGGAGAAATTCTGTAATTTGTATGCTGAGTATATTGTTTGAATATTGATAACAGATACTAAACAATAACATCATATTAAGGGATAACATTCTCGGTGATACACGTTACAGTCACTGGACAACCACTTCTTAGTTTTGAGAAAAGTCCCCATTTTTCAATGCTGACATCTGGGTTAATCACCTTCCACCTGTATGATTTCAAATTTCGTCAATCAACGACTATAAATTATTTGTTTGTATGAAAGAACACGCCAATTTAGATAAATCTTTTGCTAGATATGCATTTTGGCATGCCACATTGGTTAGTAGTACTGATGATTACTAGCCTTAAATCACTATCATAAAAATAAAAAAAACGCTTTCTCGACCAAATCTCTCTCAACCAATGTAAATTTTTTTGGACAGACCTTTCCGACGAATATTTGTCGGTTTGACCTCTCCCGACGAATTTTGTTCTGTACCGACAAATGTTTTTGCCGCCAAAGACATATTTTTCTAGTGTAATTCAATGAGACAGAAAAGAAGAAAATGAGATCATGTGACCTGTAAGTAGTGATGAGACGGTGGAGAAAGACTAGCATCATGGCCTTGGCCATATTCATCCCCAGGCATGTCCTCCCTCCCATCCCAAAAGCCAAGAAGCTGTATGGAACTTTCGATTCATCCTGCAGTTTGTGACAGACAAAGTCGAATTATGCAACTTCTCTTTAGACATGTACTTTTAACAAGAATTGAGGTGAATGAATTTGAGGCCAGCTGCATTCATGCTCACGTCAAATCTTGACGGATTGAACTTGTTGGGATCATTGTAAACCGTAGGATCAAGGTGTACTGATTTAGCATCAACGTTCACAGTCCACCCTCTCTTGATCTTAAATCCTATTGCAGCAACAGAAACACAAATCAATCATCAAGTTTAATTTTGTGAGATATAGAATAATTGAAACGCATAAACTATGTTTCAATGAATCGAACCTTCCATCTCGCAATCCTCGAGAGCTAGTCTTGGAAACCATGGCACGATGGATGCCAACCTCAGGGATTCTTTTACCACCTTAGAAGCATACGGCATGTCGTTAATACTTTCCAGTGTCAGAAATGACTTGGACGAAACTTTTCTAGCCAAGTCAAGTTGTTCTCTCTGTTACAACAAACAAGCATACAAGATTACCAGTCTACAAGCGTTTTCAAACCAGAAGAATTAAAAGAAGAAAATACAGAACAAAAAACTTCCATGCTTTTTCCCTTACTAGAAGAGTGTCAAGGACCTCTGGGTTTTCATCTAAGAATTTGACCATCCATGTCATTGCACTGGCTGTTGTATCCTGACCTGCAATAATCATGGTTAGTATATTATCTTGGATCTCCTCATCTGTTAGCCCACCGCCATTAGTGGTTGCTCCGTTGCATGCTTTATCATTCTCATCCAAAAGCCGTTGTAGAAAATCTTCACCATTTGCTTGTAACCCTCTTCTCCTTTCATTCATTGCCTTCCCAATTATGGCCATGATTTTCTTTCTGGCCTGAATGAAATGATCATACTTGACAAAGGTTACTTCTTGACAATTTGAGTCTACAATCCCATCTATGAGCTCTTGAGCTTTAATTTTGAAGAGTTATTTACCTGAAGGCCTTTGTAAAACCGAGTCCCGGGTAACCTCAGAGGTAATGCAAGCATTGCTTCACAAACATGAGCCACCTCCTTCTCTAACACCTCTAATTCATATCCGCTTTCCACGCTTATCAACATCTTGCACATAGCTTTGCAAGTTATCTGCTCAAAATGAAATTTACATCAAACACCTTATTAAATAAGAATCACAAACAGAACAAATTTTGAATGTTTGCTTTGGCTCAATAATCTTACTGAGCCCATGATATAGTTATAAAAGCTGATTGTTGGGTGATTTTTACAATTAATTAAAGTTTTGGGCTTCGATCCAGAACTTGCAGTCCTTAATGTTTGTTTACCTTAAGTGCTTCATCTTGTATAACCACAGTGCTTCTGTGTTCCCAGCCTCTGAGAGCATCAACAATGAGTTGATCAAACTGTTTGATGAAAACTGATAAAGAGCTCGTGGAGAACAAATTGGTTAGTTGGCTACGAATTAGTTTGTGGTGTTGGTGAGAAGCACAGAGCAGGCTTTGATTTCCCACTAGCTCACCAATTGACCTTATGTATCTTTTACTGAATTTCCCCGAGTCATTGTTTAAGATGGCCTTGGCTGACTCTGTGCTCGAAACAAAGACGTCTGTCTCTCCAAATATGTTGGTCCGGAAGCAATTTCCGTGCCTGCATTCACAGCAAACAGAGTAACAAACTAGCCGTGTTACAGTGAGGAGACTTATAAAAGACTCTAAGGGTTGAGGGGTAGGTCATGAACAGAGAGAGAGAGAGAAAGGTGTTACCGGAGACGGCGAAGTCGGACAAACTCATAAAACCCTTTGCCACTGTTGATGGCAGCCATGAACTGTAGGGTCTCTCCAATCAACGGCAATCCTTGACTGCCTGGAGGAATATCAGCCGTTGATTCTTGATTATTAGGCTTGATAATATGATAAATCAGACATGACAAGGCTCCTAATACTAATATTACAGCGTAACAACCAAAACTATAAGCTTCGTGATAAGGCAACATGGAAGGCATATTTTTCCTGCAGCTACAATTTTGCTCTGCAGCTTGGGTTGGTAGTAGAATGATATGAAAATTTTGTTGTGCAGTTTTAAAGAACATTGAAAGAGAGACGTCTACGGTGGAGGAAAATTGGGTTGGTGTTTTGGCCGACCAGCCTTTATGGCTATCTTTGTAATTATTAATTTTTGAAAAGCTTTTGAGTTGAGCTTCAATGCTCCATTCATTGAAATTGAACTAAGAAGCCTTGGCCATCATTACCGTCACTTTGGCACTAAAACGTTATCATGGTGCGCTGCCATAGAAAGCGCCCGAATGGTTGATGCTGACAAAAGTAACCCCACCATGCCTTGGATGGAAGGGCACAAAATGTCTCTAGAGACTTGCCAAGGGTAACGCAAAATGACCGTGAACTGAATAAAAAGAAAATTAAACTTCCCATTATCTTATATTACATGAATAAGATCATTGCTTTCTGATGACTGAAATGACCAAACTGGTATACTTGGTTCTAAACTTTGACAAGTGATCCCCCAGGAGCTCTGCGTACTTTCGAAACAGATGATCCATTATATCTTTTCCGAAATGAGATTCTAGCATTGACTCCGCCACGACTCTTATGCTCTTGGCCATTCGCTGCCCACTAGCCACCATGTCATCAGATTCACCACCACCAGCATCCCGATCAATTTCAAACGCCTCCACACGGTCGATTACGAACGACCCTTCTTTCTGTACCTCCAATTTCAATTCCTCTGCACATGGGGCATAATAGGGAATGTTGAAGGCATCAACCTTTCCCTCTTCAATAAGACCCTGCACCCATATGCATATAAATATATAACTTATTATGTTAATCAAGTAAAATAGCCATGATGAAACTAAATTATTAATATATATACCTCAGAAACCAGGGTCATTAATGCATGGGCTAAGAGCTCCCACTGGTCGCAACTCTCTCGAGTTGTGGGATCAGAGGAAGGCCTGCCAATGAGTGACAACACCATTCGTCCTCCGCCAACTACTTCTTCAGCGCGGGACTTAAGAAACGATGAAAAGTCTTCGTGAAACTGAAGTGAATATGCGTCCAAAACGCATTGAGGGCTGGTCTTAGAAATGTAGATCTTTCCCTTGTTCAAGGCCGAGCCAGCTGTCTCCGCCGGGGTGTTGCTGAGGGCAGGGGGGACCCGAGAGAGCCAGTGGATGCTACAAGAAGAGTGCACAAAATGCAAAGTCTTGGCCGGAAACAACCTACCGTGAAACGAACCTGGCACGGCAGAAACAAAGACCGACCCAAATTCAGGACCTTTCTCTTGTTTCAAGTTGTTGTAGAATGCAGGGAGTGACATAAAAATGGCGTTGAAGTCGTTGCTGAAGAGGTCATTGAGATACACTCTGAACTCTGTTGTTGATGATGGGGACAGCTGGAGGCCGAGGCTGCTGCGCTTCGCATGTATGGCATCCATGATGTAGGAGACGGGCAGTAAGGTGTTGGCTCCAGATGAGCAACCCAAATCGGCAATCCCCATGCTCTCTATATTATTTGAGCTCAATATTTCTAGCACGGCTTCATGAATGATTGGCTTTGCAACCGATAATATTTTGCCCTACAAAAATAAAATTTAATTATAATGAAATGATCATAATAATATGGATTGAGGAGCTAAGAAGTTAATGAATTAAAGATGGAAAGCCAATAATATAATAATTCTGTTTAATTAATTTGTACCTGCACTTGGGAGTTTTGAGAATAACTAGTCTCGCCATCTCCTTTGTTCATGTGAAGTATTTGGTTCACCTCCATCTCTCTCTCTTCTCTCTATCCTCACCAGTATACCTACCTACTCATCAGTAATTAAAACCTTCACGTCTGCTGCTGCTGCTGCTTATTTATATAAGCAACTCGTCCATGTTGTCGGTTGTCATGTGTTTCATTTTTCAAAACCAATGGCTTAACAATGGGAAATGTAACCAATTGCATGTTGCGCCTGTGTCTGTATATACACGCACATCAGTAGCACTATGTACCTGGACGCTTCTCCGTTGCGAAATTCAACAATGCGGATTTGTTACGGAATTGAACTTTTAGCGCTTCTCTGTTGCGAAATTCAACAATGCGGATTTGTTACGGAATTGAATTTTTAACCTTACGTTCAACAATGAGAATTGTACGGTCAAAAATTCAGTTACGTAACAAATTCGTATTGTTGGACTTCGCAATGGGCAAGCGAGGAGATTTGCAGATCTGGAGTTGGTTTTGGATTGGGGGGGCGAAGAAGAGTCAGAGAAGAAACGAGAGGAGCTTATATAAGAAAATAAGAGTTGTTCATGCATTTCCAACCACGCATTTGCCATCCACTAGTATACTGACGCAGAATTCCAACCTTCAATTATTGAAGCCCATTGTGCATTGTGCACCTTTTATTTGATGAAAGAAAAGGCTCCTTCTCAATCAGTTTTGGAAAGTTTCGACTATGTCCCTATCTATCTCTTCTTACGTTAAATAATAGTACAACAATAATTAACAACTAATTTAAGAAAACAAAAATCAAATTAAATTCACCCATGTTTTTTCTCCCAATACTATCTTTTCCTCCTTTTTTCTCCTCCTATTTCTCCATATCATAGATTCCAAAGTTGAAAACGATAATAAGAATATTTCATATATATCAAACCATAGGAAAGTTTATTATAAGCGAATAGAAAGGTTTACATGTTTAGTCAAGACATCAAAGAGCCATTTTGGCCATACAAGGTCCCAAAAGTGGGTACCCCTAACTCGACTCACAAAAGCTGCAACCAAGTGAGCAGCTTCATTACATTTCCGAAGTATATAAGCAAAGCTCACCGACCCAAACTGTTGAGACAAGTTTTTGATGTCAATGTTAAAAAGTAATGCACATTGTACTTTGAATAATAAAGAAAAATCTTAAATGATATAGAAAAATTGAGTGAAAATAGATAAGTCATATTTGAGCTCTACATTAGAAACATCATATTAATTATATAATGTATTGTAACTAGACTATTCTAGACTTATATTATAACTAGTGGCTGGAAAATATTTTGAGAAGTCGGTTACTATGCAATAACCGACTTCACTAGATATTTGCCATCCTTTGAGTCGGTTCAGCTACTCTATATATATAGCTATAGCAGCCCAATTATGTATTCAAGTTAGGAAGAGCTGAAAAACTACGGCTGTCTAAACTCCCATCAGCCAACTCTAAAGCCCTTGTACTCTTCTTATAACAATCAATAAAATAAAATTATCTTGTTACTCTTTCAAAAGTTTTCTATTCATCATAAAGCTATTATCCTAAGCCTTTCTTCTCCCTAGAACTAACAGTAAAAAATAACTCCTACTATCTTGACATCAACAAACCCACTTGTTGTTTATGCCCATAATCAAAATTCTACCAACACTATGAACTATTTTGAGAGAAGAGGAAGATATCTGTATTAACATTAATAATGAGTAGAGAGCACATTCTTCAAAGAGAAAGATGGATGTAGATTTCATCTAATCTTCCACAGAGTAGCAAACAAATTTTTAAAGAATCTATAATTGTAAACCTAGATGGATTAATGTTAAAATGCAATATGCAGGATTGATATGTGATTCAATCCTTATACTACAAAGCAAAAATCAAAACACAAAAACTGAGAAAATATACAAAGACAAAGTATTTGTATGAAATCTCGCACGAGAAAAAAACCCTCCATATATGAGAGAAAAACCTCAAGGCACACAGCCAATTTCACTAAAAACTTAAGGACATATACAAGACTCAATTGATACTTTCTTACACCATAAAGGAAGATTGATCAAATACTCTTGTCTTGTACGAACACGTCCTCTTCACTTTCTCTTGGATGAACACCAATTCACGCAGGTTGATCTTCCTCACAAGCAAAGCTTCCACAACGTTCCATGATGAATGAATGATATGTTATGCTCTCAGACTATCACCTAGATAAATCTAAGAACCTAACAGCCTTTTATCTCTCTCCCTTGATTTTATAAAACAATATCACGATTTTGATTAGAGTGCAAAAAGGAGGTCCGAGAAGAAAGACTTCTAGCCTAACCCTTTATATACTAGGTTAACTCTTTTACCTAATAAACAAAGAGATTGACCTTATTTAAACCTCTCCCTTATTTAAGACTCTATGCATATTTGTATAGACTTTACACCTCTTCCTTATTTAAACCTCTTCCTTATCTAGGAATAACCAACTTACAGACTCTTTACATTTTCTAGGAAATAGCCAACTAAAAATACACTTTCAGAATTACTACACTTTTTTGGAAGAATTTCTCAAACTTTTCTTTCTGAGAATCGACCTCATGAAGCTTTAAAAATGGAGATGGAGGAGGCGTGAACTATAGGGGAGTGGAAATTGTGGCAAAAACATGTAATTTTTTAAAAACATATGAGGGTAGTATATGGATTATGAAAGTTATTTTAAAAGCACTCGCCACCCGCTTCTTAAATCTGCTGCCATTGACCCGTGATTTTGAAAAAAAAAGGGCTTTCACTTGTTTTACCAAACACCTAAAGTCAGAAAATTTTAAAAATAAGATGTTTTTTTTTAAAAGCACAGCAATCCCAAACTAAGCCTGAATTTGATCACTGGAGAGTGTTTTTGAAGCTAGGAAGCCTTTTGCCCTGACAAGTCCAACGGGTGTAAATTCTCTAATAATAAGAGCACTTTCACCCATTTGTCATGACAAAGGTCAAGGGATGGCAAATGCTATTACTATTCACGTTAATAGTGGCAGCCATTGCAAAAGGCTTGTGGTGTTTCCACCTATTGTCATGGCAACCACTATTCACATGAGATATAATGAGAGGAATTTGTATAGAGTTTTGGTGTGGGAAGTGAAAAATATGACTAAATATTTATTTCAAAAAAATTATTTATTTTTTTAAAAAAATTTGGTTGTTGACGTCAACAAACCCAGACTAGAGCAAGGGCTGGTTTTGCCTGAGGGCCAGCCCACCAACAGCCCTGACAGTATTTGTCCGCTGGAAGCCCTTTTTGGGCCTAGGCACCCCCTTACTAGGGGCCGCTGGAATCACTCTAATAGTGGCTGCTTCAATACACTACATGCTGCACCATGCTCTATAAAAAAAGCCGTTACAGTGTTCGCAAATATTTGGGCCTAAAAGCCCATTTATGAGTTATTGGGCTTTATTTGAATGAGCTCTACCTGAAGGCTAAAGCCTTGGATTTTTATTTTTATTTTTATTTTTTTTGGGATTTTGGGAGGGGGTGGGGCTGTGTTTAAAAGGGGTCCTTTGATTCTTTAGCAAGAGTAATGACTTCATGATTTGATAAATCAGACATGACAAGGCACCTATCACTTTGTAACATCAAAAAACGACATCACGGTGCTGCCATTGCCATCAAAAGCTCGCGTGCAATGCAAGTGATGGATGTTTGTTTTAATATGATTAGATAACAAACAAAAGTATATTAATAGCCGCACCATGCCTTGTACGTAGTGACTTGCCAAGTCGATAAGAATTTCCATTTTTGCAGGAGTTTAGACTATTTGGGGATAAAAGACTATTTTTGGATAAAAAAATCTTGCGGATTTAAGCAGAAGATAATTACTTATAGGATTTTTTTAAAGGATTTCTATAATCAAGATTTTTAACTTATGGATTTTAAAGATTTCTATTACAAGATTTATAAGATTTGAAAGGATCACATCAATTTCTTTCGGGGTCAACATAAGATTTTTTAGAAAAAATAGACCTTTAAGAATGAAACACTAATATTGTTTCTATCTCTTCATCATCTCGACACCCACAAAGCCAACCTTCATTCTCGACAGCCCACCCTCCCACAGCCACCACACACACTCTCTCATTTGTGCGTTGTGGTCTATGGAGTTGCTTTCCACTTTTGTATGGATTTTGCAAGTAAACTATTTATCAGTACATCACATTGATCAATGCCAACAATTTCAATGCTTTTGGTTCTCACCTCTGTCAAAATCATTTATTTGTATCAAAATATATTTTTGTTGTTCATATAAGATTAAATTTCATTGAAACTCAAATAGGGGTACAATCTTGAAACAAAATATCATGAATCAAAGCATGGGGTTCCTCGAACCAAACATAATCTTGACCACAGGTCAAAGCATATCTTGCAAGTATGTGGGCTACTTCATTACAGCTCCTTGACACATGGTCAATTGAGGCATTCTGAAAATCAGAAAGGAGCTCTCCACAATCCTCGTAAAGCCTGCCCAAGACAGCTCCACTTGAGTCACTTTTGTTAACAGCAAGTACAATTGTGAGAGAGTCACTTTTATTAATGATTTTCTAGCAATTAATCTTAAACTAAAGCTGCGCCATTTTGGGGCTTGTGTCGAACAGATGGTGGGCAATTTTTGCCCAGCCATCCAGCTTTGTCAAACAGATGCGTGGAGGTCCACATGTTAGAAGCTTATACCCCAACAGCTGATAGCTCTAGTTTTGAAGGTGGTTTGGTCTTCATGTGAGGAAAGGTGAGGAAATAACATTACTTATACCCAGTAGTCGTTATTGGTGGTTTGGTCGCCATGGTTTGTACCCAGTGCACAACTGCTTGGGTGGAGGTCAAGGTGAGGAAAGAATTTTAAAAAAAATCTCGTGAAAAGTTTGATGGGTTAGGGTGGGATTTAAGATAGGGGTTGGTATTTATACCACATACTAAAAAATCTCACACAATCTCACATTTCAAAAAATCCCTTTAAAGTAGCAAGGTTATGAATACCATAAGACTTTTTGTTACTTATTTAATGTCTTGATTGAATACCACAAGATTTCGACACCCTCATTTAAAAATCCTAATAGTTTTAATGGAATACCACTAGACGGTTTAGATTATTTAAAAGTCTTAATTGAATACCACATGACTTATTTATCTCAAAATAATATTTTAAAATCCCAATTGAATACACCCCTATAATTTTCAATCAATAATGCCTTGGATATAATGGAAATTTCTTATTTGCTTTGAATTGACAAAATTCGCAGAAAACAAATGAAATACTGTTACAAACATAAACATCTCTAATATCGCTCATTTTCAATACATTATATATATAATTTGTCAAATAAACACAACTAGAAGTATTGGTTACAACCAAAATAATTCAACCAACCTGAAAAAAAAGATGAGGAGACATAAAGGAAATTATTCTTTTTTTTTTTTTTTTTTTTTTTTTTTTTTTTTTGAATGAATAATCATTTTTTTTTTTTTTTTTTAAGGACACAAAAAATAATGTATTTAGTTCTAGATTTTGATAAGTGATTACTGACGAGCTCTGCGTAGCATTGAAACAGATGATCCATTATATCTTTTCCAAAATGAGATTCGAGCATTGACTCAACCACGGCTCTTACTGTCTTGGCCACTTTCTGGCCACTACCTACCATGTCAAATGTGTGATGCAATTCTTGATACCCATCGCCATCCCAATCAATTTCAAACGCCTCCAGGCTGTCCATTAAGAATGACCCTTCTTTTTTAAGCGCCAAGCTCAATTCCTCTTCACATGGGGCATAGTAGGGAGCGTTGAAGGAATCAACCTTTTCCTCTGCAATAAGACCCTGCACCCATAGAACAAGTTAGTAACTAAGCTAATGCATTAATGGGATAATGCAATGGAAAAAAAAGAAGAACGGGTGTTGCTATTTAATATATGTGGTTCTCACATACAACGCACCTCTATTAGAGAGGTGGTCAGCAAATTTAATGACCATCTTAAGGGAGATGTTTTTTTTTTCTACTCTTCTGGCAACATGAAAAGCTTAAATTGCCATTCTTCATTACATACTTGTATCTGGTTTGACATTTTTCATTGAAATTTAATATGTTTGGTTTACAAATCCCTCAAGGATCTTTTCCTTGTAATATTTATTCGGGCTTGTCCAATATAGGTCTCTACATTTTCTATTTCCTAGACATATACCCATCACTCTATAAATCTATGTGTAAAATCCAATTTCAAATTTAAATGACTAATAGGATATAAGAGGTCATAGTATTCCTATGTTTTTACATCGTTGTCACCATACTTCATTTTTTATTTATTATTTATTTCAAGCATTTCATTAACTGCCATAATTGTAATTAATACTCCTTATTAATAGCGTATCAATTAATCACCCCATTTCATTTGATTGCCATTCCCTCTAACATATCGCCCCTAAAAATTAAAAAAAAAAAAAAAAAAAAAAACATATCTAACAATAATGTACCTATGAAAAATATAAATATATATATATATACATAATATAGGTATATTATTTACCAAAAAAATTTACAAAAAAATTAGGTAGACAATAAGCTATAGAAAATATAGATACAAAATAATTTATTAAAAAAAAGGTAGATTATTACAGAAAAATAGGTACAAAATAATTTTTATATATAAAAAAAAGGTAGATTATTATCCATGAAAAAACTAGGTACAATAAATGAAATCCAAGTTCTAAATAGGTAGATTATTATTTGGGAAAGATGAAACAAAATTTCAAAAAGGCAATAAGGAAGACTGCTTTTTTCGGCCAACACATTGTTGACTGTATTAATGAATTTTAATAATAAAAGGGATAATTAATTGCGGACAAAATTTTTAGAGGGAATCACCACAATAAATTGGGGAACCAAAAATTAAAACACCACCCCATTACACTTTGAAATATAAATAGGGGTATTTTGGCAATAAAAAAATTATAATAAATCAGATATTGAGCTTAATAAGGTAACTTGATGAGTTGGATCCTAGTTATGAGTTTTTACTTATAAAAATTGGGTATTATTTATAGGAACAAAAAGTGAAGGGTTGCAAGTAAAGTAGGTTGAATTTGAAGGGTGTAAGCCAAATTTACTATATTTCTTTTGTTTCAAAACAAAAACAAAAAAACTTAAATCGCTATATATGCTAAATATTGTAGATACCTCTGAAACCAAGGTCATCAATGCGTGGGCTAAAAGCTCCCACTGGTAGCAACTGGCTGGAGTTGTGGGGTCATAGGATGGCCTGCCCATGAGCGACAACACCATTCGTCCTCCACCAACCATTTCTTCAGCGCGGGACTTGAGAAACAATGAAAAATCGTTATGAAACTGAAGCTTATATGCGTCCAAAACGCATTGTGGGCTGGTCTTGGATATGTAGATCTTTCCTTTGTTCAAAGCTTCGCCAGCTGCCTTGCTGTCGAGGCCAGGAGGGACCTGAGACAGCCAGTGAAGGCTAGAAGAAGCGTGCACAAAATGTAAACTCCTGGCCGGAAACAACCGCCCATAAAACGAACCAGGCGTGGCAGAAATGAATAAAGATCCAAGCTCAGGCCCCTTCTCTTGTTTGAGTTTGTTGTAGAATGCAGGAAGTGACATAAAAATGGTGTTGAAGTCATTGCTGAAGAGGTCATTGAGGAACACTCTGAGCTCTGTTGTTGCTGACAGGTGGAGGCCGAGGCTGCAGCTTTTGGCGCGTATGATGACATCTATGATCTCGGAGATGAGCAATAAGGTGTTGGGTCCAGATGAGCAGCCCAAATCTGCTATTCCCATGCTCTCTATATTATTTGAGCGCAAGATTTCTTGTACGGCGTCATGAATGATTGGCTTTGCAATGGAAATTATTTTGCGCTACAAAATAATAATAAAAATGTTATATATATATATGTATACATGAAATTAATTAACATGTTGAATTAGAATACAATTATTAATTGAAGAAAATCATGATGAATAATATTGATTTGGACCTGAACTTTGGAGTTTTGAGCATAACTAGTCTCGCCAACACCTTTGTTCATGTGAAGCATTTGCATCACCTCCATGTCTGTCTGTCTGTTTGTCTGTCTGTCTGTCTGTCTGTCTCATACAAAAGCTTGGAGTGAATGTGCTCTATATATAGACCCCACTCTGCCATTCATTGCCAGTCATTCCTTGGAGAGACGTATAAATGGAACCATGCACCACAACCACACATTATAGTAACTACGTACTATGTCCCGTCGTGCGTGGGGAGGATCAGATGCACATATCTAAGTCTAACGGTAACCTAGGCCAAAATAAAACAGACAAAAACCTTCCTGCATCTCTTTTCATTTCATACCACAAAAGAGTGAAAGGTCTATCTATGCCTATATGTAGCATGAATAGCTAGCTGGTCCTTATACACTCCATATACGTTTGAAAACCAATTAAATAAGGCTGCATTTAGATGAAGCTAGTTAAAATATTAAAAGAAAACTATTTTTAAAAAAAAAGATTTGGAATCCATTTATTTCCCTCATTTCAAACCCATTTTTCTTTAGTTTTGGCATACATGGATTGTGCTAGCGTAATCCTACAGTTTAACCTTATTATAATGTCAATCATTTCATCCAGATGGTTCGAAGAGCAACTATGACAAGCATTATAAAAAGCAACAAATCGATACTTAATTAGAATACATATATGAAGATTTTAATGACAGTGATCAAACTAATATCAAATTGATTTTTTTTTTCCCTTTCTTTGGAAAGCAATGTCAAATTGATTTCGAAATGAGTGGAAAAAAGAATCGCACCATATGTCCCATTCACATGATATTTTATACCTAATTAATTCCCCCAGTTTGGTTTGTTTGCAAATAATACATTAGATTAGAAGCACATGGTACATGTGATAAACAGTCGTTTTGCAATTTGTATGTGACTCATTTATTCTTAAACGTGTTATTCTTCTACTGCGCAAGAAATTACCCACTATACATATATAACGACGTTCATGGAAGTTTGAAATATCACGCAACCAGTGCCGGAGCCACTCAGGAGTGGCCCTGGCCCCCTTTAGATTTTTATCTTTCTTCTATTATATTACATATAACATATAGAATTTGTAATAATCATAATCCTCTTATTAGAAATATTTAGCTATAAACAAATTAGACATGACTCAATTAGAAATATTTAGCTATAAACATATAATTATTGAATACTTAAGTGTTTTATATACTTGTATTTTCTACTTTGGCCCTCCTAACTTTACAATTCTAGCTCCGCCCCCGCACACAACAACAGTATATTCACCATTTGTTGGAAAAAAAGGGCGGCACCGGCCAGGCCAGTACTTAGTCGGGCCGTTTTATTTATATACATGATTATGATTTGACAGTTTTGATTAATTTATCATAGGGATTCATATGGACTTATTGAATTCCGAAACAACTTAACCTCTTTTATTTGAAATATAGAAGAGTCATAATCTGTGAGATGTCGGCAAGAGTGTAGTTACAATTCGTGATCCGCGAGCCAACTTAATCTATTTGGTTTGAAATATAGGAGAGTCATAATCTGTGAGATGTCGGCAAGAATGTAGTTACAAATCGTAATCCGCAAGCCAACTTAACCAATTTTTGTTCGAACTTACGTAATGACCATGTTTCACATAAAGGGGACCACGATGGTTGTACGCATAGTCTTTGAAAAATAAGAAAATAAGAGTTGTTCATGCATTTCCAACCATGCATTTGCCATCTACTTGTACTGACGCAGAATTCCAACCTTTAATTATTGAGGCCCACAATGCACCTTTTATTTGATGAAAGAAAAGGCTCTTTCTCAGTCAGTTTTTCAAAGTTTCAACTATGTCCCTATCTATCTCTTCTTACATGAAATAATAATAGTACAACAATAATTAACAACTAATTTAAGAAAACAAAAATCAAATTGAATTCACCCATGTTTTTTTATGTATAAAAGCAAAGCTCACCGACCCAAACTCTTGAGACAAGGTTTTGATGTAAAAAATAATTCCTTCTATCTTGACATCAACAGGAATAACTCCTTGAAGCATTTATATTAGTTGCTGTGAATCGGATTCCACAATAGCTTGATCAAAATCTGCATTCAAGGCATATGTCAAAGCATCACGAATAGCTTCGGCTTCCATCATAAGAGTTGACTGACAAAGCAGACTTCCAATACCTCCTGTCTTGAGCATCCACCCTACTTAGGGGCGGTCCTACCCTAAGGGCAGGGTAGGCAACCGCCTATTTTATTTTTTGCCAAATTAAAAATTACCCAATATCCAATACAATTAAATTTTTTCTGCCTACTCAAACCCAACCCACCAAGGGCAGTCCTCCCCTAATAATAGGGTAGGTAGCGGCTACTCTATTTTTTGCCAATCTAAAAATTACCTAATACCCAATACAATCAAATTTCTTATGCCTATTCAAACCCAACCCACTAGGGGCGGTCCTACCCTAAGAGTAGGGTAGGTAGCTGCTACTCCATTTTTTGCCAAACTAAAAATTATCCAATACCCAATACAATCAAATTTCTTCTGTCTACTCAAACCCAACCCACTCAAATTTTTCCCTTTAACAAAAACAATAGCCTAGCACACTCAAACTTTCTCCTTTAACAAAAACAATAAAAAGCAATATAAGCATGTGAAAGATGTTAAAGTTGTACGGATATATTTTTTTTTAATTACAAAAAAGGTGGTAGGAGTGTCACCTCCCCGAGCCAGACAAAGGTTAAGGGAAAGCTCTTCCTAAGAGGTTTGTTACACATTAGGAGGATCAAACCCGTGACCTCATTGAGGAGCCTGATCACATTCACCCAACATGTGTGGCCTAGCCCGTTCAATTTTCCACTAGACCAAACCCACTTGGGTATGGAGATTCTTTTTAAGGTTGACTAACATTGAGAATTTTGTTAGTGCTTTTGCTATGCGCCGTAATGAGGTAAATTTAATTCGAAAAGCTGAACTCAAAGAATTGTTGGATTTTGGGGAACTTGAGACAGGTAGAAGACTTAATCAAGGTCGTAGTTTGAAACGAGCTGGAGCCACTTGTTGGGGATCTCACTTTGCCTCTATTACAAGTTTGATGAGTTTATTTAAAAAGACTAAAACACTTCTCCAAGAAATCAGTGATTATGGACCTAACCAACAATTTTGTGGCAATGCAGAGAGTAATTATATTGCTATGATGTCTTTTGAATTTATGTTTTCATTGCTTTTTATGGATAAAATTATGAGATTGACCAACTTTCTTTGTCAAGTATTTCAGACAAAAACTTAAGATATTGTAAGTGCTTTAAACTTTGTTGAAAACACAAAATCACAGTTCCAAGATATGAGGGCACATGATTAAGATGATTTATTCATAAGTGTGGTATCATTTTGTGAACAACGTGGTATTGATGTTCCTGATATGAGTTCTCATTATATGAGTCCCTAACATAGGAATGAGGAAACCTGTAGAGTGATAACTCTTCTTTATTATATTTTGTAAATATCTCTTCCTTCCATTCCAAAGAATATTTTTCTTAGAAATCGGCGAATCGTAAAAAGACTTGTATAAAATGATTGTTATATTGCTGCTTTTCACTTACCCGGTTCCCCACTCGGCGAATGGGTACATCTAGTGTCGATCGTATAAATCGACACAAAAAATAATTATGTTAACGAATCGTGCCGCCAAACAAACCTCATCCTAACCACATAAAGCCAGAAAATTAGTGGTCATTTTTGTCAACAAAAAGATTTTATTATAGTTGAACATTACTATCGCATTGATGTATTTAATGATGTGATAGATTGCATGTTAAGGGAGTTAAATGACAGATTTCCAGAGCAAACAATTAAACTTTTTATTCTTAACTCAACATTGGATCCTCGTAATTCCTTAAATTCATTTAATATTGGGCATCTATGTAAACTTGCTGAGAAATTCTATCGTGCTGATTTCAGTCCAAGTGACTTGAAAGCTTTAGAAATTGAGTTGAGGTATTTTCAAAATGATATGCATCGCCTTCCCTGCTTTAAGGACCTCACTACTCTTCCTCAGTTATGTCAACAATTGGTGGAAACAAATTTGGCAGAAAACTACCATTTGCTTTACAAGTTGATTCAGTTGGTGTTGACTCTTCTTGTTTCTACAGCAACAACATAACAAGCTTTTTCATGTATGAGAATTATTAAGAATAGACTTCGGAGCACCATAGCTGATGAATTCCTTACTGATTCCATGATTCTCCACATTGAAAGAGAGTTTGTTAATAATATTGATAATGAAGAGATAATTGAGGAATTTAAGATTTCTAAGCCTTGTAGGGTAAAGTATTAGATTTAAATAGTTTAGTTTTGTGTAGCATTGCATTTACATTTTTTTTTTGTTAAGCTTTTATTTATATATAGATATGCATATTTGACGGTAAGACTCATTACGTCTCCCATGACTAGGTGTTTTTTTAATTATTTTTATGAATAAAATTCACTCATACCGTCGAGTTTTTAAGGTAAGTTTCGCCTACTTGACTTTTGAATCCTGAATCCGCCACTCCTACTCTACCTCGAATTGCCCAACCTATACCTCCTTCATGGTTTGTCGTAACCATGCCCCATCACAATTCAATTTCACATACCCATTAGGTGTGTTTATATCATATTTGATCAAGCAATTAGAAACAAATCTAAGCAAGGCAAAAAGTCCTACACTGGAATATTACAAGATGTATAAACGCCCCCTCACCTATAAAAGAGACCACTCTCCACTTAGGAAAGGATCACTAGGCTAGACTTGATCTTTAGTCTTAGGCTTCTCCCTTCTTCTCTTTATATGTGGGTCAAACTCCTTGTACAAATGTAAATACATATTATTATAAGAATGAGAATGTACTTCTCCATAGACGTAGCTCATTCGTTAAGTGTGAACCACATATATCTTGTCTTCTATATATTTATCACTTGCCCAAATTTTTACATACATGCTGAAGGTCCACCATACCTTCACTCATCATCCATCATACCTCATCACTAAGTTGGACTCAATATTGGCCATCAATTTTGAGCATCAATAAGGTGCATAAAAACTTACATGTAACGAGGATAACATTATTTTGCTATCCCCAACCAATAACACAATGACACGTGAAAAAGTTATCTCACATGTCATTGTGTTATTGGCCAAGAATAGCAAAACGTTGCATGAAAGTCTTTCTCCAGGTAGCTCGCTGTCAACATTTCCTTTGTAATCTGGGCTTCAATAAATTCAGAAACCTGTGATTGCATCAGCAACATGGTCTCATATACTTTCTTTACTCGCTCAAAGAAAAAAAGTAGAGACTGATTTTGATAACCGTTGCGTGACCAAAAATTAGAACAAAATAGTAAAGCTAAATAGAGCATATAAGAATCTCAACTAACCCCAACAATTCAATGAACATTCATCTCCAATTTGTCCATGATATCTCAACTTCAAATCGGAATCGGTTCATCATATAAATTTAAGAATACGGGCTCCGGTATAATCTTTGTATGGGTGAAATTTAAGAAACAAAAGGTAATTAAAGTCAATAGGCCTTCTGGGTGCCTGCCCAATGGGCCAAGAACCATTAATTAAATCGGAATGACAAGTGGATCGAACTGCAATTTCTTATGTGTGTAACCCGAACGACCCACTATCTTGTCGCATTCGACCTGTTCTTACGAACTTTAATTATTATTATTATTATTTATAAAAATTAAAAGAATTAGTTTTAATTTTGTTAATTTCCCGGAGTGGGTTTTGGGTTTAGGTTGCTTGTCTCATGCTTGTGCTAGAATTGTGGTATAATTAATAAGATTACGCAGAAAGGAATTAGCATCCAGAAAGTGAAGCTGCAAAGGTAAAGGGTAAAGGTGAAGCCACTGACAGAGTGATAAGCCATTAAAAATTGTTCGAGCCCAAACAAAGATTCCCACTAGGAACGACTTTCTTTGTTTGGTCTGCGTTCTCAGCCTCAGGCCTTATCTATAAAATTATCATCTTTCTGCGACTTCGGTGTTTGGTGTGTCAGCTGATTCTTGCAATGTGTTTGTTTGATCAAGCTGATTCTTGCAAATCTTATCTCCTCAATTGGGTACTTGCAAATTTCGATCTTGCTTTGAGAATTTTTGTTTTTGGATAGAAGAAAAAAAAACTGAAAATGTTCATTTGTGCAGTAACTGTGAGGAGCTGAATCTCAATCAACACCAAGACATGGAAGTCATTTTAGAGAAAAAAGACGCTGGTGATTGGATTTACAGAGGCGAAGGCGCTGCCAATCTTGTTCTCGGTTACAACGGATCCACCGCCGCTTTTGTATGTTTCATACTTTGTTTGATTGTTTCCAAACACACACACCACCCGAGCTTCAATTATGCACTTATCTAAAAGAATGTGTTAAGAGAGAAGAATTTCTTACTAGTTCACGAGGTGTGGTCCTTATTATGATCGGTCATGTTTGAAGCTTATAATGATTGTACCTTGCTCTATGTAGATTGGGAAAGTAATGCGTCTACAGAAAGCTCCAGTTAATGGGTCAAAGTCCATGAACAGTCCCACTGCATTAACCGTGCATGAACGTCTTCTGTGGAAGGACACGGAGGACATTGTAGCTACCTCTAACAAAGAACTCGCTTGTCAACTGTTTGTGAAGCACATCATGAGCCCTCTATTGGGTTCCACATACGTTGATTCCGGGGTATGTAGCTATCCACACTTGTACTAATGCATGATACTTGCTGAATGGAACCATGTCCACGTTGTATCATTTCAAAATAGTTACGGTGGGCTTTAAGGCATTTTTTTAGTTGAGCTGTATTTGTACATGGGGTATGTATCTATGTCTGGAACCAAGACAGTGATTATGGATTTCATATGCCGAGTCACACGGTAAGCTTTCTCTTATTAGGGAAAGCTACAATACTGTTGATTGAAAGATCCTCATACTCAGCAATATAGTGTATGCATTTGGTTTTCCCGTGAAGTCATGCATGCATGTGGTAAGATGTACAAAATGGTTTAGTTCTTTAACCTTCAGTTTGAATTTTGGCAGATGCGTGTCCCTGCTTCCAAGGAATTCTTGGAGTCGGTTGAGAAGAACATAATTTCTCAGCGTCCTGCTTCTCGAGTTGACGCCGCTAAAGTTGACACACAATGTGATTCTGTGCTTCTTATGTCTGATCATTCTCTTTTTCCTCGTGGTAATTAGTGTCTCTCTGTTAGTTACAATTTTAATTAGTGCTGCACTTAAAGATTTAGAACTGTCTTTTCTGCACTTGTAGTTCGAAAGTCAGATGGCTTATTTAATCTAGCCTATGATCCAGGTTTCTTTTTTGCATGCCTTTTACTTTTCTAGTAAAAGATATGAGGTAATATCCACACACCTACATAAAAACTCAGAGGAGCAGGGAGAGAAACGTGGAATTAGCAGCATTCTGCTTAGAATCATAGGAACTTTGCATCTTATTAAATGTAGGTGCACCTATTTATCTAAATATTGTCTTGTGATAGATATGATCAGAAGTATTATTTTTTGTTTTGTTCTGTTTTGTTTTTGAGACCTTAGGAAAAAGCTCTGATAAATTTCAAAGAGTGATAGTTTATTCTTCTTTATTCATTTCAGGTACTCATGAAGTTGAACCCTGTATATCTGTGGAGATAAAGGTGCTTTTCCATGTTTGTGTTCTTCGTTTCTATTTTATGCTTGTCATGTAAACTTTTTTCTTGTTGTCTTCACATGAGTAATACCCTTGAAATATATTTAGTTATTCCTTTTTTCTTTTCAATTGTTTCCAAAAATAGCCAAAATGTGGATTTCTGCCATCTTCAAAGTTCATTGATGAAGGAAATGCCATTAAACGGAGCATTACTCGTTTTCAGATGCATCAAGCTCTGAAGTTGCATCAAGGAGAGGTGTGCTTTTACTATGTTCTTCTCTTGGTCAAATTATTTACTACCCGGAAATCAGGCAAATGAGTTCCATATGTTCAATGGGAATTCCATCTCATCTAATTCTTCTTAGAACTTCTGCGCACAAATTTCAGCAAAGAGAGTCCTATTTTGTAGTAATGCTAAACGTCAATGTTAATCTGACTTGGATTTGTCTAAACCTGTGTTACAGGTATCAGAATATAGTGAATATAATCCACTTGATATGTTCTCTGGATCCAAGGACAGAATACATAAAGCTATCAGGGATCTCTTCTCAACCCCACAGAATAACTTCCGTGTGTTCTTGAATGGTTCTCAAATATTTGGGGGCTTAGGTGGTGGTGCAGACAGTACCAATTTTGTGACTCAAGGAAAATTTGAAGATGCACTCAAGTGTGTCATTCAGGGAGGTGATGGCTTGCGCACAATGAGTTTTCTACAGCTTGTTGCTGAAACAGTTCATAATTCTGGAGTGTTGGATCGGCTCCTTGAGGTCCAGAAACTTGATAACCTTGACATTGATGGGGCTATCCATGCGTATTATGACATTGTTTCAGAGCCTTGCATGGTATGCAGAGCATTCGGTAAAGAAAAAATGTCACAGAGATATCTTTCATTGCATTCCATCTCTTTGGATGAAAGCTTGAAGATTGTGAAGGACTTTTTGATAGCTGCTACTGCGAAGGACTGCAGTTTGATGATTAGTTTTAGACCAAGGAAAGATGGGAATACAGGATCTCCATATAATAATTTGTATCTAGAATCAAGCAACCAATTTTTTGATTACAAGGTACAGATCTCCTTATCATTTCATTCTGACTGATACCATCGCATCTTTCAATCACAGCATTTGGATGCTCAATTCCCTTTAGTTTTTATATTTTCATTCTTTACAGATTTTCTTCTTATAATCTAATACCATTTCTTAACAGCTGTAGCACGAATATATCTTATTTGAGTTGAATTTTCCTAGGTGAAATTCCCTGTGGGGGGAAATCCTTCCTTATGACATTAATATCTTATTTGAGTTGCATTTTCCTAGGTGAATTTCATTGACCTGGATTTGAAACAAATGAAGAAAATGGAAGAATATTATGAGTTGGACAAAAAAATAGTAACCTACTACAATCAAATGGTGGAAACTGAGGAAAGACAAAAGAAAAATACAAGCACAATGGCTCTTAAAACTGCAAATTGAGATTTGTTACAGTGCCATGGGGGATACTTTACTTCAAATTATGAGTAAGTGCAAGTGGGTTGATATATAGTATTTTCTGTAGAATGTTGTTGTTAATAGCTGTATTTGTTTGTATACTTCTTGGCTTTTAGCCATTATTTCTTTGTTTCCTTTGTTTCTATGAAGTTTTTGATTTGTAAGGTTAGTAATATAAGCAAGTTATTCCCATCCCTCTTCCCCTTCTCTTCTTTGTGCCTATGATTTATCGTATATAAGCTTTATCTTAGCGTATGCATGTGGTGTTTGGTTCTTCGTTTGTTTTGAAGAATGATGAAATTCTTTTCTTTGTTCTTTTTTTCTTTTTTAGTAACTGTTTTGAAATATATCCTGGACTGCCGCTGCATGCATCATCAGTCCATGAAAATTTTCTTTTGTAGAATAGATTAAGCTATGGTAATTTTTATTCTCAAATGTTCGTGGGCATCTCATAATTTTGTATGAATTTACCCATTCATTAGGAGGCAAATGCATTCAATTTAGATTGAGTTATGCATATTTACTGCAACTTTCTAATTGTATTAGCATAAACACGGCATGCTGCTTTAGTCCTTACATAGTTTTGTAGAGGCACGTAAATCAGTGTTTAGGGAAGCAGAGAGTGCGACAAAACTCCTTCTTATAAGTTTGAGAAGTTTAATTGGAAATGAGGAGAAACTGATGAAACATAATTTCTGGGCTCTGCAGGGAAAGTGATGTATCAACTAGCTTCAGTGTGATTCCATCAAAGCCCACATGGCCTATTAATTCAGACAGTTGGATTTTCACATTGTGGTATTAGTACTACTGTAGAAAAGAATAAAAAAGACCAGGGCATCCTTGGTATTTTCTAATTGAAAATGCGTCTGCTTTAGCAACAGTATTTTAAGGAATCAATGAATTATCTAAGTTTGAAGAAATGATTTCTTGCATAGGCATTAATCTAAATTTCAGTTTTCTCATCAAAATTCTTGTTGCGCTTACTTTATGCTTCCTTATAGTTCTTCATATTTTTCAAGTTTTCCATTGTTGGTGCAGATTTATATTTTGATATCCTTTAATAAATTGTCAGGTAAACATAAGGTTCTTACAGTTTTGAACAATGGAACCAAACTCATTTAGTTTTGAGCAGTAACTTATGACATTTTCCACTTCTGTCTGATGTACAAAGTGTGATTTGGAGTTCTTTTTTGTAACTACATTGCCAAAGCACGAACATTCAAAAGAAATGATTTGGAAGAATCAATGAGCCTGCTGCTGAAACATGTTTCTAGACCAGCAGTAAGACTAATATGGAAGGCTCTGTGAACTCTGGTTGTTCAGCTTTGGTATTTTGATCAGCATATATGTGGAATATAAAGGCCGTGGGTTGGCTACATCATGTGCTGAACAATGAGCTCCTGAGCTGTCTATAGGTCTCTCTCTCTCTCTCTCTCTCTCTCTCTCTCTCTCTGTGTTTGTGTGTGTGGATCTAATCCTGTTAAAGTTGATGATTCAAGTACGGAGAAGAAAGAATTAATACGTTCCAGAAGTGGGTCAATTTTGCCCATTCAACTGACCCCACTAGAGCTGAATTGATAAATTGATTGCCATTACTATATCCCAACACATTGCATAATGTCAGGTCTTTCATTATTTTCTTGGAGACATGCTGAGCTAAAACCTCATTTGTTGGTTTGTTCAAAATCCTTGTTTTATTCAGTCAATCAGCATATTTACTTCTAGTAAAATTTGCTATAAGCTGACACGCCTGTGTGTACAAACAGGCGAATGGGCAAGCTTGTTAGATTGTTCTCTGTTTTTTTCTCTTTTTCCAAAAAATTGTAGTACATTCAGAATCAGGCAGGCCAGCATCATTTTAACTTTGCTATAAACGGTTTCATTTCTTTCAAGATAAAGAGGATGTAGAAAGGTGTGTTTTAGCCTAGTATGGGATGTGTGTGTGCCCGCACATGGTAAATTCTGCATTTATTGCATATCGGAGGGCATAGGTGACCCAATTAAAAACCCTTCCGACTGGCATTTACTTCTAGCCAACTACTGACACTGTCATTTTGTACTCAACCAGCTTCTTCGCCAAGAAAGTGCTGTGCTGAAAACATAATCAAACTAAATAGAGAGAGAGAGAGCATTTTATATATAGCATCTTTGGATCCATTCTTTCTTTGTTATTAGCTTGTTCCAGTTTGCTTTCTATCATTATTGCTTTATTATGTCTAAGGTTCCATCTCTCTCTGTTTTATTTTTCCTGCTATGTAATTAGTTATTGACATACCATTTTCTCTGGAGTCTTTCACTGACACGCACTGCAATACTTCAGATGGAATTTATTATTTTTCTGAGCGCACAAGTACGGACAAAATCTGACCTTTGCTTTTGTCTTGTGTTGCAGAAAACTGTAGTGTCAGTGGAACTGCTGTGTTCGAAGTGCAGGAAGAAGGTGATGAAGTTAATAGCAACGGTAGAAGGGATAACTTCCATTGTCCTGGACCCGTCAAAAATACGGTGACAGTAACTGGGGATGCCGATCCAGTAAAGGTTATCAAGAAGGTAAGAAAATACAGAAGATCTGCTTCTGTTGTGAGTATAGGTCCTCCACAGAGTAAGAAGGAGGATGAGAAGAAAGACCTTGTCCCTTACCCACCAAAGACATGTCAGAGATGCGATGTCTGGTATGTGATTGCTGAAGATCGTTACAATTATTGTTCCATTATGTAATTACTGTTCCATAACGTATCATCCTGAAACTTGTATGAATAATACCCAGTTGTATTTCATGTTAAACTCACTCATTTCTGAGTTAATAATAGAGAAAAAGAGGCTTTTGGTTGTCAATGCAAATCTGTCTTTCAGCTGATGGTGTTATGGTGAATTTTCCAGTCGTATATATTCTGCAGTATTTGGTCAGATTGCGATAGTTGTTGGTTTATTTAGTGAGTTGGACAACAAATCTTCAGGCATATGAAAAGCCATGGCTGGTAATTTTGTTCTGTGTTTAGATGGATTAACAAAAGCGACCATATTTCTGCAGCATTTTGCTGCATACAGTAAATTACCATAGCAAGTACTAAATATTCATTGTAGTAGCCACCGTTACAGCTGAAACATGGAAGTAATTGGATGTGTTCACATGTTTCGTTGAAAAGTATTTTTGTTTTTGTATTTTTTTTTAAAGAGAAACAGATAATATATTTCTCTCGTGTAATACAAATTAAAAACCAAGGAGTTTTAATTAATATTTCAACAAACAAAGACTTTTTTTTTCTTTCTCTATCTAGGCTTACGAGCATTAGGGTTGTGAATGGTCAACAACTAAGTCTTTGTCAAGTGATGGATGAATTTAACTGACGTTAACTCAGCAAAACACATATTTGTGTGAAGATTTCCGACAAAATGATGATTGGTGTTTTGGTATATGGACTGCTGGGCACTTAATTTGATGTATACAAATGAAGTATGGGGGTATACCTCAAAATAATAATCAAAGGTAAGCATCCGTCTTGTTCACAAAATCAATGCCAAGCTCTTCCCTTCCAATTCCAAGGGTTGTTTTCGTTTTGGAGGAAAAATGACTTTGGAACATCACGTTTTAGATTTTGTTCACTTTCAGACAGCTAATAAAAACCTTTTACATTGAAATAAATCAATTTCCTTTATTCACAAATATAAATTCCACATACATACCTCGTATTTGACATAATTCCAATAAATAAATAAAAACTCGACAACGCATTCATGGGCCCGAGGTCCAACTGCCAAGCCTAAAGCCCAACATCATTTTCCTCCATCAACTACAAAAGTGCAAAAAGCCTAAACGCAAGCGTACCGTGCATTTTGCAGAGAGCAATGCGTCCAAATTCTCCGTCCACGGAAAACAAAATAAAGCGCAAAGCCAACCACATTTCTTATTTATTTCTTAATTTTAAGCAACTCATCATTCCCTGAATCTCTAACCCTAGAAAATATTTGATGATCAGATCCAACCAGATCGTTGTGTATGGCCATTCTTTCGTAAAAGAGATTGTTGTCTCTCCAGCCTCATCACCAACGCCAATAGACAAAGAAACCATTATTTGCTTCGATTCGCAGTCACAGGAATTGTATCAAATCACCGATCAACAATCACTAATTTCTTAGGTTCGTGGAGCGATAACCAACTCACCCTCGACGACCTAATTAGGGTTTCCAAATCGAGTGAAGGTCGCTATGGACTCGCTGCGGTCCAGTGGCGGAGCCATAGTGGGGTTAGTGGAGTCGCACGACCTCTTAGAAGCCAAGGAAAAAAGCTTAGAGCTCCCTTGGAGTTGCTGGTGCGACCTCTTGGAGTTGAACACCAAGTGCTCGACTAAATGACTGAAGAAGAAGGCTGTGCGACCTGAAGAAGAAGGTTGTGTGTGCAAGTCTTTTTTTTATTTTTTATTTTATAAACAACTTGGGCAAAACGACGTCGTTTTGGGTGAGGTCTGAAATTAAAAAAAAATTGAAAATGCCCAGCGTATCCTTCCTCTCCAGCATCACCGATACCTTCATTCTAAAACCCCTACATTTTTTTGTTTTCTCCTCCAACCCTAAGTTCCCAACTCAGTCCCCCCTCCCCTAAACCCTCAACTCCAACTCCAACTCCAACTTCATCTACGAAGACAAGGTTATGATGGTGCTAACAATATGATAGGTGAGTTGAATGACCTTAAAACAATGATATTGAGAGAACAACCTTGTGTATATTATGTTCATTGCTTTGCTCATCAACTTCAACTAGCTATTGTTGCCGTGGCAAAGAAAAATGTAGACATTGCCTCTTTTTTTTGCAACGGCTAATAGTATAGTTAATCATGTTGGAGCATCTTATAAGCGACATGATTTACTTAGAGGGCAACTCCAAGAAGAGCATGCGATAGCTTTTAAAAATGATTGTCTTATAACGGGGCGAAGCTTAAATCAAGAAACAAGTCTCAAATGTGTCGGTGACACACGATGGAACTCACACTATGGTATCTTGATTAGCATCACTTCTATGTTTTCATCCATGGTTTATGTGCTTCAAATGATTATTAATGATAATCCCAATGATAGTGCGGGTGAAGCAAATAATTTAATGAGAGAAATACATACTTTTGAGTTTGTATTTCACTTTTTCTTGATGAAAGCCATATTGGGACTCACAAATGATGTGTCACAAGCATTGCAAAGGAAAGATAAAAAAATTGTGAATGCAATGGCTTTAGTGAAATCATGCAAGGAAAAGCTACATTGGATGAGGAATAATGGGTTCGATACATTGGTTAATGAAGTATCTTTTTTTTGTGAGAAACATCATATTGATGTTCCTAACATAGAAGAGTCATTTATACTTCCAGAGAAGTCAAGGCGTAATGCTCCAATAAAGACAAATCGTCATCATTAGCGTGTGGAACTCTTTATTTATGTCATTGATGAGCAAATTACGGAGTTAGATGATCGCTTTAATGAGGTAAATACTGAGTTGCTTATTTGTTTGACATGTTTGAGTCTGAAAGATTCATTTGTAGCTTTTGATAAACTAAAGCTACTTTGTTTTGCTCAATTTTATCCTCAAGAACTTTCAGATGAGGATCGTTTGGCACTTGAGGATCAACTTGAGATTTATATTCATTATGTGCGTTTGAGTAGTGATTTCTCTCAATTAGAAGGGATTAGTGATCTTGCAAAGAAAATGGTGGAGACAAGGATGCATCAAATATTCAATTATGTGCATTTGTTTATTAAATTGTCTTTAGTTTTACCGGTTGCAACTACTTCAATGGAAAGGGGCATTTTCTGTCATGAATACTATTAAGGGACCACTTTGGAACAAAACGAGAGATCAATAGTTGAGTGATAACTTGATTGTTTATATTGAGAGAGATATTTTTGCTTGTATTGAAAATGAAGCTATAAAGCTACGTTTTCAAAATACGAAACCTCGTCGTGGACAATTGTAGCTTGTAATGCTGTTTCCGATATGAATTATGAATGAAAGTACTATGATTTCAGTTTCAATATTTTTTTTCCATTCTAAATTTTTATTGGGACTTTTACACTAAGACCCCTTGTGGTAAGATTCCTAGCTCTGCCACTGCTGCAGTCGGTTGTTTCAGGAGTTTTCTTCCAATAGAGTGAGGTGACTGACGGGGTTTAAGTTAGGGTTTCGATCTCGACTTCATCTTGAAGAAGCGAAACGTGTTGACATCGAGGTCAGTGATTTTTCCGGTAGAGTTTCATACGAGGACCACGGCGTTTTCGAGTGCATATGCAGTCATGCCGGTGGCCTAGGGATGGGGCATTGTCAAGGTCACATATTATCATGTAGGTTTTAATTATTGAACTGGCCTTTATTATCATGTAGGTTTCACTTGGTACTGTTGCCTGCTTATTTGACATTTCTTACTTTCACTATGGCTGTGATCTGCCTTTTTATATGAGAAGCTTTCTTTGGGCCTAAATTTTTTAGAGTTCAAATTTGTTAACCATTAGCCATTTTTCAATAGAGTTCTTAATAGGAGAAGTGAAGGATAAAAATAGTCATATGTTAGGACTGATGAATATGCATTAGAAATTTGACTGTGATGCATTATTTGTCTTGATTTCATCAATTTCAAGAGAATTGTTGATGCTTGCTTTACAAACTTCTCTGTTCTTTTAATTTTTGTGGTGATGCGTATCTGAAGCAAACATTGGCAACAGCGAAGCCATTACTTGTTCAAACTTTTTTAAAAATCCATTAGTGTTATTGGACTTTACTTGATTAATTATATAGAACATACTATGCATTTTGTAAAGAATAGTGTGGTGGATAGCAGAATCCTTTAACTAGAGATTCATTAGTGTTTCGGACCAAAAAAGAATTGAATCGAACAGTGGTGATTGAATCGAATGAACACATTGATTCACCAATTTAAAGGTATATCTTCTGAATGATCTGTCTCATTCCCCTCCCCCATGTCACAAGCATAATTATTTCCAGCCATTCAGGATAATGGAACTGCTGTGGAACATCTTTTCTGTCCCTTGTTCCTTTTATGATCGCTATTTATAAACGTGCCTAGATTAACCTTATCAAATAGCCTCCTCATTTTAAACTTCTCATTATAGCATCCCATATTAACTAGGGTCGGCATACAGTGTGGCCCATTAGAGATAAACTCAGCTCGTCTATTAACGACAAGATTGGTCCATTGAATGGTCAAAATCGATCCATAATGGGCCCCTAAAGGCCCAGAAACCACAAAATAGTCTATCACGGGCCCGTAAATGACAAAATAGGCCCACTGAAGGGATAGTAAATGACAAAATATGACAAATGAAGAGTTCATAAACGACAAAATAAGCCCAATGTAGGGCCATAAACGACAAAATAAGCCCACCAACGTGTTTAAAAACGACAAAATAGGCCCAATCAATGGTTCAAAACGACAAAATAGGCCCACTTACGGGCTCATAAATTACAAAATAAACCCACTAGTGATCCAAAAATGACAAAATATACCCAATTAAGGGTTCATAAAAGACAAAAAGGCCCAATCTGAACCAGTAAACGATAAAATAAGCCCAAAGAAATTTCCATAAAAGAAAATAAGCCCAATATAGGCCAAACATAAGGCCATAAACGACAAAATAAGTCCACAAAAGAGTCCAAAAAAGACAAAGTGGGCCCACGTAGGAGCAATAAGAAACACAATTGGCCCATTTAAAGGCGCATGAGTACATCCAAATGGAATTTGTAAATAAATTGTGGCATCCAATTATTAACTTTTTCGAATTCATGGATGGTCTAAACTCACAATTTTTTTTTATATATATATTATGAGTTAATAAAAATGGGTTTAAGCAACTAAAATATAAGAAAATTCATATTTATTCTTATGGCAAGCATTTCATTGATCTACTAGAAAAATACAAGTCCTATAATATGTATTACGGGTGCTTGTAACTAACCGAACATCACGGGTGCTTCAGCCTATTTAAAGGCTTCACCTCTTCATTGCTAGACAATGAGAAGTGATAACACACTGAGCTGAGAGAGGAAAAGAGAGTGAGAAATCTGAGAGTTAGTGAATTATATATGAGAGAAAATTCTGTCAGTGCAAACACCACAAGAGTAAATACAATATTCTACTCAACCCTTTAAGGGTCTTTCCGACTGAGTACCTTTTAAAAGAATACAATCATAATATTAACATATGAATCAAATCGAAACTTAACTTCTCGGAATTCAAAGTGCGTGCAAAAACCTAGGGCAACGTCCCTAATATTGTTGCAAATGACAAAATTGAATTAGGGAAACAATCCTACAGCCTGAACCTATCGAACCCAAATATCGCATAATAGGCGTAATATCCGTTCAATAGTCAAATAGTAATCAATTTCAAATGAGTATGTAGTCGTGCTAGGGACAACGGGAGAAATAGTTTAGGACTAAAATGGGCCATCATGATGGGTCCCCACAGTGGGTAGCTTGAGTAATTTCTGACGACCAAAAATCTCAACAATAACAGGCAATACTTATACCAAAACATTCAGACTAACAAGGGGACTAACTTCATAACCGATCTATACCACCTACATAAATAGATACAACACGGAAAAAGGATGAAAAACCATACCTCACACGACGAAAACGACGATTGGAGTAGCAGGAAAAAGCACAAACACTACAGGAAAAACGTAAGTTCTTCTCGTTGTCGAATCCAGCTCATCAATAGTGAATCTGATCGAGCCTTGGCTAGGTATTGTAAAGGAGGACGAAAGGAAGAGTTTTCATGAAGGTTGCGACGGCAACAGAGGTCAAACTACTCTAGAATTTGAATGGTAAGCAGTGGGGTTACTATTCACATGTGGGGAGAGAGATGAGAGAAAAATTGCGAAAAATGGGAGAGAAATTTCAGAAAAAGAATCTGATCTGTTACTTATTTTTTTTTTTGGTCAAGCTGCTACTTAAATTGTGACTTCACAAAAATTACAGTTATACCATTGCACTTCCGTAAATCGTAACTTCTTTTTTGAATCAAAATTGAGCATACCTCCTGCTTACGAACTCGTATCAATGAGCTCTACGCAATGGTACTACTCAATTCCCCAAATTCCTTTCCGAATAAAAAGTGACTAAAGTATCCTTACTCTCGAGGGCAAAAACATATTTTCCCAAATAAATAAGTAAATGAATTATTTGGGACCATTGGGAGTAAAGGCATTTTAGTCTTGTTCCAAAAAGATTTTGGAGAATTAAGCAGCTCAATTATGTAGAGCTTGTTGATATGAGTTCGTAGACAAGCAGCATGCTCAATTTTGATTTAAAACGACGAAGTTATAATCTACAGAAATGCAATTGCACAACCGTAATTTTTGCTAAGTCCCAACTTAGTACCAGATCATTTTTTTTTCCTGGTTGTTTCTCATTTCCTCGCAAATTCTCACTCTCTTTCTTCACGCGTGAATAATGGCACTGCTACTTCCAACGCAATTTCCAGCACCATCCGACCTCGGTTGAGTCAGAAAAATGCTTCACATAAGTGCTTTTGTGATCATCCGGCCATGCCTTGTCCCACGCTACTGATAATGCATCAAGCTGTTGAGAGTGAAAAATAAATAACTGGCAAGAGATAAAAAGAACAAAACAACACCAACAAGAACACCAAGATTTATACTAGTTCGACAATACTTACATCCAGTTTGAAGACGACGGAGTATTCCACTATAATCAATGAGAACATACAATAATGTTTATTACTCAATTTTCCAAAGACTCAAATAGCCCAATCTCACACACTCACAATAGGAAGAGAACCAAAAATACAAAGCAAAGAACAATTTGAGAATTTTCTTCTCTGCCGAATGGCTTCTTGCTATTTTTCTCTCTCACTTTTGGTGCAACAGCTTCTCTTCTCCATCTCTTTCAACCACTGTTATGCTTCTCTTTTTATAGAGAAGCCAACGAGTGAAGGCCAACTACTTCAGTTATGAGGCCAGCTATGAAGTCAAAACAGCCAACCATATTTGCATGGCTTTGTCTCCCACATGCAGCTGGCCAATTAATGCATTCCCATTGCAATTTGTTTGCCAATCAACCAACTACTAATTTAAGTAGTTAACAACTCTGCACATGGGTGCAATCTTGAGTCAAATAGTCAACACGTGGTATCAGAGCACCAGTTTTTCGACTGGAATTTTGTATGAGTGAAAAATTCACTGGAGCTACAGTGGCGTGAATAATGTTGTGCAACAATTCACTATGAAGAGATTTTATCTCCTCATCCATAGATTTCTTCCACTTCACGCTCTCTGAATTTCTAACAGCTTCTTTGTAGGTGGATGGAATATCTTCAATAACGAGAAGTGCATATACCATAATATTAGTAAACCGAGCAGGCTTTCGAATTTCCCTTCTTGATCTTCTGGTTGCAATAAAATCTTGTTACTATAGAGGCTCTTGGGTGGATGCCTCGTCTTCATGATCCTTGTCGTCATCATTAAAATCAACTGTAGGACTAGTGTATGTAACATCAGGCCTTACTGGAACAACTGGAGTCTTTAGTAACTCCATCTGCTTTGAACTACTCATGGTCTTGGTCGCTTCAGTTTCACCTTCATGCTTGTTTTGATTTACCATAGCAGCCTCATCAAAAATCACATCTCTGCTTACAACAAATTTCTTCTCATTTGGAAACCAGAGTCGGTATCCCCTTCACGCCAGTGCTAAATCCCATAAATAGAGTTTTCTTTGCTCTTGGATCCAACTTGCTTTCCCTGACATGATAATAAGCAAGATAACCAAATATGTGTAAATACTTGTAATCAGTCCAAGGTTTACCAGACCATACCTCCATGGGCATTTTGCCCTCATTCACAATAGCATGCAATCAATTAATGAGATGACTTGCATAAGTAATCGCCTCAGCCCAAAACGCCTTGCTTAAACCAACATTAGACAACGTACACTAGACTTTCTCAAGCAAAGTACGGTTCATGCGCTCCACCACCCCATTCTGTTGCGGTGTCTCCCTAACCGTGAAGTGCCTCACAATAACCTTATCTTGACAAACTTTCATGACAGGATCAAACTTATATTCACCACCATTGTCTGATCTGAGAGTCCTGATTTTTCGACCGCTTTGAATTTCAATCATCTTTTTCCACTTCAAGAATATCTTTAAGACTTCATCTTTATGCTTCATGGTGTACACTCATATTCTTATAGAGAAGTCATCAACAAAGGTGACAAAATAATGGCTACCTCCCCATGATGGATTCTTAGAAGGTCCCCAAATATCAGTGTGAACATAATCTAGAATGTCTTTAGTGTGGTGAATAGTAGTGTCAAATTTCACTCTAGTTTGCTTACCCAACACACAGTGTTCACAGAATTCCAATTTGCATGCCTTTGCACATTTTAATAATCCTTGCTTCACCAATCCTTGCAACGCTTTTTCACCAGCATGCCCAAGACGCATATGTCATAACCTTGTGGTATCTATGTTATCTACATCAGCAGCTTCGGTGACAGTGGCTCCACCAATAACTGTACTCCCCAATAAGAAATACAAGTTATTTCGCATTGTACCTTTCATCACCACCAGTGTCTCGTACACAACTTTAAGAACTCCACCCTCCATGGTGATCTTAAGATCCTTGGATTCCAAAGCGCCCAATGAGATGAGATTCTTCTTCATATCTGGTACATACCTAACATCACTCAATTCTCTTACTGTTCCATCATGCACCTTCAAATGGATTTTGCCTATCCCTTGTGTTTTGCATGCATTATTATTGCCCATCAAAACAACTCTACCATCCAACTCCTGGAAGCTAGAAAACCATTCCCGAATGGGACACATATGATAGGTGCAATCTGAATCCAAAATCTACCTCTTTGAGTGAACATCAGCAGATGAACTAGCCAAAGCAAACTCGAAATCATCATCCCCAGATTTTACAATATTTGCTTCAGAACCTGCTTTCTCTTTCTCTTTGTTCTTCAATTTGGGGTAGTCTTTCTTCCAATGACCCTTTTAGCGACAAAAGGCACATTCATCTTTAGCAGGAAACTTCCCTCGTGACTTTGAACAAGATTTTCCCCGCTTCCTAGATTTTCTTTCCTCTATTCGACCTCTTGCAACGAATGCCTCAGTTTGTGAATTTTGAGTCTTCTGTTCCTTCTTGCGACACTTATGATTCACCAATGCCGCTGACACCTCATCAAGTTTCACCTCGGATTTTCCATACATCAAAGTAGTTGTCAAATGATCATAATCATCAGGCAATGAATTTAACAAACATAGTGCCTTATCCTCATCAGGAATTTCCACATCAATGTTTGCTAAATCAGCAAGTATTTTATTATAATCATTGAGGTGTTAGTGCATAGAAATACCTAAACGATACTGAAATCGGATGAGTTGCTTCTTCAAGAAGAGCTGATTTTCTACTCTCTTAGTCATATACTTCTCCTCCAATTTCATCCATAACTTCTTAGCATAAGTTTCCTTCATATACGAGTATTTCAACTCTTTAACAATGAACGATCGAATAAAGGCACAAGCATGAAGATTAATTCGTGTCCATTGCTTGTCATCAATATCTTCGGGTTTATCCTCCAAAATCATATCCAGTTCTTGTTGATACAATACATCCATAACTTCACAGTACTACATACCAAAATTATTAGAGCCATTGAATTTATCAACTTCTAACCTTGTAGTAGCAATTGGATGTCTATTAGGTGCCGACAAAGACGATGCCGACTCCTTCTCCTTCACAGATTCGTCGTTATCTCCAGCCATCAAATTCACTCGACACTATTCACGACTACTGTAGCACAACTATTGTTCACAGTATTGTAGCAATTCACTGTTCATGGGGAACTGTAACGCCGACACTAGTCATGAACTGTAGCACAATACTATTCACGCCACTGTAGCTCCAGTGAATTTGTCACTCATACGAAACCCCAATCGAAAAACTTGTGCTCTAATATTATTTGTTGGCTATTTGACTTAAGATTGCACTCACGTGCAAAGTTGCTATTGGCTACTTAAATTAGTACTTGGTTGATTAGCAAACAAATTGCAATGGGAATGCATTAATTGGTCAGCTGCATGTGGGAGACAAAGCCATGCAAATATGGTTGGTTGTTTTGACTTCACAGCTGGCCTCATAACTGAAGTAGTTGGCCTTTACCTGTTGGCTTCTCTATAAAAGGAGAAGCATGGCAATAGCTAAAAGAGATGGAGAAGAGAAGCTGTTGCACCAAAAGTGAGGGAGAGAAAAATAGCAAGAAGCCGTTCGGCAAAGAAGAAAATTCTGAAATTGTTCTTTGCTTTGTATTTTTGGTTTTCTCTTCCTATTGTGAATGTGTGAGCTTGGGCTATTTGAGTCTTTGAGAAATTGAGTAATAAACACTATTGTATGTTCTCATTGATTATAGTGGAATACTCTGTCGTCTCCAAACTAGATGTAGGCATTGCCGAATCAGTATAAATCTTAGTATTCTTGTTAGTGTTATTTTGTTCTTTTTATCTCTTGCTAGTTGTTTATTTTTCACTCACCGTTGGTTGACACTTCCGCACAACACAAATGTCACAGAAGCAATTATGTGAAGCATCTGGCCACTTCTCCCACACCACTGATAATGAATCAAGCATGCCTATTCCCATGAAATAAGATCGAACGGATCATGCCAACTATGGATTACAAGGTACATAAAAAAATTATATATATATAAAAAAAAAAAAAAAAAAAAAAAAAAAAAAAAACACACATTAGTCAGAAAAGATAAATGTCCAGAAATTTTACCAATGTGCACTGCACCCTGCCAATTGTCTCGATCCGCCCGCAGTCAACTGAGAAATTGCACACGAACAAAACCACATCGCCAACCTAGCAAATGATAGATAACCTTTTGAGTCGCAGTAAGAAATTGAAATAACAAAGGAAGAGAAAGCCAATCAATTCAAAAGCCTCAAATTCAGACTTTCACCTGTAGATATTCGGATTCCCTGACAGCTACGTAATGAATAAGCATGTGCTTCTCATCATGCGAAGGTCGTTCTCTGAGCACGACTTTTCATCTCCCAAGTCTTCGTTGTCTTCTTTCTTGCATCCAAGAACGAATTAACGACTAAAAGCATCAAGGTTATTCTGAACTCCGTTTTAGATTGGTGAGTTAGAGTTAGGATTGGAGATTTTCTAGAGGTTGAGGAACTCACAAAATTTCAATAAATAGGAATCGATCCTGTGGCTGTTCGGCGACGAAATTGAAATCCTAGCGAGAAGAGTGGAGGATAGTGCGAGGACGACGAACGAACTGGAGACCAAACGCATCAATGATGTAGAGGACTGAACTCCAAGTCAGATTGGTGGCTTAGGGCTAGGGTTCGTATTTGAGATTCTCTTCAGGTTGAAGAGAGTAATCGAGTCGGATTTTGTTTTGGAAATGGGAGCTGCGGTCGAATCTGAGAAATTACCAGACGGGATCTAATTGTTTTTGGGGGGTTTCCAACTTTCTATACTCGTCTATCCTTGTATATACTAATCTCAGCCGTCCATTTCTTCAAAAAAAATATTTGATGGTTAAAAGTAGGCCACGTCAATTTTTTCTTTAAGCATGGTATGGCTTTTGTTTTGTTCTTCGTGTTGTTAATAGATTTTGAGCGAGGTTGGCAAAAGCAAAAAAATAGATTTCGAGCGAGATTTCTAAACTTAATTTCAAAAGATAATTTAAATTGTTTAAAATTAATTTCTTAAATGACAAATGTCTACCAGCACAAATTTCCATCCAGCCAAAGTTGTTAAACTAATTACAATTTGGATTAAGTTGGATTGAATTATTTCATTGGATTAGATTGGATTGAATTTCGTAGAAGATAATTTCACTTAAAAAACCAGGTGTCAATAGAGAAAAGAAAAAAGTAATAAAATAAAGTCGCAAGACATTCGTGGAGAAACGACCGACCTAAACTTGAATCTTTCCTCAAGTAGTAGTATCCCAACTTTCTTGTTATTGATTGTCTTTCTCACCAAGCAAACCCGAAGATAAAACCCTACAAAAACCATCGCATCATCGTTATCAGCCGCATCTCAATATCATCACTAAATTTTTATTTTTAAAAAAAAAGAGAAGAAGAATGTGGTGCTCACAGGAAAATCTACCCTCCCCGAAAACCATTCTATCAGCGGCGGCATCACTCGCCGCATCGGCAATTCTATTCCGAACGATTGCAAACGACCTCATCCCTGATGTCGTCCAAAATTCCTTCTACTCGCGCCTCCAAAAGCTGTCGTCCCAAATCACCGTCGTCGTGGAAGAGCTGGACGGCCTGACGCCGAACGAAATGTTCGAGGCGGCCAATCTCTATCTGGGCACCCTGCTCTCTACCTCTACGCGACGAATCAAAGTCAACAAGCCCGAAAAGGAGAAGCAGTTGCTGGTCACTATAGACAAGAACCAAGGGCTCGTTGATTGTTTCAAAGGCGTCAACTTCAAGTGGGTTTTGGTCAGCAGCCAAAAACCAGCCTCCAATGGCAAACGTGAGGATCATTCACAGTCCGAGGTTCGACAGTTGGAGCTCAGCTTCCATAAGAAGCACAGGGACATGGTGCTCAGCTCTTACTTGCCCTACATTCTGAACAAGTCCAAAGAAATCAAAGAGGAGAGAAAAGTGGTGAAGCTCCACACAGTCGACTATAACGGCACTGACTATTGGGGTTCCATAAACCTCGATCATCCGGCGACTTTCGATACCATGGCGATGGACCCGGAGATTAAGAAGGCGTTGATTGAGGACCTTGATCGGTTCAGAGAGAGGAAGGAGTATTATAGGAGAGTAGGCAAGGCTTGGAAACGCGGGTACTTGCTGTTTGGACCGCCCGGCACTGGTAAATCAAGCTTGGTTGCAGCCATGGCTAATTATCTGAAATTTGATATTTTTGACTTGGATTTGAAGGAAGTTCAATGCAATTCTGATTTGAGAAGGTTGTTGATTGGCACCAAGAGCCGATCCATATTGGTCATCGAGGATATAGATTGTTCAGTTGAGTTGCAAAACAGGGATGCTGAGAATGAACCCAAAACTGTTGAAGACGACAAGGTAATATAAGCTCACTACTCCCCTGTTTCATCCCCTCCCCTAACATTGCCTGTATAGAAAATATATATCATATAATTCACAAGTTGTGTTCTTAATGTCTTTCTTTCTTAATTTACAGATTACCCTCTCTGGTCTATTGAACTTCATTGACGGATTGTGGTCAACCTGTGGAGAGGAGAGAATCATTGTGTTCACCACAAATCGCAAGGACCGACTTGATCCAGCGTTGCTGCGACCTGGTCGGATGGACCTGCACATCCACATGTCCTACTGCACCTTCAGTGGTTTCAAGACAATGGCATACAATTACTTGCGGATTCAAGAGCACCCACTTTTTGGAGATATTGAGAAGTTGCTGGATTATTACAAGGCGCAAGCAACACCTGCTGAAGTTGCTGGAGAGCTGCTGAAGAGTGATGATGCTCAAGTTTCCCTTCAAGGTCTTATCACATTCCTCCAAAGCAAGAACAAGATGGAAACTGCGTGACAGGATATTACGGTAGGCAAATGAATATGGACGAAGTAGTATCTGAATGCTCTTTACCTTTTTCAATTGATACGATATGAGTTCCCTAGAGATAGAATTTTTTTCTAAAACATTCAATTTATATGAAATCGTGTTCACTAACCATGAAAATAATTTAATTACCGAGCCTGCAATTTAGTATAATCACTCCTGTTATATCCAAACGAGGTGAGTAGAGTATATCAATGTTGCAGATGACGAGAGCCATACCCTATAACAGATGTTATAAACATTAAGGTTCTAACATATTTCGTGGTGAATTTCTCCATATCATAACTACAGTATCAAAATAAATTAGAGAGTCATTGCGCATGCGCAGGCAGAAGACCTTGAGGAGTGTTGTACAATACTCTTCATTATTTACAATATTATAACGCGTACAAGGAAGCTTATAAACAGAAACAGCAGCACCTCTGGAAGACAAACTTGGTATATCGAAAATATATTTTAAACATAACAAGCAAAGATAGCCACCATATCACCACGCAAGTCCTCTTGAAACAGACTCTCTTCACCAGCAACACCCTTTTTTCTGTTTCATACCAACGGAGACAGGCACAATTTCAGTTTCATTCGCAAGATATAGAAAAGCCTGTGATTAAATCTTTCAACTAGAGATGAAGGAGCAAAATCTTTAACTAACCCGAAGCTTGGCCTGTTCTTGCCTGTCTATATATGCAAGAAGTTCTTCCTGCTTCATTAAAGCTTCATGCAGAGCCTAGTCAGGAAGAAGCATGAAATCACAATTAAATCATCTAAATGATCGAAAAATGCAAGAAATAACAAAGATGAATATATAAACTGACCAAAATATGCAAATATCAAAAGATAGGCATATATAACCCTTGTTAACATATAATGACAAATGTATACTTGACAAAAAATCTAGATTGATTCATAAGAAAAGAAAAAAAAGGATTCAGGAAATGGAGAGAACTAGTGAGATCATATTTAGACCTGTAGTTGTAACTAGCGAACATTGTATATCTACATTTCAGTCAACCATGTTGGTACATCAGATATTTTCATAGGTAAAAACAAGCAATGAATCACTACTGTTGATAAATCGGCACAAACAAACGATTATCAAATGAGAGACAAAATTACCTTTTTTGTGGCAATCAACTCTGCTTCTAACGCATCTACACGACAAACAGCAGCATTCAATAGCTCCACTTTCTCATAAGGCATCTCAAAAGGCTTTGCTTGCAGCATGCCTACCTTCTCCTCAAGTTCATCAAGCTTCTGCAAAGCAGATGAGAGAAGGTTTGCCTTGCTAAACCCTGGAGCAGGTGATGGAGGCCGGAGTTCCTCCATGGGAACTGTGTCAGCAGTCAGGTCAGGAATGTTGTGGGCAGAATCCAAAACAGAGTTTGGAAGTTTCTTAGTCGCCCGTAATGCAACAGATCGGATTAGCATAACAAGGGCTACAAAGAATGCCACAAGCATAGTCCAGACATGAGCCAAGATTCCATCTGGTTTTTTTCCCACAGATCTTGGTGAAGATACCCCTGCAATGTATTCCAATGAGAGAGAGAGAGATAGAGAGAGAGATTACTGCCAAGAAAGAGCATAACTCTTATAGTAGCAGGGTGTTTGTAAATATAAGAAGTGTTTTAAATTACTGCCAAGAAAGAAATAACGCTATATCACAGGGTACAGTGAAAGCATAACTAAGATTCCAAACCTCTAGAAGTAAGTGGATTTTGTTGCAAGACTGGTTTCTTCCATCCAATATCCACAGCCTTGTCAACCATGGGAACGTATTCATCGTACTCCGACAAACCAGCAGAGCTACTTGCTTTACCAACAACCCTAGCCTAAACAAGCATTGAAGCATACCATCAATGAGCTCAAAATTCAGATGACATGATATGAACATTTACAGCAGAAGATTCCTGTGTTTAGCAAAGCCAAACACACGTGTAATTGCTAATAAAGCAAGTGATGTTAAAACCTTTCATGACATTTATTAGATTGGTTCTACATGTTTTTCCTGCTAAGGATTCTCAAATGACGTATGTTGCTTTACATTCTCAAATGACAGATATTGTTTGAATAGAGACACTTACTTCTTCACAAACAGGAGTCAACTTAGGTTGTATGTAGCTCCTAGTTGCTTTAGGTGAAGCAATTTCTTCCACTTCAGATCCCGACTCTGCCGTAGATGTATCACTACTTCTTATCTGAATTAACAATATAAACATAGCATCAGAAGGAAGAATTTTTTTTTTGGATCAATTCTAAAATAATACATGCAGATCCATTGTAGACATAGTAGGATGGTCTAATAATCTGTACCATTGGAATACGTGGCTTATCAGAAGCAATTATCCTTCCCTCACCGTTAGAAACTGTAACTATTTGTCTGAAACATTGTGCTTCGCCACTAAGTACCATCTGCAAGCAAAAATCATTACATGTAAGCCATACAAAGCACAGTTTCAAGAAGAAAAAAAGTGACACAAATATAATAATTCATCTAACAGAACCTTTAATATGTTTGGGTCATTCCATGGCCCCTTATCAGACCTCATACAACCTCCCTGATTGGAACAGGTACAGCTACCACCCAGAAATTCTGGCAACTCACTAAAAAGAGCCAAAATATTTCAACATCTAATAGTTAAGACAACTGAACAATAAATAACCCGCATACCCACAAAGAAAAGCATCAATCACCTTGCATCGATTATTTCAAGTAATTTGCTCTGGTACTTGTTACCCAGAACCTGAAAAAAAGAAGAATAAAAAAAAATATCAGCTGACCCTGTTGAGAACTTCAGTCCATAGAAACATCCAATGGTCTGATGTATCTTCAACCATACATGAATTTTTGCAGTTGTTCTAGCATCAAGAAATGCTTTAACTGTAGGCCAGAGCATCCTAAAACCAGGACCAGCATTAATTATAAACATTCGGCAAAGTGTCTGCAAATACGAAATTGATAAATCAGAAGATATGCTTCATTGGATTTAATAAAAATTACCACATATATTGAAAAAGGCATCAATTATTGAAAGCTAAAATGGCATTACTTATCAAGTCTGCATACCTCAGGATAGTTGTCGCTATCAATCTTCTGCAGCCGTACCATGAGATCTCGGGCAGACTTGGTAAAGTTTTTCCAACCCTGAAAAGTACACAATTTGAGGGAGCAAACCAAAACGTTAATGTAATCTATTATGCCAACATTGAAAATTCCAAGCACAATTCGAAATAAATATCATGTCAATTGAAAGCATACCACGCCTTGAACATCTAAAATTGTTGTGCTCGAATCTATATGCCTCTTTGCAGCAATAGAACAGGCAGGAAACTTAATGGCAAAACTCCTTTCAAACTCCTGCACATGGTATCTCACATACCGTTCCAAAGAACTCACTTGCATGAGCTTACTGGGATCAACTTTCCCCAATCTTTCGATATAAATAGGTCTTCCCTCTTTGTCAACACCATGATAACATTGAGGGTAGTACTTTAGAACTTCATTCAGCTCACTGAACTCAAAATCCTAGAAGGAAAAGTAAGAATGTGAATACTATTTCTGCTGATGGGTGGCATACCAACGTCATTAAAGAAACAAAGAGTCAAGCGTGCACTGCAGAGCAAGAAAATCTAAGTTACATGAAACTGTTGAAAATTTACCTCCAAAATTGTGTCAGTGCCAAATTCTTTCCTCCATTGAATCATGCTGGCCCACATATGCTTTGCTTTCTCGATATCAAACTTTCTTGCTACCAAAAATCTGCAACAGAATAACTCCTCAGGAAGAACCCACACAAAGAAACAGAAAAACCAAACTTCCCATATTGAATATTATTTTGCAGGAAAAAACTTCTGTTTCTTTTTCGTTACTCTTATGTTTTTGAAGAAAATGGGGAAAATGAATACCTCAACAACATATGATAGTCATCAAGTCTTGGAGGTAGCAATTCTTCCAAGATAAGTGCCTGCCGAAATGCATCAACAGCCCGTAGCTCCTCAACGTCCCGTACATCCTCAATTGAAACAGAAGTGAGCCGACTGCTACTTTTCCTCCTTTTCTTCTTGAGAGAATGTCTGAATTTACTAGACGCATCGATTGCTTTCTTCTTCAGGTTCCCAATTCTAGTCCTCCTATCGTCCTCTGAATTCTCATAATCTGACTTCCTTTCTTTTCTCTCGTCATGGCTAGAGAACCCCTCAAAACCTAAAGAGCGTTAACAAAGTTACCATCATCAAGTCCTAATGCTACCATCAACATCGTTTGTCTTAGCATAAATCTTGTTACCAAGCAATGTAACAATCCAATTCTAGTCGAAGATAAAAAAAATTTAAGTATCTCTCCCAAAGCATGTAAGAACAAACGAGGGCGACACCCAAAAACCCTAGAGACTAGTAAGCAAAATTCAACCCCCCCCCCCCCCCCCCCCCCCACCTTCAAAACCCTAGAACTCGCAAAAGCAAAAGAGATCTCCGATGACTAAACCACACGGAAAATTTCATAAAAGTCTTAAGAATAAGAAATATAAAGAATAGAAAGCGAGAATTGAAAACAATTAACGAACAGAAAATATAGGAATGGGTCAAAGAAAGTGAACTCACAAGGCCTGGCAAATCGATCGAGTGGTCCGGACATGGTGACGTTCTGAGAGCTGAGACGCAAAAGCAAGAGTTCCTATTTCTAAATTTCTAATTCTAAGCGATAAAACAAGACCAGAATTGGGGATTTGACGTCGAAGACAGTCAGAGACTCTTCATGTTGTTCGGGGCCTCAGGATTCTGAGCTCGACAAAGTTCAGACTGAGACAGAAAAATTTGTAGCCACAGAGAGCCAATTTATGATGAAATTGCTAGTATCACGTAACCAACGTACGATTTAAATCGAATTTAATTGATAATAATTGGCCAAAGCCGAAGCCAAAAGGGTGTAACACGGGAAATGACGGTGACGTATTATATCCCGTTTATATATGCGCCACATGCCCTTGCTGTGCGTCAGACTTGGCGGGAATTTCACAACGGCGTTACGGCGGTTGGTCTCTTCTTTTTCCTTCTTTTCAAGAGATCAATAGAATTTATGAAATTAATTAAGGGGCCCATTAATTAATTCTGTTGATGTCTGATGTCTGCTCATCAACGGAAGCTATTATTAGTGCTAAAATTTATGTTGCGACGAGCCTTAAAAATTTTATTAGCGGACGGCATAATTATAATTTGAGAGATTGCGTTAGATGAAACCTATAAGCACTCTGATTAATTATCTCAGAACAGCAAAATCATGACGCGTGTGGCTAAATAAAGGGCAGGGTGAATTATCCCTTTTTTTCTTCTTTTTCACGTTTCTTCTTTTTATCATAACGTTGGTACGTTAGGGCACTGAACGCCAAAAATGCCATGGTTGGGTGTTGACAGTGCGATATGATATCCCCACCCCACGTATGAATTATTTGATAAATCCAAAAATATCCTGTGGATGAGGAGAAGAACTTGCATTGCATGTCAAGGACAGAACATTGTTTTGCCATCTTTACCCAAACACATTTTGCAATGTGATGCAAATTCTTATTATGCATGACATTGCAATGTGAAATCCTTATTATGCACAACAGAGCATTATTGGATGCAAAACAATGCTATCCCCGTTATATACAAAAAAAAATTTAGTGGAGGAGGGATTGATTTCCTCAGTGAGACGTCCGTTAACTTAAAATCCAAACTTCTACATATGGAACCTTTGTGAGATTTGCATACATTGAAAGAAACAATGGAGAGACTTTTGGCACAGTAGAACCAGCCATTGCCATTTGCAGGGCGGCAATACATCACATCAGTTTGAACTTGAAGTGAGAACATTATGCTTGCGAAAAAATTAAAGCATCTGATCCAGCAATCATGCTATAACTTGGTTGGCATGGATCGCCCATGCCATGCCATGCAATAAATCAGACGACAACAATTCAATTAAGTAACCGAATAATTAGCTGAAAACTGACAAGTGCCATTACATTTCCAATAAAGTTTATCAATACTATACATATATATATATATCATTTTATATTTACAGACTTTTTACATTATATATAAGGAGCAGAGCAGGGATGCACGGTGAGTGACTGCTGTAGGCGAGCTTATCAACTTCGAAGAATGGTGTCTATGTACAATTTTTAAACCTCTAGAACAGAAGCTGAAAAAGGAATAAAACATACCAGTATTTTCATCAGAAAAATTGAAAATAAAAAACTGATAATCTACAATGAATTTTTTTTTTCTTCTCTCACTAGTCACTAGGGAGGGTAGAGAGTCTTGCAGTTATGTTTCAAAGTTTTAACTAATAATTTGGTAATGATAGCGAGCATCTTACCCGTTACGCCAAGTTCCTTCTAGCACGAAGTTGGAGGAGTTTGTCCCTCCACTGAGCTGCAAGTGAAGATGTAAAAAAATGAGATTGAAAAGCTCCAACAACTTTGGCACAAACACACAAACAAACAACTAACGACTTGCAACAATAATGGGCCCCCAACCATATTGACACAAAAAATTGGTGACTTTAACTGGCTAAGGGCTACCTGATAGTCCCATGACTAGCAGGCAACAAAATAAAGTAACATCACAGAACATTTCCCCTCACAAAAGATATTTACCCTCGATAGGTAAAACATACTTACCAGCATCTCTATAGCGTTCCTCAACTGCAGCAATTAGCATGTTGCGCACAAGATTAAACTCCTTTGTTTCAACACATGGTTGACCACTCGGCCTGAAACCATATAAATTTTCAATTAGCATCCTCTATTTCATTGAAAGATGAATTTAGAGGACAGTTCTATCTTGCTCACATTATAATGCAATGCAGACTAATCTTAACCATCAATCAACCTCTTCTAGCCAATTGGAATATGCATAGATTTCAAACACCTTTCTACATGAATTTCAAAAGACTGAACAAGCATTTAAGTATACCATAGGCAACTGTTACATCATCTGATCAGAGTCAGATTGCATTCCCTTAACAGCTCATCTTATTCAAGCCCAAATAAATGCACTTTATAAAGTCAAATGAACCTTGGGATCCAAACCACATTCCAAGACGGGGAATGCTAGCAACCTTCTCTCTAACCTTCTCTTTTGCACATTCTCTCTTCTTGGCATGACATGTGTCACCTTATTTACACTTAAAACAATGTCATTAATAATCGAATAAGCTAGTTTTTATTTTCCAAATTTACCCTCATTAAATGAAATAGTTAATTTAAATATATTGACTTCCCTAATTTCTTCAATTTAAAATATATTCTCTCTCAATTACACTCTCAATCCTCTCTATCCTTTGCAGCGCCCAACAACCCCTCTTCTACCTCCCCACTTTTCCCCAAAACAAACACTATACCCAGCAATGACCCATGACCAGTACCCAAACAAGCATATGAAAGAAACCCACTTCCTCTCCCCCTCATTACCACCAAACAACATCTCCCTCATCCTTAACCAACAGCCCCCCAGTCCAAAGATTCCCCCCACCTTCCCACCTCCTCCTCTTTCTCTGTTGTTTGTAATTGAACAATTTTTATTTTATTTCTCAAATCTCACCACCAAAGCATTATTTTCTATTTTTATTTGGTTTTGTTTATATAAAAAAAAGTGTTTGAACTTTCATCATTTTGGAAGCAAAGGGTCTGTTCGGGCTGGATTTTTGACTTTTTAGTTTCTGTCCAGGGTATATATGGAAATACAATTTAATGTTTTTTATATTGTTTTGAGTGAGAGAGAAGTGCCACATGTAATTAGGAAAAAAGAGAGTCCAAATGAGAAGGTTAGAGAGAAAGTTGCTAGCATTCCCCTCTCAAGACAAGCTTCACAAATTCAACTCCAGAATAATCCCTTCGAGATAGAAAAAAAGATACATATCTAGGACATTCAAAACTCACCGATCCAGCTCAGTAAATAATAAACCATCTGAAGCAGGGGCATGACTTGAGAGCTTTCCAGATTCGATAACTCTCATTCCATCACTATATGCCAGGTACTTGTTGACTTGTATGGGAACCTGCACAGAATGTGAAAAGGATACAGTTTATCACTAAACTGTTACCAACTATTTGGGGCCTTAACACTTGTAAATTACTACATTCCTAGATTTCTGAACATTCTACAGGTTCAAAGAAATTAGTAGGTAATTTAATTCTAAGCAATCTTACATCTAAGATTCAGAAAGTAGATATCTTAAGCAGCACAATCAGTGTACCTTGCATCTTACAGCAATGTTGATGGCATCTGAAGGCCGAAGGTCGAAGCTGACACACTCTGTCTCGCTACCAGCCTGTGATCACTTCTAACACAGTGTCACTATACCACTAACCACTTAAAATTTGATGTTCCAGAAGTAATACAGTCCCTCCCCCCTTTTCCCCACCCCAAATGACAATAATATAATAGGAATATTAATAATAAACTATAACAATAAAAAATAATCCAAATGAAGAGAAGGTATATGCCTTTCTGAGGTATAACTGAGCAAAATACGCCTCATGTACTCTCTTGGTGACTCTGACAAGCCGGACCTGCAGAGATGGAAAACGCAAAATTACAATACAAGATCATGAAGAATGCATGTGCAACAGACAAGAATTCTTATAGTGTAACAGAAGAAAATATCGCACATACCTCATAACCCATCTTGTCAATCATCTCCCTGACCACTTGATACATAGTTGGCCTAGCCTGGAAACCAAATACCAAGAATTATAGATTTTTAGAATTCCTATCGTATGCAAATCCAATATGCTGACGAAGTCTAATTCTGCCAGCTCAACAAACCCAGAAAGAAAAACAAAAACAAAATCTTAATTCAAATGGAAGGACGATAGGGAGAGCAACCATACAATTGGAACATTGCGCACTGCTGCCATGAGCAACACACTGGGCATCTCCACTGCAATCAAAGGTAAACCCAACTTCAAATTGACATAAAGTTACAGAGATTTCGGGTGTAAATTCCAAAATGCAAAATTCGTAATATTAAAGAGTAGTCGTTCAATATTAACATACAAACAATTATTGGGAGAAGAAGACCAGTCCCATCTTCCATCTTCAACACAATTGCAGGATGTGGAGCATAATCGGGAAGATGGCCCCCCTGAGGGTTGTTATGGACACACCTCATGTGCCTACCATCCCTCATTTTGATCATGAATCCATCAATTCCACTCTTCACCTCAACTACACCAAAAACCAAAGGCAAAACACTTATCATTCAACGGTTCATAGGAAATAACAGTACACAAAATCAGGAAACAAAATTATAGTAATATCACGACCACTGTTGCCACCATATTTATGCAACAAGAAACAGACTGCTAAGAATTTTTTATGTTATGGCATTAAGCGCTAAATCATAACGATTCATGATTACAATTCTAAGCTGGAATTAGCGGTTACAAAAAATGAGGTGCCGATGGCATAGCGTACCGGCTTCAAGTACACTGGAGTTGACATAATCTTCATCATTTTCATTGAAATTCTCGGCCATACTTCCATTACCATTTGATGAAGAACTGAAAGTGCAATGCACTCTTGTGCATTTTCGTGCATTTTGAGGGCGAGAAACAAAACCCGCCTTTGTGATGCAACCGCTGACCCCTCTGAATCTACATAATTCACTTCTAAGAAGCCTAGCCTTCACCAAAGGGCCTACCACTGGCACAGTGTCATACCCCGATTGCTTTGCGCGAACAGTAGGGCAAATTACTGGCCCTTGCAAAGAAACCATCGTACCTTCTCCAAAATCTACCACAAAATAAATAAAATAAAGATGAAGTGCTGTTTGGTTACCGAGAAAATATATGAAATTGAAAGAGTGATTCTCTTTTCAGCATATTTCGATGAATTCCCCATGTTTGATTACCATGAAACGAGGATACGTTAGCTATTGATATGTTAATCTATGATTTGATAATTAAATCATGATTTAGTGTAGTTAAAATGATACAATTAACAATAAAAATTAAAATCCACTCTCACTCACTCTCTCTCTCTCTCTCTCTCTCTCTCTCTCTCTCTCTCTCTCTCTCTCTCTCTCTCTCTCTCTCTCTCTTTTAAGTTTCAAACACCAAATAGCAGCTGGAAGTGTTAGAGAGCATCAATCACAGATATGAAACCAGATCAGAACCAAAATCAGACCTTAAATCTCTACCTTTCAAAAAAAGTTCGACGGTCAGAAGTCTTTAATCACCGATCAAAGCTTTCTCACCCTTCCGTTTTCCGGAGCTTTTGTCTCACCGATGCTGCATAAATTTTCACGGATTCCGGAATCCGATTCCGATAAATTAATTTCCTGAAGGAAAGCGATTGACGATGAGTATGAAATTAACGCAAAATTCTCAAAGATCTGAATCGAATAAAGCTTGCGATCGAATGATCGGAAGAAAAAAAAAAGAGGGGAAGTGAAAGAAAGCTTATAGATGAAGCAATTGAAGCTTGTTTGGATTGAAGAAAATTGGAGAAATTACCGACAAGGAGGATCACATATAAGAGACTGAGAGATGGGGGAGAAGATAAGAGATTCTTCCTTTGTATAATTGTATTGTACAAAGATAAATATAAATTTAAAATGCTTGAAGTTGCTTGGGGGACAACATGATGAATCAACTACGTTTTCAAAATTACGGTTCTATCCCCTTCGGAAAAGAAGCTGATTTGTCAAATGAAGGAGGGTATTTGTGACCTTTGACCGAAGTGGATAATACCGGTCTGAGTGAAAGTAGCGGCTGCGCGCGTAGAATGACAGGTGCAACAGTGCCGGCGTTCGACGAGATCAATATTACTTACCTGACTGCCACGTGTGTTCCTGCTCCAGGAGGGATCTGGATAAGGCTTCTCTCTCTCTCAAAAATATCAAAATTCTGTTTTCTTCCTCAAAATATCAGTGTGTGGTTTTCACTCGGAACCCTTTGTTTTTACTCCTCTTTTTCCTTTTGTTTACACTTGGGCCGGAATACGATTTTTCCTCTCTGAAACGTGATTGCAGTTCAATTCTCTTCTTTTTGGGCTATACAAATGGCAGCTTCGCCAGTAAAAAGTAACTTGTTGGAGCCCAAAAGCCACACAAACATCATGTGTATATGTGGGGTAAGAAAAAAAAAGTGGCAGTTAGATTCTTATGTGGGATTCCGACCAAAAAATATTCTTATGTGGGATGTATTTATTAGATTCTTTTTTGCTACTCTTGATTTATTGAAATTTACTAAATAATTTATTACGAGTAATTCTTCATTTTAAAATTTTAGGAAAAAAAAAACACTGAGAATCAGAATAGTCAAAAAGCAGCTGGCAATTTGTTTTGACGTGGCTTTTAGATGGTGATCTGGCAAATACCATTCAATTACAGTGTGCTGATTCAAAACACGAAGACAATGGTTCTTCTTGTCACATACTACATGAAAATCATGTCCATGTCAATGGCTTCCAGCTTCAAAACAAAGCGACCTACAATAAATCCCATTATAATATTTTCATAATGCCAGAATCAGCCACTATTTACAGCTATATATGAAGATCTGTTTCAATAGCTTATTATTTTGTCACTGTTCACGCTGATCAAGTGAGTGGCTGAAACGTGGAAACGTCACCGAGTTGTTTTTTAGGTTGTTGTAACTATTGTTAGTTTAAAAAAGTAAACGATTAATTAAGAGACAACTCACAATAATATAATTAATCTGCTACATAAATGAATGAAAGCAACTTGCCCCTAATTTATGCAACTTTTACTTGGGGTTAGTCTACCAAATGATGTCACCCGAAACATATGATAGACGTTTCACCTTAAAATTATGTGACTTTATTACCAATATATATTTTAATATTAGTTATAGTCTAAACTATAAGAGAAAGGATAGTTAGAGGTTCTACATGTAGCCTTAAGTGTGGGGTATTCTTACTAATACTCTATTATGTCATTAGAGGTAGTCCAACACTTAATTAAAATTTCAAATATAAGACATTTTTGTTAATGCTTTAATTTATAATTAAATTTTTGAATAAAATGTAGGATAAAGAGATATGATTTTACTGGAGATATAAAGGTTAAGGGTAAATTTCATACTCATTAAAGCCCAAGGCATCTTTCTCTCTACCCTCAAAATAGAGGCAAACACAAAACGCAAAAGAAAATAGATCAAAGATGGTCCCCAGAAGCCAATATTGTCATCTTCCTGGGTAAACCATGACAGAAGTTAGAACCTTTGACAAAAATATGGAGGTAGAGAGTAGTTGGAATTGTATGCAGGGAGGCTTTTCGCAAGTCGACAAACTTCTGGCCTCTCATTGGAAAGTAGATATGCAACTTCTTCACGTTCAAACAAGGCATGGCACCAATGGTCCCTAGTCCTACCGCGACTCTTTACTCTCAATCTATTTTTTATCAACCTACGTTTTATTATTATTAATTTTGAAAAATACAAAAATTTTCAACGGCGGTGACAAAACACCAAACAGTGGAAGGCATCTAAAACGAAAAGGCATGGTCCCGCCGGGCGTCTTTGAGGGGCAAAATTAGGCCTGAAACCTGAATGGAGCTCTGGGTGTAAGTTGACTTTATCAAATAGACCTTTCCCCCACAGGGCCGGGCGGGTTGGAGCATATCATATACAATTACATTATAACAAGAATTCTATAATGAGGGCCTGGGACATGTGCAAAATAGTGTCGAAATTTTTGCCCGGCTTTCTTTGCATTGTCCTCTGTTCCTTTAGGGGTTTGCAATGAATTGAAACTTCGAAAAGAAAAAAAAAAGTGTCCAAAATCAATCGAAATGCTTAATTAAACTTTTATTGATCGAAAAATTGAGTACATAAATTACGTGAAAGAAGGTCCCTTAAATGCCATAATATCTATAAATGGCACACATGAATTGTTAATGGATCAAACTTGGTCCATTCTGGAATTGTTGGCAGGATGACCAAATTTGCTCCATTAAACTTTGGAGGGGACGAAGATTTCGCTAGTATGGACTTAGAAGAATAAGCCAATATTTAATTTGCCCAATACTCTTTAACTTATATGATCAAGTAAAATATAACATTAATGTTAAGTCCCTCCCCCAAAGTTAGGTGCTGGCCAAATGCTTCCACTCTCACCAATGTCACTTGTCACATAAGACATGCACGACAAAGGAACGAGGCACAATCCTCTACTTCTGAGATCTCGTTTTGTTTCGCCATTTCCATTGATCTCTGTCACACCCTGAAATCATGGTTAGCAATGCGTCATTTAAACTAATTAAGAAAATCAATTTAGCCATGAAATGTATTACAACAACAATTTTCACAAGCAAGACGTATGTAGGGTGAACAAAAACAAAATACTATTTTGCAACAATTTTCAGGCATGTAAATCATATGATTAGACTGATGAAATCACGACATTATTGTTGGTACGGATATCTCAATAATTCTCACCCCTTGCATTGTTTTACAGGATTTGTTGCGCGATGACTTCATATATGGGACGCTTAGGGTCTGCACACAAAACGTGTAAAATGAATAAAATAAAAACTATATCCTTATAAAGCACAAGCAGAAAATTGAATTTGCTTCAATAATTGAAAGTAGCCTTCCCCTTTCTATCAAGCATCCTATCATAGTATGAATCGAGCGGGAGATGTTCTTGTTAAAATAGTGATTTAGATCCCAAGTTCCAAATAAGATAAGACCAGAGGCCAGACAAGAATGAATGTCGTGAGTGACGAAAGTTGTTTCCTTTTTGTTCCTTTAGGAGATTGATGAGACTAATTTATCTTCTTCTTCATCTCTCGTTATTTATCTTCCTAGTTCAATCCAAACGAGCCACATGGGCATGACAAGACCAGACCAGAGACATGATCATTTGTATATGCTTCAGTACGTCCCGGACTATATATAAGATACGTCTTGGGAAAGTTCACTTCAAGAAATTGATAGTGGAGATAAGGTCAAAACTTGAAAAGCACGCCCAAGGAAAACCCTAGCGGCTAGCGCCATACACATGTTGATCAACGCACGTACGAAATGCTTAAAAGTAGGACAGTTGGGTTTCTATTGTAGAAAGCATCTCCGTACCTTAATTCGTCAGGTGTGTTGTGGTCTCGACATTATTATTTGATCTCAAAATTAAAGCATGATTAAGATTAAAACACGGAAATACCTCGACCTGGTTTTGAAGGAATTTGATGTATCCGATAGCCTCCATCAGAACGGATGCTGTGTCTGTCTGCAATATAGAATTGGTAATTAAATTGAACTGAAACACATTAAAAAGAGAAAATACAAGTGTTCTTTTTTCAATATTTACCTTTCCAAAGGGTGCCACCAATTGCTGAAGAGCTGCGATTCTATCTCCCAATTTCTCCTTTCTAACCTGTACAAATGCCAAAAACTGTTGATGGTACACATCAAAGCAATTAATTTTCAGCTTAATTTATCACAAGGTTAATTTGGCACCTTAAAGGGTGGGCATGCAGTGCGCGACTCCAATCGCGATTTCTTTGGTGCAGTTGCTTGATTTACCTTTGGCTCGATCGAACTGCCGGGTCGTTTCACCTCTGTTATTTCATTGTCGAAAGATGATATCTTTGAATTCCAAAAGACCAAAAATCAGTACTTGAAAGAAAGAAAGAAAGAAAAGAAAAGAAAAGCCTTCTGAAAAAAGGAGATGCACACAACACACATTGTATAAAGTTGAAGCTACCCCCAATGTTGCAAAAAGGGAAGGCTCTACATTTTCTTTTGATGCTATATAAAGCAAATAAAGATTTAGAATAAAGTGTATTAACTTTTGAATTTTGGATTTATTTTTCCTAAAACTAAATAGAAAAGTAACTTCTGATTAACTTCTGATTATTAATAATTTAGTTTAGCAAATTGCCACAATGATATATGATTTATTAATAATTTAGCAGTTGCATAAGACTCTCGCATATCCATTTTAATTAAGCTATTTTACATGATTATTAGGGTTCAAATTTATATGTATACCATGAATTATTAACTACACATAATTAATTAGTGGAATGTGCAGAGTAAAAACTATTATTTAAAATAAAATGTATGCAGCTGGTTTGACTAGCTAGGTTAAGAAGAGAGGAAAACATACCTTATTATTATTGCCGCACGATAGCCTATGAGGGTCAGTTGATTGATGCATCTGTTGAAGAGTAGCAAACGAATCATGCGTTTCCTTGTATAAGCCAAGGGTATCATGTGAATTAGGCTGCGTGCTAAAACTACTACTAGTCCCGGTACTAAATCTTGCAGAAGCGCCTAAGAGATCCATGGCCTGCAAGTTCATGTCCAAGCTAGAGCTTGAGATTGAAGACGAAGACAACGACCGGTTCAAGTTGGAAACATTTATGCTTGGATAAATTTGGCTGAAGTGGCCTCCTGATCTGCTAGGCATCCCCTGCGGCACGCCTCCAATTAGATTAGAATTGTGGAGTAGATGATGATGATGATGATCATTTGAGTAAAACTCTCCAGCTGATGAAATTTGGTGGTGATGAGGATTGATAATACTATTGATTTGACAGCCAGAAGACAAAGTCTTGAGCAAGAGCTTCTCACTGAGGTCATTCATGATCAATTGGTCTTTTTCCTCATTCTTCATAAATTGGTAATACTGATCATGATCTATACTAGTCGACGCGGGGGCGCTGGTCAGCATTTCTGTTAATTTTGGGAAGGAATTGTGATGATGGTGATGATGATCTGAGGAGGATGATGAAGTGAGCTCTTCCTTAATTTTAGCAAGGTCATGGGGAGACTGATGCTCACTAGTAATATTGGCGAGCCAGTGAAAGCCCAAGTCAGGTACCATGGAACTGTTGAGGGGATCCAAGCCTGAATTTGATGAGTTACCACTACTGCTCCTGCACAATTTAAATGTAATGAACACTACTCATGAGAAAATAAAAATACATAAATATTATTTCCAAATTAAAAGGAGGGTCAGCTGCTAGTGCCCCCTTTTCTCATTAATTTTTTTTGTTTCATTCAATTCAACAACAAATTTGTTGATAAATATTTAATTTTTTATTCTTCATTAATTATATATGGCGTGCATGAAGTTTTCCATAATATATATATATATACACACACACACTGGTGCAAGTATATATTTGTACATTTCATCGTGAACTTTAATGATTTAAATTCCAAAGCAATATTCCAACTGGAAACAGCTTGAACCTCTTTGAAACATTTTCATAATTAATAAGAAGCTAACAGAGAAGCAAATTTCTGGTTGTCATCTCAGCATGCAGTTCCTGACTGATATGAACATCAAATCAAAATAGAAAAAAGATTAAAGAAACAATAAAAAAATTCCAAATTTTCTAAATTACTGCATTTATGAACAGCCAAATGTTCATTAATTATTGAATGCTCAGAGAGAAAGAGAGAGGAGTGAGACTTACAGAGTGGCAGAAGGGGTCCAAGCATGCTTGGTTCCAACTGCATAGCAAGATGGGGTAGCTGCTAAAGAAGAAGACCCAACAAGATTCTCTTGGAGCTGGTGATGTTGGTGATGGAGATTTGCAGACTCCATATATAATGATATAATTGTTTTCGAAAAAGCTTGAAAATCCCAAGATAAGCAATAAATTAAGATTAATTAAGTAAGTAACTAGCTTTGCTCCAGGAATCTCTCACACAATTCAAAGAAAACCCAGTTCAGGTTGTGACACCCGCATACCTTTGGTGGTTGCTTTTAGCTAAGCCAGCCACTTTTCTCAGTTTCCTCTTTACTCTTTCAAGTTTACATATCCTTATGTATTGATTAAAGTAGCCTTGAAAAGAAAGAAAGAAAGAAAGAGAGAGCGTGAGTACTTATTATTCATCTCCATACCTCTCTCTCTCTGACTTTAATTTGTTTTTTATTTTCTTTTCAGGCTTTCTCTCTTTCTTTTTCTCTCCTCTACCTAGCTATATATATATATATATATATATATTTCTTTTTGCACTCTCTCTGCAATTACAGGCGGATGATTATATACTTCCTCTACGCCATGATTAAAATCCCTGCCTTCAATCCCAAGGCTGTCAACCAGGTCTCAGAAGAGAAATGATGGTAACCACACCCTTTACCCTCTCTCTCTCTCAACCCCACATGTCCAAGGATGTTTATGTATATATCCCATTTGCAATGGTGGGGTATAAGTAGCAAACAGGAGAGTTCTTTCATTTGGAATGGTGGGTATAAGTAGCAAATAGAACTTCTCTGCAGTGAACTACTCTCCAGTTCTATCGAGTGAATGCGATCAATCCAATTCTATCCAGTGAAACGCTAATTAAGCTCAAGTTTTGTATCATAATTAAAATAAATATATATAGAACATTATTAATTATTAGGACACCACTATGGATGGTTTAGTTCTATAAAAAGAGATTAAATATGATTAGACATTAATTAACAAACATATTCCAGACCGGTATGCTTAACTTTTTCACCTAGGCACGTTGATTAACAAGCATATTCCAGACCACTATGGATGGTTTAGTTCTGAAAATGCATTCAATATTAATGCAAATTTACTAAGAAAATCTGTATGCGAGTGAATGATGGACTCTTCTCTAAATCGCTTATGAGTTTGTGTATGCTATCAGTATTGTCGTGGCAATCAGTATTGCTTATCATGAATTATTTGCTTTTTGGTAAAATCTCTCCTTGGGTTTTCGGTGGTGAACATCACTTCCATTAATTAAAGTGCACGTACATGTTGGGCATGGTAATCTTCAAGAGGGACAATAGAGGACGATGATTGCAACCCTTTCTTTTTGGTGTTTCAGATGCACACGCAGACACAAATTAAGCATTTGATGTGAACCCTTGTGCTATCAGCAAGCATATCTACGTTGAACGCAGACTTCTATCATCACAAATAGTACTCCTAGCTACCAAAAGCCACAAACATAGCTAGCCAAGCTTTACTTAATTATGTGTATTTTTTGAATGAAGCAGGCTATCTTTTTATCTTGACAATATCTATATATAGTAATGCATGTGTGCTTGTGGCCCTTGTGTTCATACCCGAACGACATCAAATTAATCTCCTTGGAGGAATTAGGAGTAGTTCAAGTAATCAAAGATCGTTCATCAGAATAACCGAGAAATAATAATAATTTAATTATACTTTACTGAGTGAGGAATGGCTGGTCCCAAAAAGAGACGGGGAGATTTTCATTTATGTGTAGGTTCAACGACAGTACAGTTGCTTGTTATAGTTGGTTGGTCAATATGACTGGTCTCTACTTTTTAGCTTTTGGTTTTAGATTTTTTAAAGCAACTTTGCGAGACATGGAATTGGAAGCTGAGTAGGTTATACGAAAATTGAAGATCACATCATTCGAAATCAAAGACTCGTTCTTATATCTGTACACAAGACTGATAACAAAGTTTCATGCTTACTTAGCTGCATCTCTATCTTCGTAGGCCTACCTCCTTCCTTCCTTCCTTCCTTGATGATGATCATCAACACACACGTCAGTCGGTCTTCTTTAATAAGATCCACTTATTTTATATATGTGAGAGAGTTAGAGGATTAAATAAACACGAAAATTAGTTGAATGATGAAAAAATTAAATTCAAGATCATTGCAGTCAAAAACCCTATATTAAATAACTTGTATAAAACTTGTAAATGGGAATTAACAAGACATAGATTAATATTAAATAGGTAGATGCGAAAATTAATAAATATTTTCTATCTTCACTTCACGTACGTACGACAGACATTCTGGATGGCATAATAGAAGTAGTATTGTTGCCATGCCCCGGCCCGGATCTTGAGGTGAGGAAGCAAAAATGAGAGAAGCAGGGGCGGCAGGCATTCATTCCTTATTCAAGGGTAGAATAATATGAAGGTTGGTTGCGATGAGGATTTAAAAATAAAAAAATAAAAAACATCTGAGATCTTGATTATTGTTCAATCATATCTCCTAGCCAGTGGCAAACAATTACTCTTGCCCAGACAAAATATAATTTTTATTTATTTATGAACACCCTGTAATTACATGACTTATTGCCTGCTACTTCTAAAGATATTTTGTGAATTTGCAAGTGCATCATTGTGAATGTAGTGCAATGGGGAGAGAGACTGGCTCGAGAGCTAATTCAACTGCAAAATGGGAGCTAATTGCGTTAGATTAGATTAGCCTCACTAATTAATCATAATTATAAGTCTAGGAAATAATATTTTTTTTTGTGAATTTGGACTCTCCATTCAAATTATTTGTGAAGGAGAGAGAGAGAGAGAGAGAGAGAGAGAGAGAGAGAGAGAGAGAGAGAGAGAGAGAATGAAATAAAAATAAAATTATGATTAAGTTGTCATTCTCCATCAAAGAAGGGGTTATAATTAATAATTTGATTAGCCCCACAAAAGTTCACATCAGACGAAAAAAGGGGAATGTGAGATCAGATGATCAGAGCATGGGCAAAGCTCAACTTTTCTTTTAGCATACCCACCCATCTTACAAACTACATTAATTTATTTCTTCCAACTATTTTTTTCTTTAAAGCTTTTCTTCTTTATCGAGAGCTTTTTCTTTCTCTCCTTCTTTCCCTTTGCTTGTCACCTTTCCCATATTTCCTAGTCTCACTATCTTCCAAGATTCATTTCATTAAAGCTGCTTCTACATCTGGTTTACAAAAGAAATTTCAATTATTATTTTCACTTTCATGATTCTTCAAAGATTCGTACATCTTAAGAATTCTTTTCCTTTTCTATATTTTTTTTAATTTCAAAAGCCTTGAATTAATGTGTAATTAATCAATCCCCGTTTTATATGTTTATGGTATTAGGATTGATTTGCAATACACTAAGGGCGGATCTAGCCAGTTTTTGGCTAGGTGGCCACCCAGTCGAAAATTTTCAACAAAAACAAGGCAGATATATGTTAGCCCAACCAAAAAAAGAAAAATAAAGGATACCATATCTTTAGCTGCTAAGCCAACCATCAACATATTCTCTTCTCTGTTGGCTTCAACCAAAAAAAAATATCTTATAGACTTTTTTGTTTTGTTAATAGGTTAGGTTGTCAATGATTTTATTTATCAAGTTGTTAATAGGTCTTTTAGTGTGTTAATGAGTTGTACTTAACATGCGTTAAAGTTTTACTGCAAAATTCTTTGTTTTAAAGCAAATATTGTTTATTAATGAAATTCACTTGTATTGTCGAATTTAGTACTTAAATTTCGCCCAACCAGCTTTCAAATCCTCAACAACTTTTTAGCGAGAGAATGTATAAAATATATAGACATACATAAAATTGCTTGTTTAGCGATTTAATAATTTTGTTTTGTAATCATTTTCTCATCAACCTTCGAATCATTCTCCAATATATCACGAAGATAATGACACGTGGGAAAAGAAAGGCCGTCACGAGGTCTAGTAAAACAAATTAACCAAACGAGTGATCTTCGGTTGAAAGGTCAATTCTCTACCTTCTTTAATGCATGTGCAAAGGAGAGAAGCTAATTATAACTTGGTCTGAAAATGACCAAGACAAAGAAGAATAAGAAGAAGAAGAAGAAGAAGAAAAGAAATGTTGTGAGTGGGTAAGGATGTGGACTTCAATTTGAAACCAATTAACAAGCATCTCCTTACAAGTCACATATATGGATGGATGATGGATCCGTACATTATACATCCATATAATAATTCTAATAAACCATGGGCATTACTTATTAATTTAATCTTAATTTTCTTACACACAAAAAAAGGTCCCATAACCCACTAAAAGCAAGTTGTTATCATTAATGACTTTAGGGTCCATCACCATCATTAAACTAAATAGAAATAACAGGTCTTTTTGTAGTCTTTGCCAGTCAACGCCAGGGTCATCTGTGGCACTTACAGGTTACAAATTACAATATAATATAATATAGAATTTATTGTAAACTTTTTCAAACATATGAATAATGTTATTGTCTAATTACTTTAGTATAATTGGTACGTACATAACATAATGTTGAATTAGTTTCATTGTCTTGTAATTGATGTTTAAGAAGCGAATTAGAACCTTCGTAATTCACATCCTAATCACTTACCAAGGCCGTCAGCTTTACGTTTAGTGAAACTAATGCCAAACCCAAAAAGCTTCGATCTGCAATCTCTTCGAGTATCTTAGTCTAGTTGATCAGTAGCTGGTGGAGAGATTCCAAGGTCATATATATATATATATGTGTGTGTGTGTGTGTGTAAGGTCTAGCTAATCATACTTAGAAGATGCTAACACAACTTTAGTCGCTGCAAATAAGAGCACATTATCTTTGGCAAGTAAAGTTTGTCTTGACGTTGAGGTAAACATCAAAATTTATATGTTGATATTATTTATACATATAAAAAAGAGAGCACTAGTTCTCTTTTCCAGTCATAAAAGAAGAAGATTATTATTTACAATTATACAACTCTCGTGTTAAACACTTTATAGCTAGGTACTAATTAAGAAGTTGTTAATTAAGATACTATTTAATTTCCTTCAATTGTTTAACATGGATCATTATTTTGGTGATGCTTTCCTCCACTTGAGTATAAAATGAACTTTTAGGTCAAATACATGGCAAAACCCTTAAAAGGAGGTCTTAAAGTTGCAGGATTTAAAGGTTGTCTCGAGAAGAAGACAAATCACAGGAACAGGAGAATATATGCTTGTCAAGCTTAGGGGCTTGAAATCCAACACCAAGGGGCCATACACTTTTTTTTTTGTTTCATTGCTTTCTATGCCCACTGAACCATGGATAATAATAATTCCTTATTCTGTGCGATTCCTTCATCTTCCTAGCTAGCTATTTTAATCAGTCATCGATGTGAGTTTTTGGTTTTCAGCCACAAATCTATTGGTATGGTATCAGAGCACACTAGCACTATAAAATATTCCTCTTTTGCACCCACTAAACCTCGCGACGTTCAAAATGGTTTTAACTTCATTTGGGGCATGGTAGCGACATGTTTCTGCATTTTCTACATTCAATTTCCTTCTAAGACCATACCACAAATTCATCAGTGTGCCCCCAATACTTTTCCAAAGGCTTCAAAGAAATCAAGAAAACTCTGTCGCACGTGTATACTTGAATCTTAACATATGTATATGCAAGAGAAGATGCTGTTGTAATATGAGAGAGAGAGAGAGAGAGAGAGAGAGAGAGATCACTAAGATGATGAACTTGAATTTCATACATCAGATGAAGCAGAAATACATAGAACCTACCAATGCAGATACGAGCATCAAATTTTGCTATATTTAGATTTATACGCAGGATAGTAATGATATTTATTTAAAAATTAATTAAAAGAATATACATTCTATTTGAATACTTACAAAATTAGGGGAACCAATTGCCAACTTAAGTACTCTCTGAAAATACACAAAGGAGGGTGCCTGTAATGGCATGAAAAACTCACAACCTTTGTTTCTTCTTTGCGGATGTATCTTCTAGCTCTACTCCATTTTCGAGCTCACTTTCTATCCAGGCTTCAGTATCTATCTCATCATCTGTGGCGTGCACCACCTTCTTATTTACACTTCTTTCACATCTTTTCCTCTTTATAGCATCTCTAATCCGGTTAATATCAATCTTAACACAGTTATTATGAACAGAATCAGTCTTGCATCTTGAGTTCCGATCATCCAATTCTCCTTTGATTTGTTTAATCTGAGCACTACCATCCTCATCAACACCACTTTGCTTTCTCGGTATAGTTTCAGATTCAATGACTCTCCCATTTTCAGGTGCTAGAGCTTGTTTTCTGTCTGGCCTCATCATCCGCTGAATGACCTCTGAAAGAAATTACACAGAAGTTATAGACATTTTTCATAAAGCAAACAATCCAAGTGCGATTGTATAAATAGAAGGGAGACACTGACAAGGGAATCTGTTCAGAATAAACTCATCCAAATCTGACACTATACTCCAACCAATAGGACCAATAGGTATACTAGTTGAGGAATACAATAAAACTCATCACTCCAAATATGAACCATACGCAAAGCATACTAAGTGAGGAAAACTACATTAAGACAACACCAACCATGCTTCTTATCACAGATCATGATTTATAAATCATGAAGCAGAAATAAAGAAAGGACTTCAAATCAACCATTTAACTGCTTCGGCGAAACATCAAACTCAAGCCACCAAACTTTTCCCTGCTGTGTAGGTAATTTCACTTTCTGAATTTTGGCAGCAAGAGCCACTGAACCAGCTGCAATATAATGGGGCTTGTACTGCAAGCACAGTGATGTTCGGACACTGCACATTCATTCATATGAAAGACTAGTTATGAAAAAGACAAGCGTGAGATAAAATTTTACATCACCACTAGGATACATACAGAAAGCTCTGATAAGTAATGGTACAATCCTCACCAATCATTAACAAAATTCAACGCCATCTGAGCAAGGTCAGGGAGAATATTTAAACTCTTTAAAGCTGCAACAAGTGATGCGTATGGAAGCTGGATGTCAAGATCAAAACCAATTGTGGACAAAAGAAGTCTCTCCCCAACTATAATCAATTCCTTTTGCTTATTGAAAACTTCCTACATCCAGAAGGTGGAAGATAAGCAACCATCATTAGAAGGATACATGTAATGCCATAAAATGGGTGTGTCTACATACTCTTTGTCTGATGCTTTGTAAGGCAGAAGGATCCAATTTGTGCACCATCTCATATGCCACAACAACAACATCCTTCAGAAAGCATGGTGTGTCTCGTACTTTGCAAGCAAGAAAGAAGCTTGCAGTTGCAATTACCTGTGAAATGTTTACAACCATATTTGTTTAGATGAAAAAGGCATATCCTACTAGAGCTAAATATATGCAAGCTAGCCGGGAATCTCTATGCTTCTAAGCGCTCACCTTAGGTATGTCAAGAAAAGTTTCATTCATTATTATTCACACACAAAATTTTACCTGCCAACCATTCTTAGCATGAGACTGACGCATGTAAAACCGGTGGCACAACATCATTGCACATGCTATAGTCGTTTGAGATCTGAAAGATATGTAATAGCAATCACTTTAACTAGAGTAGCTCAAGCTAGCACACATCTTTAACAAAGATATACCAGTCGGTATAAAAAACTGAAAAGAGATGCAGAGAATAGATGACTATTCTATAGGACGGAACCAGCCAAAACATGCCATACAGTAAGAGAAACATCACATCTTCAGCACTACTAAACATCTGATACCATTAAAACACACGAATCACTTGGACTTACACTTTAAGCTTCATCCCAATGGCTTGAAGAAATGAGCAATAGGAATCCCGCAATTGTGACTCTTTCTTCAGGCTGATGCCATCCTTCCGAGATGGAGAATGATCTTCTATTTCCTGTCTTGTAAAATACCACTTACGCATAGAGCACTGAGGTTCTTCTGGTTCCGGAATGCACATGCTAGTTGAAGCCTCAGCAATCCCTTGCTCAGAAGGATTCTCGGGCACCCCTCTAGCCATTGTCACCTTTTCATCATAAATTCATAATGGTATAGAAGAGATGAAATTAGACTCGCATTGATTGTTAGTAGCTCTTTCTCAAGATTAATCAACAACCTATAAACTAACAGTAAGGCGAATTTTACGTTATCATTCAATCTTCACCTAATTATAAAATAAATTAGTTTTTAAGAGCATGTACAACTAATCATAATACTTTCCAGCGGAAAAGGTTAAAATTATTCCACAACCTAGACAAGCACAAAATTCAAAAGTAAACCAACATACAATTCCAATGTTTTGCTTCACCTAAAAACAAATCAAAATTGAAGATTCTCATGCCCTAAACGGTTATTATAGCAAGTCCAAGATTACAATTAAAAGGAACAAAATCTTCAGAAACAATGCGAATTCAAAATATCGAGAATTTGTAAGAGCAACACTCACCTCAAAACCACGATTCAAATGAAAAATTACAAAATTCGCGAGACCAGAGTGCAGAGATAGGCAAATTCGTAGCCCGCAGTTACGGAATTCCCAGGCTTTTTAGGAAACCTGAACAGTAAGTGGAAAGATTTGGAAGACGGCTGAATGCTCACTGTAAAATATTGGTGTGTTCCCCAGCCCAGGACGAAATCGGAACAAACCCAACCCTAGCCTAGCCTCGCTACCGTCAACTAATTCGGTCCACGTTGACTCTCTTTCTTCGCAAGCACGCATGGCGCGTACTTCCCACGCTCTAAACTGCCACGTGGTCAGAACATCAAGTGTTCGGCCGAACAAAAGCAATCCGCATCATGTCTCGTGTGAACAAAACAACAAAGCTGTCCCTCGTTTCCTCAAACGACATGTCGATTGTAGGGTTCTATCCAATGGATCAGCCCGCTGTTTGAAAGACCTACTCCTCCAGTCCAGGCCCAAAATAAAAGGCATGTTAAGTGTCTAGTTTTGTGAATAATTAAGTGTCTAATTATGAATTAATTACGGTGGGTGACATAGCTTTTTATTATTATAAAGAAAAGCGATAATTGTATTCATAAATTAGGCACAAAGATCATCAGTTACAAAGGCAAATACAAATGCCCACAAAGGGGTAATACAAATATGGAAGTATATAAACCACATAGGATTAATGTAAGATAGTTTAGGGCCCGTCCGGTAACGTTTTCGGAGAATATTTTCTTAGAATATTTTCAGAGAATGAAAACAAGAAAACGAATTTGCATTTTCAGGAAATGAAAATGCGTCTGGTAGATTAATTAGAAAACATATTCAGAAAACAAAAACAATGAAAACGTGTCTGGTAATACAATTTGAAATAATAATATGTGAGTTCTTTTTATGAAAATGTTTCCTATGAGAATGAAAACAATTTTTTTTTGTTTTCTTCAAGTACACATGAACTTATTTTCATTTTATAAAAACATTTTCAGTGTTTTTTGTTTTTGGGTTACCGAACGTGTTTTTGCCTCATTTTTGTTTTCTGAAAATGAAAACAACCCCTTAAAACGTTACCGAACGGGGGCCTTATTATCCCAATCCTTTCAGAATTGGTCTTCTATTCATTATCGGATTGCAAGACTCAAGACTAATCAAGAACTCAACACAACTCTCGACCTGCAACCTTTGTGTCAGTGTTCCGTACGGATTACAAGGCTAAAGGGGTTTCTAGTTCTATGAGAATTAGGATTAACAGCTCTATAGCAATAAGAATACCTCAAGGAGTCCCTTGACGGGCAAGACTCCTTGAGTGATGCATATAAATAGAGCAGCTCCCTCTAAGAGCCGACACACACAACATCTCATCAAGTAATTGACTCCATCTGGAATTTGAGAATAAGGCAGTCGATTATCTTAGAGAATAGCTGTTTCCCAAGTGTTCGATAAAAGGTTTCAATGGCAGAACAAGGTTAGTGTTCAAGTTATTATAGCTTTAAAGTTTACATGTGGTATCAGAGCGTAAGTTATTTTATCTTCTACCTAACCAACTTTTAGAACTTGAAAATTAAAGGATAATTAAGTTTTCAAGGTTAAAGAAACTTGACACAGCAAGAGTTAAAGTTAACACCTTGCTGTGACAAACAGAAATTGATCAAAGGTTTGTATAGTTCTTGCCGTGCTCTGAGCAAGCCAAAGCAACTCAGACACAACAAGATCTGTACATTCAAAGTTTTATGATCAAACTTGTGTTGAAAATAAAGGCATAATGAATGATTCACTGTCTAAAGATGTGAATGATTTATCGTGCAATTATTTTCAGCAGAACAGCATAAGAGATGAAACACGTAGGCTATCAAGGTTGTTCTTCTGTCCAAAGATGTGGAACCTTCCTTGTACAGGAAGCTTATGTGATTTTCATGTCTTAGTGTTGATAAACATGTTTTGATTTCTTCACCTAAAGGTGAGGATCAATCATGTTTTAAAGTTCTGGGGTTTTCAGTTTTTAAACATATATATACCATGTGTTTTTTCAGTTAATCACAACTCGATTGAAACTCTCATTGGATCCAACTACACCAAATGGAGGGAAGATGTGGAAATTGCTCTAGGATTGCTGGACTATGAAATGGCTATTGAAGAAGAACCTGATGCAGATGCATCTGCTGGAGCAAAAGCAAAATATGCCAAATGGGTTAAGGCAAACAAAATGGCTATTCTAATTATGAGAATGTCAATTTCACCATCTGTCAGGGGAAGTATTACATCATCTGATAATGCCAAGAAGTTTATTGATTCTATTGGGGAGAAGTTTCGAGAATCAGAAAAGGCTGAGATTGGAACTCTAATGGGATAGCTTACCGATACAAAATACAATGGGGAGAGATGTGTGAAAATTCACATACTGAACATGCTAGAAATTAGGAACAAACTGAAGGCACTCAAAGTTAATGTGGATGAAACTATGATGGTACATTTTGCTATAAACTCTCTGTCTAGTACTTTCAAGCATCTTAGAAGCACATATGTAGCTCAAAAGGAGAAGTGGACAGTAACTGACCTCATAAGCATCTGTGCGCAGGAAGAACAAAATATGAAGAAAGATAAGGCTGAAGAAAGAGTTAACATGGTTCACAACTTCAAACCCAAAAAGGATTTTGGAAAAGGAAAAATTACTTGGAAGAAAAACAAGGAAGAAAAGGAAACTAAAGGGCTAGAACCAAAAGGTTTCAAGTGTTACTTCTGCAAGAAATTTGGTCATATGAAGAGGAATTGTGACAGATACAAACGCTGGCTAGATAAATAGAAGGCTAAAGGTAAGTTCGGTCAAGTAAATGTTTTTTTTTAGTCTAATGCAATTGAGATTTCTTCATATTCATGGTGGTTGTATAGTGGTGCAACAGTTCATGTGGCTAATTGTTTGCAGGGGTTGAAAACAAAGAGGCTGCCAAGCAAGGTTGAGATGAAGGTGTTCGTGGGAAATGGAGAAAGAGTCAAGGTGGAGTACATTGGATTAGCTATGATTGAGTTAGAATCTGGTTTTGTTTTGGAATTAGTAGATGTAGTTTATATTCCTTCTATGAAAGGAATCTTATTTCAGTTAGCAAGCTTGCAAAGTCAAACTTATAGTTTGAGTTTGATGAGTCTGGGTTCTCCATTTTCAGAAATAAAGTTATGATTGGTAATGGTTTTCTAAATGATGGAATGTTTCGATTAAACTGCAAGAAACCAAATCCTAGCATTGGAAATCTAAGCATCAATGTGATAAGCACTAAGAGAAAAGCAGAAAAAGGATAATCTTATAAACTTTGGCACAAGAGACTAGGACATGTCTCAGCTGAAAGAATGAATTTGCTTAACAAAGAAAATCTGTCGCCACCACTTAACCACCATGACAAAGATAGTGTTTGCATAGAATGTGTTAAAGGGAAATTGACAAATTTGAGAAAGAAAGGTGCTACAAGAAGTGAAAAAGTGCTGGAAATCATACATACAGACATTTGTGGTCCTTTTCCCACTCAAACATATGATAGTTTTAAGTATTTCATAACCTTCACAGATGATTACTCTCGATATGGTTATGTATACTTAATATCTGAAAAATCCAATGCACTGGACATGTTTAAAGTCTATAAAGCATAAGTGGAAAACCAGTTGGATTCAAAAATCAAAGTAGTAAGGTCGAATAGATGAGGAGAATTTTATGGTAAATTTGATGAGAGAGGAAGGAACCTTGGACCTTTTGCCAAATTTCTACAAGAAAAAGGTATAGTGGCTCAATACACTAACCCAGGCACACCACAACAAAATGGAATGGCAGAGAGACAAAATAGGACTTTGATTAAGATGATTAGGAGCCTAATGTGCTGCACAAAGCTTCCAAAATTTCTTTGGGGAGAGGCTTTAAAAACCGCAAATTATTTGCTAAACCGAATTCCTACCAAAAGTGCAGACAAAATTCCTTATGAAACATGGTGCAATAGAAAGCCTAGTCTCTCACATCTTAAAATCTGGGGAAGTAAGGCCGAAGCAAAGTTCTATAATCCATCAGAAAGGAAACTAGATTCCAAGACATTGAGCTGTTTTTTCATTGGATATCCGGATAGAACAAAGGGGTACAGGTTCTATTGTCCCAATAACAGCACAAGATTCATGGAAACTCAAAGAGCTATTTTTATTGAAGATGAAATTGAATCAGACACTGAGGAAAACTTTGATTTTGATGAAATTTTGGAAAACAAAGAACCTGCTGAAAAGGAAAATATGCTGAGAGATACAACCATCTTACCATTCACTGATTTGAATAACAAGCAAGTCTCACCAAATCATGATCTAACAACTGAAGTTCCACAAAATCCACCAGAAAATATGCAGATAGATCAACAAGAACAGCAACCTCACAACTCAGAACTGAGAAGGTCACAAAGAACTAAAAGACCTGCTCTATCAAATGATTATTATGTCTACCTGCAAGAGTCAGAACATGACATCAATACCACAGAAGATCCTCTGTCTTATAAGTAGGCCATTCAAATTGACAAATGTGATAAGTGGATAGAGGCAATGGAGTTTGAACTCCAGTCAATGAGCAAGAACAGTGTATGGAAGCTTGTTGATTTACCTTAAGGATGTAAACCAATAGGATGCAAGTGGGTTTACGAGACCAAAAGAAACTCAAAGGGACAAATAGACAGATACAAGGCAATACTAGTAGCAAAAGGGTTCACACAACAAGAAGGAGTGAATTACAATGAAACGTTCTCACCTATGTCAACCAAAGATTCCTTAAGGGTTATAATGGCATTAGTGGCACATTTTGATCTTCACCTTCATCAAATGGATGTTCAAACTTCATTTTTGAATGGAAACCTTATTGAAGAAATCTACATGAAACAACCGGATGGTTTCATTCAAAAAGGGGAAGAAGATTTGGTTTGCATGTTACAAAAATCAATCTAAGGATTAAAACAGGCTTCTAGGCAGTGGTACTTGAAGTTTGATGAAGTGGTGAAGTCTCAAGGTTTCATTGACAATCCTTTAAATGAGTGCATTTACCAAAATTTCAAGGGAGACATTACATTTTCATGCTGCTGTATGTTGATGATATTCTCTTAGCAAGCAGTAATCTGTCACTACTACATGACACTAAGAGAATGCTATCAAACCATTTTCAGATGACTGATTTGGGAGAAGCAAACTATGTGTTAGGAATTGAAATAAGCCAAGATAGAGAAAGGGGGTTACTTAGTCTATCACATAAGAGATATATAGAAAGGATACTGAAAAGGTTCAACATGGAAAACTGCACAGGTTGTGATGTTCCATTCTCGAAGGGTGATAAATTGAGCAGTGAACAATCTCCCAAAACTGAGCAAGAGAAGTTGGAGATGCAGGACAAGCCCTATGCCTCACTTGTTGGAAGCTTGATGTATGTTCAAGTTTGCACAAGGCCAGACCTTGCTTTCAGCATTAGTGTTCTTGGAAGATTTCAATCCAATCCGGGTCAGGCACATTGAATAGCATGCAAGAAAGTTTTGAGGTATTTGCAGAGAACTAAAGAATATAAGCTAATATATCGAAGAGTTGAAGAATTGAAACTGGAAGGATATGCAGATGCAGATTTTGCTGGTTGTTTGGATACACAAAAGAGTACATCAGGTGTTGTGTTTTTGTTTGCAGGAGGAGCAGTGGCTTGGAAAAGTGTCAAACAACAATACATATCAACCTCAACCATGCAGGCTGAGTTTTTAGCAATTTATGAAGCGACCTCAATAGCTATGTGGCTTAAAAAATTTATGTCAATGTTAAAAGTCGTGGATTCTATACAAAGGCCAATCCAATTGTGGAATGACAACAATGCTGCAGTGTATTTTGCAAAAGGAAATAAGAGGTCAGGAAGATTAAGACACCTGCAGTTAAAGTTTTTATCAGCCAAGGAAAAGATTTGAGATGGTTATATAGCCTTAGATCATATTGGAACAGATTTCAATATTGCAGATCCCCTGAACAAAGGCTTGCCTAATCATGTTTTTCATAGGCATGTTAAAAGTATGGGTTTACAGATCAGTTTTGATGCTTGAAGTCTGTGGGAGTCAATGGGAGCCAGATTTAATTTTATTTTCTTTTAGCTAGTTTTAATCGAGATTGTTTTACAATTTATTTAATAATATTTTTCTTATGAATGTTTTGGCATGTGGATGAAGGAAGAATCTGCAAAATTTTGCTAGCATATGTATTTGCAATTTCGTATCCATAAAGGAGCCATGCAAGTTTATTAAGACCTTGGTAGTCTTGTAAGGGTGAGCTAAGCTTTGTTTTGATCATTAAGTTTACTAAGGTAGATCACAACATTGTTTTGATACTAATTCAGTTGGCAGTTGCATGTGTTGATGTACATTTGTATGTGTGGTTGTAAAAGACTTGAGTTTGGTTGCTCAATGTTCTTTGACAGTTCCATATGAATTTATATCAATGACAGTGGCTTGGTAAGAAACTGAGAAGGTTGAGTTCTAAATTGGCCATTAAGAGATTGCTCTTGAGTCACAATGAATATTTGACCAAGTGGGAGAATGTAAGATAGTTTATTATCCCAATCCTTTCATAATTGGTCTTCTATTCATTATCGGATTGCAAGACTCAAGACTAATCAAGAACTCAACACAACTCTCAACCTGCAGCCTCTGTGTCAATGTTCCGTACGGATTACAAGGCTAAAGGGGTTTCTAGTTCTATGAGAATTAGGATTAACAGCTTTATAGCAATAAGGATACCTCAAGGAGTCCCTTGATGGGCAAGACTTCTTGAGTGATGCATATAAATAGAGCAGCTCCCTCTAAGAGCCGACACACACAACATCTCATCAAGTAATTCACCCCATCTGGAATTTGAGAATAAGGCAGTCGGTTATCTTAGAGAAGAGCTGTTTCCCAAGTGTTCGATAAAAGGTTTCAATGGCAACAAGGTTAGTGTTCAAGTTATTATAGCTTTAAAGTTTACAGTTAATCCATATACATGCCACAAAAGGCCAAATAAATTTCAGCATAAAAGCCGCATGCCTTAACAAACCAGACATGAATCACAATGCCCAAATCTACCAATACGACCACAACTTTTAACTCTCACCGGTACAAAATACAAGTAGAGACTAAAAAACAATCAAACACCCAACTCACAAGGAGTTGATGCAATTATTACAAAATAAGAAAACTACAAACGAACAACCAAAAACCAACACATCAACTATTGTTGTTGTTGCCATCGCAACCACAGACGTTGTAGCCGTCTTGGAAACAAAGAACACCATCGAAATTGCAGCCACCAACTAACAAAACCATAAATCCAAGCAAATCTATACAAAAGTAGCCTCCCCACAATTAAAACCCCAAATCCAATAAATGAGGAAGGAAAAAAATAAGTGGTGGTGAGGTAAGGAAAAGATAGTGAGGGAGAGGAGTGGCCTCCTCCCCGCTCCCCAGACATGGCAAAAGAGGTTTTGGTGGGTGACATAGTTTTGTTGAGTATGAATTATCAAATTTGTAAAAATGAACTGACCAGCACCTTAATTAATATGGAATTTTGTGTTGTTGTTGTTATTATTATATTATATGTCACTTCACAACCAACATTGCCTACTCATCACTACCACTCACTCACACTCACCTCCACTTATGTCTGAAAAGTTTTGAATTAAGACTTGAAATTTTTGGTTTACCAAACATGTTGACAGTTATCAAACTTTTAACTTTTTATAGATCAATCCATTCCCAGCTTTATGCATAATTGGGTCATAAGTTAACTCTTTAATTACAACAAACGAAAGTGCACCTAATAACTCTCTCTCTCTCTCTCTCTCTCTCTCTCTCATGCAAGCAAGTTGAAGTGACGCTCAGTGACCGATTGTCAATGACTCAATGAGCTAACTAAGGAAAGAAAATGACTTCTTCACCCACAGGAGTCGGGAAATATTGCCTTTCATCGTCACCTAGCTCAATATTGCCCTAATAAATATTCTCATTTTTATTTTATGAACTTTTCAACTCGCATGCACAACACACAGTTACACAGGGTCACATACATGTAAGAAATTGGAAAATATGCAAATGAGCATGTAAATTGTGTTACTTTGGAATATCTCTCTAAACATCAATAGGCTTGTTGTAGGCAAGCAAACAAATCTATTTATACACGTCATCACGTTTAACACACAATCCGTAATTAACACCAACGCATAAAATCCATTTGCCATAATTGTTTAGTTTAGTGCAGCATCGATCGATGTCATCAATATTCAAGTGGAAATAGTTTATTGTTAATTATTCTATTAATTGTACTACTCCTTGATAAGCCTATAATAATATTGACTTGTTGTACCATTAAAATAACGAACAAAGCAAACCAACCATACAACATGCCTCAAATTGACAACATATATGCACGCTTTTAAAGTGTGAACCAACAGAGTGTCACATTAGGATCCTAGATTGGTTTTCATGTGGGTCTATAAAGCAACTTTGCTAGCTAGCTAGTAGTGCCCTAGTGGCCTCCATATATATATATATATATATATATATATATATATATATATCAGTCTCGTTTCATGGATCATAGAACATATACAAATTATTTTTTAAACTCTTCAATTAGGCCTTTAATTTCCTTATTCTCTCTTCCTTTAATCACTTCATTGAAGAGTTCACAATATTTGAAGTATGAGGTTTTTATTCTTGGTTACGGCCGAGCCTCTCTCTCTCTCTCTCTCTCTCTCCTCTCTCTCTCTCTCTCTCTCTAGTTTTGTAGAGAGAGAAACAAAAAGAGGGAAAAAAAACGTCAATTATCAATTTGCTTTTAGGATTGCCCTTGGCTAATTTGGTTTTTATCAATTATCAAACTTTTTTCGACCAACAAAAGAATTATCAAACAGTAGTTGACCAAGGTAGTCCTTGGGATCGTGGACCAGAAACGGGACTGATATATATATATATATATATATATATATATAAAAGTTTTTGGTGGACAATATGTTATCTTCCAAGAGTGCGCTTGAAAACATGGAATTGTAATCTTAAATCATATATATAAATTATAATGTCTCCAAATAAGGCGAAGTGTACACTTGAGATTCCTCCAAAGATCACACCGACCTCACCTCAACCTCACCTCACTCATGGTGTAGATCGATCGTCCGAGCACTCAGACAAAAGATTACGATCACAGCACCATCATTTACTTTATGAATAAATTTTGGGAAATGTTGTTTTCTTGTTTGGAATCGAAATTATTATTTTGATTTTTCAAATCTTTAGCTAATTTCATTTCTAAAGTCACACTACTGCTGTGAAGCTTTTTATTTCCTTCAAAACCAACTGGCTCGATCGTTTGTGAAAAGAATAATGGAGGGAACCCACTGGCTCAATCATAGGTCTTTTCAGAGAGAGAGAGAGAGATATATATATATATATATATATGTACACGTTTGGCATACCAATTTCTATTTGGTTTTGATGGAGCAAGTCATGAAGCGAACCAGGTTCTTTGCCTACATTACATTTAGAAGAAAGTCAAAATGCATAATTTCTTCAATGGGGATGCCTAAAACAAACATTTTTCATCGCTTTAATTTGGAATAAAGTCGATGCAATGAAGGGGCAAATCATATGAGTTGGACGGCTTGGATTCTTATTTGAGCAGATATACCTAATTATATGATATCCTACTTTATTAATAACATTGCTTCTCAATGTTATATAATATATTAACTTATCTCTAGACCACGCATGATAAAGACTAATAAGGAGGATCTATGATAAAGACTAATAAGGAGGATCTATATATGCTTGCTATATAATATAATAGTAAGGGATTTTTGTAGATATGTCACCTCAACTTATACCTCAGTTTTAATTTGTCGTCTTAAAGAAAAATTTAAGAGAAATGTCACCTTAATTTTTTAAAGTCCATGATTTGTCATTTGACTTTAACACCATCCAATTTTCCATTCATTTTTAAGAGTATTTTCAATGGTATTTTAAAAAATAAAAACTGAGATATAAGTTCATGTGACATTTCTACAATTATCACTAATAGTAATTACTAAACCCCGTCATGAATTAATCGATGAAAAAGAAAGGATATCGGAGAGAATGGGCCAAAAAGCTACTGGAGGAGAGAGGAGAGAGAGATGATTAAATTCTCAACATCTTTTTAACCCAAATTTGTGATCGGAACATAATGACACGACTTATGTGGATCTAATTATGACTTTCCCAAAATGCACAAGTATAGTCTTGTATGCTTTAGATTCTTTAAGAGCGATAGTATTGTATTGATAAAATAAACAAAAACAAGTACAAACACAATTAACATGCAAATATAGATATAACTTCTCTAGTAACCAGAAATATATATATGTACTCAAATCTGCAATAAAGATTTGTCACGCAATGACAGAAAATACAAATTCGTATATATCCAAAGCCAAAAGGAAATCAAATATCATAAACAAAAAACAAACCACATCAAACTACTCTACATCCTCTCAAGCAACCTGAAGATAGCCATAGCACCATATCAACTAAACTCATACTATCGCACCAACTAAATTCAAATGCAACACAACCCGACATTATCCCCGTTTTGTAGCTCCAAATATGTATGGAATCCTGTTAACAAATGATAAAACTTTTTATTTATTTATTATCAAATCAAATGATAAGACTTTGATTTGCCTTTACACATCGTCTCACATGGAATTTTGAAATGGCCATTATTACCTTTCCACTACCCAATTAATATCTTAGTGTTGACTTTAATGTTCGATTTAAGATACGTAAAGAAAATAAATAGTAGGTTAACAGCGTTTGGGATGTTTCTGTGTGTGTGTGTGTGTTGCGGGGGGGATAGCCCACGTTTGGGACAAAAACACACTTAACTGTATTCTATTTTCTTAGCT